GCTGCTGAGGGACCTGCCCTTCGTGCGAAGCTACCTCGACGACTTGTTCGTACGATCCTCTTCTCACGAGGAGCACCAACGGCACTTACGACTCCTTTTCGACCGACTACGGGAAGCCGGACTCTCCTACAATCTGGAAAAATGCCAGTTGGGACTTCCACGCGTCACGGTCCTCGGATACGAAGTCTCTGCCGGCGGTATCAAGCCGCCGGAAAGGAAGATTGAGGCAATTCGGGACTACGCCAAGCCCAAGTCGCCCAGAGCCTTGCGCCGGTTCTTGGGCATCATCAATTTCTATCGACGAAGTCTGCCTCACGCTGCGCACATTCAAGCGCCACTCAACGAGCTCCTACGGGGCTTACCTAAGGGAAGCCGACGATCCCTGGCCTGGAGTCCAGAAGCTGACCAGGCCTTTGAAGACGCCCGAAGCAGTCTAACGAAGGCTGTCGAGACTACTTTCTTGTCACCGACTGCGCCTCTTCGTCTCGCCACGGACGCATCGAACTCCGCCGTCGGTGCTGTCCTTGAACAGTGCCCCCACGGAGAGTGGCAACCTATTGGTTTCTTCTCACAGAAGCTGACGCCTGCTGAGACCCGATACAGCACCTACGACCGAGAGCTCCTTGCCATCTTCCGAGCCGTGCAGCATTTTCGGCGCATCTTGGAAGGCCGTTCCTTCATCGTGCTGACGGATCATCGCCCGCTGACCTTCGCTGCCAGTCAACCGTCTGCAAAGGCGTCCCCGCGTCAACAACGACAGCTGGACTTCCTGTTGCAGTTCGACATCCAGCTTCAGCACGTCAACGGCTCGGACAACGTCGTGGCCGACGCCTTGTCCCGAACGCTCGAGGACGCCACGCCGCTCGATGCTCCTACCGAGCCGCGCACCTTCCCCTCGCCCTCAGGCGTACAAGACGCCGCCTGCGCTACGGTCGACATGCCGACTGCACTCAGCCCAGAGAACATAGCCAAGGCGCAAGCTTGCGACGACGAGCTGCCGGGCATCGCTCACAACAGTTCTTTGAACCTCCAACGCCTGCACCTCAACGAAGTGGAGCTGCTATGTAATGTTCACGAAGGACGGGTCCGACCGTTCCTGCCACGCTCGCTCCGCACTGCCGCCTTCAACGCCGTGCACGGTCTCAGCCACCCTGGAGTTCGCGCCACAGTCCGCGCCGCCGCAGAGCGCTTTGTGTGGCCAGGCATACGACGCGATGTCACATACTGGGCTCGCAGTTGCCTTCTATGCCAGTGCGCCAAGGTCTCTCGACACAATCGCGCGCAGCTTGCCTCTTTCCAGGAGCCCAGCAACAGGTTCGAGCATGTTCACGTGGACCTGATCACGCTACCATTGGTGGGGAAGTACCGGTACTGCCTGACCATGATTGACCGGTTTACCAGATGGCCCGAAGCAGTCCCACTCGAGGACATGACTGCGCCAACCGTCGCCAAAGCCTTCCTGTCCACCTGGATCGCTAGCAAGGGCTGCCCTGCCACGATTACCTCAGATCAAGGGACCCAGTTTGAGTCCGCTCTCTTCGCGGCGCTGACTCAGGTCTCCGGAACTTCCAGGATTCACACCACACCATATCACCCCCAGGCGAATGGCATGGTGGAAAGGTTTCATCGTACGCTTAAGTCAGCATTAAGGTGCTCTCCGACTCCTTGGCCTGAAGCATTGCCATTAGTGCTTCTTGGTCTGCGCAATTCCCTTAAAGAGGACCTGCAAGCTTTTCCAGCGGAGATGACCTTCGGCACCACGCTTCGTCTTCCTGGAGACTTCTTCATCTGCAGCAACCCGCCTGCAGACCCCTGCTCTTTCGTCGGTCGACTGCGCGCAACCATGAGAGCGCTAGCTCCTGCGCCTGCCACGGACCACTCGCTTCACCGACCGTTCATCTTTAAGGATCTTGCCACCTGCTCGCACGTGTTCCAGCGAGTCGACGCCCTGCGGAAGCCGCTCGATCCGCCTTACACTGGGCCACACAAGGTCGTTCGGCGCGTCAATGAAAAGGTTTACATCATTGACGTCAACGGCACCGAAAGGGCGATCTCCACCGACGCTCTCAAACCGGCGTACTTCAGCAAGGCCACTGCTGACGCGCCAGAGCCACGTCCAACCTCTGATGCACGCCCAGGGCCTCCGCAGTCTCCAGCGGTACCTCCAGACGAGGTGCCTTCATCGAGCTTACTACAAGCGCCAGCAGAAGCTTCGCCACCCGCCACGCCGATGGCGCAACCACAGGCGACACCATCGACGAGCGTAAGCTCGCAAGCGCTTGTCACGGAGCCAATCATCAACCCTCCACCACCTCCAGCGGCTACCACCCGTCGATCCTGCCTCAGCAATAACGACGCCGCCCGGCAACGGCATAAGCCCAACATCCTTCGAAGGGTCAACTTCCACCCGCTCACCGCGGTCGGTTCTAAGGGGGGAGTAGCTGTGGTGTCTCGCACGAGGCCGCTACTCACCACCACTTGGTCGCCTGCGCCGCCCGCAGCGCTGACAGCCAAGCAGCGGGGAAGTAGCTGTGGGGGGCACTTAGGCGCTGGAGGGGAAACCAAGCTCATTACCGAACGGAGCAATTGCTCCTTCTTCTCTTCCTGGACACCGAGCAGTCAAGTCTCTCGCGTCGCTTAAAATTGATTACGATTGCCACGAGGCAAGTTCTCTCGCGCCGCTATAAAATTGATTTATTACGATTGCCACGCGGCAAGTTCGTAGTTCCGCTTTTCCCGATCAATTTTTGTAGTTCCCTTCCGTCTTGTCGAAATCTCAAATTTAGAATAAAGGAAATAAACCTTGTGAATTGGCAGTTCAAGATTCTTTTCATCCTTCTGAGTCCGCATTTCAGCCTCAATACTTGGATAGCTAAACATGTATTCAAGGTATACTGTACGTACGGATGCGGACGGATACCGACGCGAATCGCGCAACTCTAGTAACATCACTAAAAATATCTAGTTCGATTATTTAGTACCAACACTACCGGTAGTGAGCAAAAGTGACTGTTGTTTAAAACTGTAGCGCCGAACGTACAGCCAACGTGGATTGAATCGCGACCCCCCCAGTTAGGTTGGTATGAGAATTCCGTCTTTGCATTGAACGAAGAAACCGCGGGAAAATTCAAAAATGAAAATTCGTTTTAAGATACGATAAAAAGCTAAAACGTTACTAATTTGTTTTTAGGTTTAAAATTAATTGTTTGCCGAACAATGAATTTAGATGCATGATTATTTGATTTTAGGTTTTAATTATATAATTTAAGAACGAGCGTTATACTATGGCCGATCTGAAAACCACCGTTACCGACTAAAAGTAGCACTCTACTAACCTAACTTGGGGGGTTGCGAGTCAATTCACGCGATACAATTTAAATTATATAATTAAAACCTAAAATCAAATAATCATGCATCTAAATTCATTGTTCGGCAAACAATTAATTTTAAACCTAAAAACAAATTAGTAACGTTTTAGCTTTTTATCGTATCTTAAAACGAATTTTCATTTTTGAATATTCCCGCGGTTTCTTCGTTCCGATGCAACGACGGAATTCTCATACCAACCTAACTGGGGGGGGTCGCGATTCAATCCACGTTGGGTGTACCACATTTAATGTAACGCCTATCTAACCTTTACATTATTGCAGTCTATAAGATGGCAAATGATAGAGAATTGATAGACTTTCAACTACAATTAGTGGAATTAGGCCTTAATTTTATGGAAGTACTTGAATATATGAGAAGAAAAAAAAATATATAAATAATATGTATTAATCATCCCAAAAGCTTTTTTTACATTAGCATACTCATCAATAAGCAATATTCATGAGAATTTAAAAAGTAAATTGTAGACCTGACATTAAATGTGGTACGTTCGGCGCTACAGTTTTAAACAACAGTTACTTTTGCTCACTACCGGTAGTGTTGGTACTAAATAATCGAACTAGATATTTTTAGTGATGTTACTAGAGTTGCGATTCGTGTCCGTATCCGTCCGTATTCATACGTAGCTATGGGACCGGGGTCTATGGGACCGGGGTCTAAGTAGTCCCAAACAGTTCTTGAGAAGTTCTTTCTCCCTCACATATACGTTAGAACAAAAATCACGCTTGCGTATTGTCATATCAGCTTTTAGTTAAAGATCCACGGCCAGTTAAAAACTAATATTGGATCTTAGTTGGAGAGTCACTGCTATCCAGTTAAGATAAAGATAGATCAATGCTACTTTAAAAAACTTGATTTCTCTTTTTTACAGAAGGGTATAAATTATAATTTTATTATTTTTAATTGGTACAAATTAAAGGAAATCTATTAGCATTATTTTTTTCATAAATCCATTTTTTTTCCAGGAGTAAAGTTCTTTTATTTTTTTTTCGGTTTTACAAGGGATTAAAATTGTAAAATTGCTATCTTTAGATAGTACAAATTCAATTAAAATGATAATCTTTCTTTATTTCATCAAAATCAAATATTTTTGCGCCAGAATCATGATTTTCAAATACTTTTGTTATGAGTTCTATTGAGGTTGGTGCGTAGTAGCAACTGCACATTGCGCAATTGCAGTATTGAGTATCTGCGCAGCGCACACATGAAACTTTAGTCTAACTCCATAATAATAATTTTCCACCAGAATATGCGCAAAAAATATTATCAAGGCTACTCTAAAAAACTTGACTTATATTTTTTTCAAGAGGAAACAAACTATAATTTTCATATTTTTAATTAATATAAATTAAAAGAAATCTTATATTAGCAAAAATATTTGCATTGGTTTTTTGTTTTGAAAATCTAACATTTTTGTCTTAGAGGAGTATAGATTTTCTGAGATCTCGTTTTTTTGTTTTTTTTTCGATTTACCGAAGAACACAAATTGTAAATTTATTTTTAATTGATACAAATTATATCGATGCTAATTACGTATCATTTTTTAGGAATATTAATTATTTTCATCTCAGGGTTTATCCGGTGACATTTCGAATATAGTATTTAGTCACAGCTGTGCCGCGCAGCTGATCGTATAAGAATAATAATAGAACTACGATAAATAAGTAAAAAAAACGTACACGCTACATAAATAAATATATAACAAAGTGAAAGACAGAAAGAGATTACGAAGTGTAGAGTGCATGTAGTCATCAGAAATGGCAGAATCAACCGATGAGACCTTTCATCCGCAAAGTATTAAATTACCTGCTGCAGTCGAGATTTTCGCTAATCTCAAGAATGCACAGAAATTTGCTATTGATATCGGTATGTTTTATTTTTGTGTATTTTATGAATTTATCTGATTTTGCAACTACAGTAACCCACGAAAAACTGTTTTATTTTTATTTTTAAGGTTACCGTAAAATTTTTATTCAATTTTTTTACATTTCATTAAATAAATAGTTTTTTTTAATTTTCAATAAAATAAAAAAAATTTTGAATAGATCATTTTAATAATCATCAAAGTAACATTTGAGTTATATGTTTGTCATTAATGATAAATTTTTATTTTTCAATCTAATAACAGAAGCTTATATTATCATGAAATTGCTTGTCTATAGGTTTGTCTTTGACTAAAATTGCCTATTACTCAACTGTGAAATATCGCAAGGCTTTGTATCAACTTTTAGAGGAAGGTTCAACAATGGACGAAAGTAATTATGAAAATTTGTACCAAGTATTTGAAGGAAATAGACTACATTTTGTTAAATTTGAGACTCGTTATATTGAAAGTTGTTTGGATTTCGTTAAATCCAATTTGGTTGACATTGAAAGATTTCAAGGTACTAGTATTCCAGTGACAGGTGGTGGAGCTTACAAATATGCAAATCTCATACAAGAAAAGCTGGGAACATCGTAAGTCTTAACTTGGTATATACCACACATTTGTATGATATTTCTTATCTGTTGGACTAAAATGTATTGTTTGCAGAGTTGATAAGAAGGATGAAATATGCTGTCTTATTAAAGGCTGTAATTTTTTATTAAAAAATATACCTGGAGAAGCCTTTGAATTTGAACGAAATGCCAACCCTGAGTATAAATTTCAAAAAGCAGGTCCAAATATTTTTCCTTATTTATTGGTTAACATTGGAAGTGGAGTTAGTATACTGAAGGTAAACTAGTTAATTTACAAGATAAAATTAAGCAATGGATCAAAACCAATAGATACTGTTATATTTATTAGGTGAAATCAGATAAAAAATATGAAAGGATAGGAGGTACAGCTACAGGAGGTGGCACATTTTGGGGACTAGGATCTCTACTCACTAGAGTGAAAGTAAGTATTTTTAATCATTAAATAATATAAAGTATGTTATGTATTATAATATGATGGTTTTATAGAGTTTTGAAGAACTACTGCAATTAGCAGAAACGGGAGATCATCGCAATATAGATATGTTAGTCAGAGACATATATGGTGGGGACTACTCTTTGCAAGGTCTTGGAGGAGAAATTATTGCTTCATCTTTTGGAAAGGCAATGGGTTGCAATAGAGCTAAGTCAGGTAAATAAACTTATTTCAAGGTATTCGTCTACTGTACTTGAAGCAATGTTTGCTAAAATCAATTTTATTTCAGGTGAAAAAAAGTTTTCAGAGGCAGATATAGCAAGAAGCTTGCTTTATCTCATTAGTAATGACATTGGACAAATAGCTAGTCTTTATGCCTCTTTACATAATATGAATAAAATTTATTTTGGTGGCTATTTTTTACATAATCATCCTCTCTCCATGTATACCATTTCTTATGCTATAAATTTTTGGACACAAGTAAGCACTTGGGCAATTTTTACTTTTTATAATTTTATGTCACTTATTTCATTTTAATATTACTTTCAGAATAAAGTGAAACCTCTTTTTCTTCGACATGAAGGCTACTTGGGTGCGATAGGTGCGTTTTTGTGTGGAGGTGAAGGAGAATCAAATAAAAGTTGGTTGGAAAATTATGCTGGGTCATCTGGTTTTAAAACCGATACAATAACTGCAAATTTTGGTATTGAAGTTGATCAATTAGAAATTGATCAAGCGGAAAATACGGTCGCATTCTGCCCATTATTAGTTGATCCTACTACATATAATCCTGACACAACTGACCTTGTTCAGGATAAAGAAGCTAGGTAAAATAAATAAAATTGAAGTTAATTTTAAACTGAAAATATCCATTACTTATTTGGCTGTAACAAATTTTTTATTTTGCATTTCAGAGATTACTGGCTAGCTTGTTTTGAGGAATCTATAGATACGTTTATCACTAGAGCTATTAACAGCCAGCCACAAAGTCCGACTGCAAAAGATCGAGCGAATAAACTGAAAGAAAAGTACATTAATCGTTTGCACTGCCTTCACAGACATCCATTGTGAGTAATACGTTTCTTACTTTGAAATTGGTGAAAATCTCACGTCATTTATTTTCAGTGCTTACGGTACTTTAACAGTGAGAACACTTCTGGATACTATTGAACATTGCATGAAAGAGTTTGACTTTCCAGATCCATACTTACAAGTAAATATCTATAAAATTTCATCGTGGAAAGCATTGAATTGATTCATGAAATCTATTACTTGTTTTTTAGCAAAAAAAAGGTGAAAACGAACAAGCTTTTAAGTTCTTCGAGCAAAGACTGAATGCAGTTGATCAATTAGAAGGTGCTGCCAAAATTGAAGAACTGATCAAAGGTGTACTTACCGGTAATATATTTGATTGGGGTGCAAAAGAAGTTGCATCGCTACTGGAAACATCGTCATTTTCTTTTGAAGATGCTCAAAGTAAAATACCTGGTAAATCACATATTTAATTATCCTTTATTTCCTAATGACTTAATTTTTTTATAAATATTTTTTATTGTAGAGCGGCCTTGGCTGCAGGATGATCTTGACGATTGGGCGAAGAGGTTGCTCAAAAAACCGTCACACAAATGTGCTGCAGTGTTTATAGATAATAGCGGTGTTGACGTGATTTTAGGAATCTTGCCTTTTGTACGAGATCTGCTACAGAGAGGAACAAAAGTTATTTTGTGCGCCAACTCGTTACCAGCTCTCAATGACGTTACGTATCCAGAATTAGTGACTATACTGAGAGACGCATCAAAATTATGCAAAATTATTAAAAGTGCTTTTGACGATAATCGACTAATGGCTATGGAAACGGCGCAAGCTGGTCCATGTTTGGATTTAAGGTAATTTTCGATGTACAGTTTAAAACTAACTTAATGTATTGACTTCTGAAAATCGTTTTCCTTTGTAGCCGATTGAATTTAGATCTATGTATGGCAATGATAAAACACGAAGTTGATCTTATAGTGATCGAGGGTATGGGTAGGACTTTACATACAAATTTGTACGCTAAAATGAAGTGCGAGTGCCTGAAACTCGCGGTAGTGAAAAATCGTTGGCTTGCCAACCGCCTCGGTGGCGATATGTACGCTGTGATATGTAAATACGAAAAAGAAGTCGCCAAGGCAGACACACAGAACCGATCGTCTACTGGACAGTGCACTTGTGAGTACCTGAGGAAGAGCAGTGCAAAGAACGAATTTTCCATTTCAACTGATGAAAATAGTATCGCTAGAAATGACACCAGTTAACTCGTTTTTATAGAATTATAGTTTGCATTTTTTTTTTTATTTACTTGACTTTATACTCGGATGATAATTTTATACTTATTTTCTAATGTTATACGTTTTGGTGAAATTATTATTATTTTTCTAGTTACATTTGCTTGACTTACATTGACACTGAGTGTTGATACATATCTTTGTTTACTTTGTTGACATTTTCATAATTTTTTAAAATGAAACTATTGAGCTAAATTTCAAGACAATAACTGTTTAATCAAAATAAAATAAAAATAGAATGAAATGAAATGTCACGCATTGTACTATTTAAATTAAAAATGTACAGTTACGTTGTGATATATCAAGCCTTCTTTGCCGTACTATGTAGAAAATTCTAATTGCATAAAGTTCAGTCAGTGTATAAGTAAAGTAATGAAATGGACTATAATTAACTTTCAAGTAGTTGTTGATAAAACGACGCGATGAAATTTTTAAATTAATTTTAAGTCATTCAACCAAATGTCTTAGTGAATTTATAATACCCATGTTTTCAACTTGATAAATATAATTTTGTATATAAACTATTGTATTTACTATTGATACAAAAAAATAAAACATATGTAAAGTAATAAAACTAATGAAAATAAAATTATTATTACAAATCTAATCTAATTATTTATTACTCGTATAAATTCAGTGAAAACTTCTCAATTATGTCTTCAAACAAAGAAATTGTTTTCTATGTGTCAACAATTAAGATAAAGATGAAATTTGCATATGATTTTTATCTACCAAAAGTTTTTAACATAAAAAACAAGCATATATGTCCACAAATGAAACACTGGTGTTAATGTAAGCAAACAAAGATTTGGAAGAAACTGCAGAAACCGCCAAAACGTTCAGTGTTTGCAGAAGGGACGAATATTGACCGTACGTTACATATATTCGGGCTAATACTAATACCTATAAACGAGCGCGCGCGAGCCGAATTGACCAATCAGCGTTAAGGCAACGGTAAGGGCTAATGACTCATTACTAACGAGGGAGGAGTCCCACGGCGGCGAGTGCGGAGGTGGAGACGATCTAGCCGTTACACATTTTCTCCTTGGTGCGACGAGAGAATTCGTTTTTTATTTCATTTCATCATAGACGTAGATGCTGGATTTTCGAGAGTTTCTCTATCTCAACGGACGCCAACCTAAACCACCAGAATCGTCGATGGCTGAGATGTAAGTAGAGTGGTGGTCTGGGTGTTGGTTTGACGTTAGCTTGCTCTAAAAAGACATTTTCGAGTAGTCTTTCAAAAATTCAGTGATTTTGAAGCACAGTGGTTTTTTAAAGACATTATTATTTCAAGATTTTTTGACTCACTTAACACAGCTTAGTGAGAAAGTGTTAGATCGTGCGGTAACTTGTTCCACTCTAAAGTTGTAGGTATAGAAAATAATAACTATTTGTCACTCTTTTTAAAGATTTCTTTTATTTTCATTAGTAAATTCTCCCTCATTAATAATCTTCAATCTTTATATAGCAACTAATGTATAAATAAACTAATTTAAATTATAATTATTTGTAGATTGATCAATACTTATATATTCCTACCAAGACTGGATACTATACAAAAAGGCAAAATTCAAGATCTTCAGAATTTATCTGCAGAAGAGAGCTGCAAAAATGTCAGGTGCTCTTTTATATAAACAATTATTTGTTGAAAGATATTAAAGCCATACAGTGCAATTGCATGTGCCAACAAAGTACTTTCTTCCTGTAATTTTGCTGAATCAAACAATTACTGAATCTACTTAGGAATTTGATATATAGTACATTGAGATATTTGAATGCTTAAAGTGTTCTGATGAATTCAAAAAGCAGCCAATTATTATTCTAAAAATAGTACTTTGATTAAATATTACAAATTTTGTAATTACTGTGCTTCTATTTGGTTAAAGTAAGTTGCTTATTAAAAAAGAAAAACCAAAATAAATTATGTCTTTGAGTGCTAGTGCTGAAAACTTAAGCTCAGAGCCCCAGATGAGTGGTAGCGACACTAATATGTGTTTGGAGTTAGCTTTAGAGGGTGAACGCCTTTGTAAGGCTGGAGACTGTAGAGCAGGAGTAGCATTTTTTCAAGCAGCTATCCAAGCCGGTACTGATGACTTACGCACACTTAGTGCTATATACAGCCAACTAGGAAATGCATACTTTTACCTTGGAGATTATGTTATGGCCATGCAATATCATAAACATGACCTGACATTGGCAAGATCTATGGGAGACAAGCTTGGCGAGGCAAAATCTAGTGGTAATCTTGGAAATACACTGAAGGTCATGGGAAAGTTTGATGAGGCCATGATTTGCTGTAAACGACACTTAGAAATTTCGAGAGAGATTGGTGACAAACTCAGCGAAGGAAGAGCTTTGTATAATCTAGGTAATGTTTATCATGCCAAAGGTAAACAGCATGGTAGAATAGGCCATCAAGGGCCAGGAGAGTACTCTGAAGAGGTGAAAGAGTGCTTGCAGCAGGCTGTTATGTATTACCAAGCTAATTTGGAGCTGATGAAAGAACTTGGTGACTCTGCAGCCCAAGGTAGAGCATGTGGAAATCTGGGAAACACGTACTATCTGCTGGGAGATTTCCAAAAGGCTATCTACTATCACAATGAGAGACTCAAGATAGCCAGAGAATTTGGTGAAAAGGCAGCAGAGAGAAGGGCCAACAGTAACCTTGGCAACTCGCATATTTTCTTGGGTGAATTTGAGAAGGCAGCCCAGCACTACAGACGCACCCTGGTTCTAGCTCAGGAATTGGGAGATCAGGCGTTCGAAGCACAAGCCTGCTATTCTCTCGGGAACACTTATACCCTTTTGCGTGATTACCCTGCGGCCATCGAATACCATTTGCGTCATCTGTTGATTGCTCAACAATTGAAAGACAGAGTGGGAGAGGGCCGAGCATGCTGGTCCTTGGGAAATGCTTATTCCGCCATGGGTAATCACGAGCAAGCTCTTTACTACGCCAAACTGCATCTACAGATTTCCAAGGAATTGGGCGATACGATGGGTCAAGCGACGGCGCAAATGAACGTCGCCGACCTCATGAAAATGCTCGGCATTGAGAAGAGCGACGATGACAAGAAAAATCTGCTGAATATGACGCCAATGAACATCACAGCGTCATCCCCGGGAAGATACCGTCTTCGTCGTAAGTCCATGGACAATTTGGATTTGATAAAATTGACGCCGGATGGTAAGTCAAAGGAAACTGAGAAACGCAAGCAGAAGAAAGACAACGACGATGATGAAGAAGACAACTTTTTCGATTTGCTGTCTCGTTTTCAATCCGGCCGTATGGACGATCAGCGCTGCGTTCTGCGCACTAATCAAATCAAGAAGAGCGAGAACAAGGAAAAAGACAAGGACGAGGACGATTTGTTACAATTGATCGCTGGCATGCAGAGCAAACGTATGGATGAACAACGTGTGACTTTGCCCTACCTGCCAGGTTTGAATACCAAGGAGAACGCAGCGATTAAGCAGGAGGACGATTCGTTTTTGGAGATGTTGGCCAGGTGCCAAAGCTCCAGATTGGAGGACCAACGTAGCCCACTGCCAAATTGCCCGGTGCTCAAGGACATTGACGAGCAGGAGTCGCAGAGTAACGACGACGTGTCTTCTAGTGCCACTGTACCCGAGGAGGACTTGTTCGCATTGATTCAGAGGCTTCAAGCTGGACGCATGGAAGATCAGAGAGCTAAGGGACCCATTAATACATAAATCAGTTGCTTAGCTTGAGACCATGTATATTTGTATATAAGAACGTAGGGTGCAAAAGTCTCGGGGTGTCTACGAATCGTTTCAGCATAAAGATTTTGAATATGTATTCGACTATCGTCAAGTCCATGCACGACTTTCTCATTGACAAGTTATATTGCAGTAGTGGATTATTAAGTAACGAATCAGTATTGAATCTTGACACGAATGCGATTGATTAACTGTTGTTCTTGTTTTGCAATAAAATTTTGATAATATAATTGTATATTTTGCAGTAGACACCCTGAATTATATATTACGATAATTAAACTGCAAGTGCTAGCGAAAATTCGGATTGTGATATAAGAATCTTATCGGAGTACAACCGAATAAATGATTGTTTTTATTCTTTTTTTGTACTAGAGAAGTTATTTACATTATAATTATTTTAATACTAGATTATTCTGTATTCATTATGATATGGTATTTATTTTTTTATCGAATATATTTAATTGATAGGAGTTCATAGTTTTTTTTCTTTTGTAAGAAAATAAGAACAAGTACAAGAAAACAGTGTAATAAAAAACAAAACGTTCTTTCCGAAAGTACTGGCAAAGTTAATATAGATAATGCAGATTTTAGAAAAATTTGCTTAGATTGGTAGATGAAAAGCCTAGAAGCTGTAACACTCAAAAGCGTCATGATAAATTTCCCAAGTTTGGAAAAATCTCTCGCTGTAAATATAATCTTCTACAAACAACAAATAAACACTTGTAAATAGAATTAAGAAAAATCGAAAGCGTCATGTAGTAGCTTTTTCTCTCCCTCTCGAAACAACTATATATGTACCAGTACGTTATGTACTTGTGTGACGTTGCTTATCGCGTTGTTTTTGCATCATACAAACGTGCGTGCACACGTACACACATATGCAAACAAATGTATATTATCTGGCCTAGGAAAAAAAATTCGAATGTGTCACTAATTAAGCTTTTGAAATTAATCTGAGCAAAGCAATGGCAATTGTAGCAAAAATATATCATTGCCTTTGGAGGCGAATTTCGGCATAAACAAACTTATTCGTTATAGTATTATATGAGAAACATGACGTTTACTCTTCGATCCTGTTTTTTTCTCCATTAAGTATTAATGCTACTTCCTTGTAAGCGGGGCTCTTATGTATACGTTTTAGTATTACCCAGGCAGAACATTTATTGTATTTGTACCAAGATTCAAAATCTATTAAAGTCTTGACTTTTTTTTTAATCTACAAGATTGATTTTGTTTAATTATTGATATCCTATTTGCTTGAAATAACTTGATTTACCTTCTAATGTACGCACGTAATTCTGAAATAATTAATTCATTGAACGATATGAAATAACTGAACTTATTTTATTTCTCTATTCATTTGCTGTATATTTGATATTAACTTGGAAACAAATAAAAACGCTTTTTCATACAATGTACTTATAATAATAGACGTAGATAGCAGTTCTATAGATACGTCAGAGTCTCGCTGAATTTACCAGCTGCGAATAACGATAGTAGTGATGATTAAAACAGAACTTTTCAGGCATCATAGACCGTCTCGACGTATGCGAAAAATTTTTTTAGCTTCTATTTTTTCAATCTAGAATGCTCACATCGCTGTATCCGTGTCAGCTGGAGGCGGTAATCGTTTATACGTTCATGTTAACCATAGCACCACTCTTCTCGCTATCTGGGACAGCGTGCGATTCATTTTTTTTTTGATCGCTCGTATGAGCTTGGATCGATGAAAAAAAAAATGTCGACTAGAAATAATGGCCGTCCGTTCGAGCATCGAAAAACTAGTGAGACGCAATATTCGCAATGTTCAGTTATTTCATATCTTTCGTGCCCGCGTAGACAGGCGCAAAACCGAATCTGCGTAATATTCGTGAGCTCTCGAGTGATTTGCGTTCAAGTCGAAGTTGCGCTGGCATGGTCGACGAATCGTACGCAACTAACGAGCCGAGGCGCGACCAAGAAAACGCAGTTGCGAAGCGCGATGCGGCTTTTGCTCTTCGCGTTGTGCGAGGTCGAGTGCTCGATTTGGCTCGCAACGAGGCAGGTGGTCGGCTAACCGACAATTCCATCAATAACAACGCTGCGATTAGATTTTTCTTATTATCGAACGTTAACAGCGGTGACAAGGGGTCCGTCCGTGGCACTTGCTACATTCGGCTCAGGCGCGTCTCTTCGCGATCGATAGCTAGCGACTTTGAATGTCTACGCGTTCCGATAGCCACGGGCGACCGGGTGGAGCGACGCCGCGAGATATACGTCGATCATTGCGTAGGACCAACGGCGGAGCATCGCTTACAAATTTTAGCGGACCGTGTTCGCTTCAGTGGCAGGTTCGACTGGACAAATCGCAAATTACACTCATTCTCATCCGGTAGACGAAAGATCGACACCTGTTATCTCTCGGAGTTGCGTTTGTTTCCATGTACTTAACAAACAAAATAGCTAACATGTCTTTCTCATATTCTGCTGTAGCAAACGTTTACGCGCGTGGTGTAAATCCCATCACGAGTCCTCCAGAGTTGGATAGGTAGCAGTTCATCATCAACCTTCCCGTATCGTTCATGTCCCTTCCGCCTGCGGAAATATAATTGGATGAGAATGGTTCGTCGCCTGCAATCGACGACCACGTGCAATTGGCGAAAAGTCGCTCACTCGGTTTGCTGCAAATCGGGAATACCCTTGCCACGGTGTTAGTGTCGGCGGGTATGCCGATCGTGCTCACGTCCGCGTTGATCGTCCTGTCGCTTTTTATCTGGAAAACGGTAATCCGCGCAAGTTACACCGAGGTGCGCATGTCGATTCCGCGAGATCAGCATACTCACGACGTTATGCTTGCGCATCATGCAGTTGGCCCACTTGTGGCTGGCTCGTTGTCCGGCACCGCGCGAGCTCGCCGTATCACCTCGATACCAGCTGTGAACGAACGAACGAACGAATTTGACCGTACGAACTCGCGGGCGAGCTTTGAAAGCGCGAATCGGGATGGTAGCTCACCGGCATCGAGTCCGCTTTCCGCGCCGCAGTTGGCCTCGTACCGGTGCAGAGGATCCTCAATGCTGGGCGCGAAACTGGCCTGCAACAGGTCGACGCTCCGGACAATCGATCGGCGCACCGGGCGAGCGCGCGCGACGAGTTCACTTACCAGGATCGCCGGCAGAGCCACCACGAGCTTCATCCTGGTGATCAGCAGTGCGCGTATCGTCTAACAAGCCCTTGAACGGCTGTGGAGCAATCGCCAAACGACGAGACTCGGGCCGTATTTATAAGCGCCGATCGTTACGAAACGCATAATTGCAATGAGTGCAGCGAAAACATAGCTGTTTTGCTCGCTCGCGATGCAATTAAAAACCGAACTTCTGTCGACTCGCTCTTCCGAGCGGAGATTCCGCGCCGTGGGGACAGCCGCACGCAGATCTTTATCGAGACGGGCTCATAGAAGCGCTGACCGTGCGTCGCGAGATCCAGCGAATCCGAGCGGCTTGTGTGTCGGCGATGATGACGAATAGCCACGACGAGTCTCGTCGACGAAAACCGGTCTGAACTCTCTCGTGCGTCAACCCGTTTGTCCATTCAACGCCGCCATTCCTCGTCATCGGCTTTGCCCGCGAGTTTCGCTTTATCGCGTGCTTCGTTGCGTGCAAAAGGGCGTGCGCGTGTCCCGGACGACCAAGTCGTCCAACGACCAAGGAGCCCGATCCGATCTGAAAATTGCCGCGATACGCGAGCCTTTAAACGCGTCGATCAAACGCCGTGCATTTTTCGTAATATAATCTGGCTCCCGACTTCGCCACTGCAACATCGTTCCGAATATTCTCGCGTGTCCTTCCGCTTTTAATGCTTGTAAGGTACCAGCGAGTTGGATCAATCGACTTACGTAAGCTGCGACAAAGCGGAACACAAAAATTGGAGCCACACCTCAGTTTTTTACGCTTGGATGTATTACATCAAAAAAATTGTCTGATAAAATATTACATCATACCAATGCGACTCCCCAAGCAGACACCTGGTTTCTTTTCTTCTTTTCGCTTTGATAACCCACACATCGCGTGATATATAATTCCGCGAAACCGCGCTGTCTTGTGTATTTTCAGGCTCATTTTCTCAGGTAATTCCAATGAATCAGCGCGTGTGAATTAGGTCGATTTTTTTAACAATAACAACACGCGCAAGGACTGAGAAAAGATTTCGAGCGTGATACTCGGGATCTTCGCGAGGTGAATCTCCTTCGCCCCGACACCCGAATCCCCTTCGCGAACAATCGTGCACGCTCTTGCTGTACGATTGTACATTTCCGCAATTGTGTTTCCGCGAGATTACAGAGAGAATGGTCGCCAAGTATCGATTATTGCTGACTGAGATTATGCATAGTATCGTCGCGTGGGCGCCAAGTAATGCATCTTTCCGCGTCTTAACGCCGTCTATTCGAAAGCTCCAAAGCTCGCAGAACTCTTGTCGCGCGCACTTTCAACGTGGAAATACATATATTCGCGATATACAAACACAAACGGAATCACATTCAGTGAGTCATGGTGTACCATTGAGTTTCGCGCATATCCAGATGTCGCGATTTTTAGTGGTCAATGCCGAAAATCCATGAGAAATTATCTCATAGTTGGACGACGCACTTAGGTATTTCGACGTGCTGCACGCGAATTTCGATAGTAAACAAATAAAATGAACGTGAAGAAACGTATGAATGATCTCGGTGAAATTCGGATGCCACGCATTTGCCATTAGATAACGAATGCGCACGGCTGCTTTCAGAATTGAATAGCGTTGGATAGAATTTGAGATGTTGAGATTGAAATGATAAAGCACGCTAAAGGCGGTCGATAAACGGAACCGTTCGACTAAGGTTGCAATATCTCAAGTTCTATTCAAGATTTTCCAGATCCGAAGCAGTTTGTGAGACGATTCCAGATCCGCTCATTTGTGAACAAGTCATCATCGAGCTCGACGTCTAGCAGCTGCAAGTAACTACGATAAAGTGCACTTGGGTGGAGCCAGTCAGCCCCGTTGCCCACGAAATCCCCCTCGTTAGCTCTCAGGCCAATAACAGCATAGCACGGGGTCCCGCGGTAAAAATTAGAGCAGCGCTGCTCCTTCGCTGCTCTCGCGAACAATCGAACCGTGGCCCCTTGGCCAGGTTGCAAAATCAATAATGCAAATGCCGGACACTCGCAGCGATCGTTCAGTGATAAGCCGAGACAGTCTATAATTGTCGGCCTCCCTCGCGTCCTCCTGTACACCTTTGCCGCTGTCCATCGTCGCAAAAGCCAGCTCTAACGTCGAGATTATCGAGGTATGCCGAGGGTCCACTTATATACGCGCACAAACCCCCGCGGAGCGCGCCTAACGATGGAGGGGCGCGGCCTGATCTCCGGCCAGCGCGACGCCTATACTCGTATATATATACGCGTAGCCCCGTCTACATTGTCGCATCACTCACTGTGTCGCGCGCAGTCTTCGATTTCGCAGCCTGCTCCATATCGCCTCGGATCCACTGACCACTGCAGCGTTGGACTGCAAGCGCTAGACCAGAATTAAGGCCACACCTAGCCTCGCGTTCCGCTCACATCCGAATCGCGTTCTCGCAACTGTGTCGGCCGAAAAATCGCCAACGCCAAATCAATACGTTTCGCCTTACTAAGCTTATCTTGCGCGTCGATATTCGTACGCTCGTCTTGAAAAAATCGCTTGAAAAAATCATTAGATTACTATGTTCAATACGTACGTGAGAAAGAAAGAAGAATCGGAAGATTTCATTCATTTTCTCAAAAAGCATTTTGATCGATAGGTCACCTGTCAAATTCATTTATTGGAAAGTCCAATAACTTGACATTTGATTCGATCTTTAAAGTGTATAATAGTCAAAAGGCTGTGTCGCAAATCCTTTCATAATAGATATCACGCAGTGATGTTTCTTTTGTTTTTTCAATTTTTCTAAGATACATAAGCTTTTCTATTGATTCATGTCTATCATTTAATTATTTATACGATCATTAATTCTATTTACAGGATTCTAGCGCGTGAAATATTTGAAAATTAATTAGAAAAATAGTCAATTGCTTTGATTATCTGACAGACTCCTCTCATAATATTTTTCCATTAAGGCAAACCATCGTGAACTAGTTTCACATTATTTTGATTCGATTCAACAGGTTCGTCTCAAAAATATACTTTTTGTTTCCATTACGTGTCAACAAAAATGAGGGATTTTATATAAATATTGCATGGGTCATGTAAAAAATCGAAATTTTTATTTCATCTTTCATTTTACAAGCAGATTCTTTCGAGTAAAACAAGGCGAAAACTGTTTAGCATTAGTCTTGTACAAAAATTACAAATTAAGAATAAGTATGGGAAGATTTGTATTTAAAATAAAAATTTTATTAATAAGACTTTCGTGGAATCAGTGACAGAACTATTTGGTACTCTCTCAAGTAGCAGTTCATCATTCTTCTCGCAACTTTTTTCTTATCTTTGCCAGCTATAACGAAATTTCATTTTAGAATATCGGAACGAACGATGTGCCTGAAAAGCGAATGGAATACTTACTCTTTGATTTGCATACTTCGAATGCCTTTAGCACTGAGTCGGTGTCAGTGGGAATTTTTATGGACATTTTGTCCATATTGACCGTACCATCTTCCTTGATCTGTGAAGAATACCCATTTAATGTACAGACGAATGACGAAGTGCTTAGCTCGTAACAATTGATACTTACGACATTGTGTTTCACCATCATACAGAAAGCCCAGCTGCTCATTTTGTCGTTCTTAGGAACAAATTTATGTTTTCTGACCAATTCAATCTCAGCTACAAACATTCAATCTTTCACTTAAAATCTCATCTCGGAACATTTTTATTTGAATGCAATGACTTTTTACCACTTACCGAAATTAACTCCATTCTCATTAGCACAATCTTCTTCCATTTTAAGCAGGTCATCATTGATATTCGCCGCGAACATCGCCTAAAAGTATGAACAATAAATATACGCGCTTCCATCGCACAACGCACATACTCACGAAAGTAGCTGGCAGAGCCACGCACAGAAGTAGAGCTACAGCAGTCCTCATCTTCGAAAAGTACTTGGGCGAATGCGCTGAACCAATGTTTAGTGGAAACTGGTAATTGATCGCTCGAGCAGGTCGCCTTTATACTTTTGAAACGAGGCATTAACTATTGTAGACACGTACACTGGAAGCTTTCAGGATTGAAAAATGACTGGTAATGTTTGTTTGGTTAATCGATAACCTTTGTAACAGTCGCCTTTTACGCAACGAAGAAAATTTGAAATATAAGGAAAACTTTGTAATTGATAAGATTGATCAGACGCTTGCTACTTTTTTTTTCTTGTTTTCGAATACTGATTTTAATGTGACTTTCACGCATGCGATGTATTTTACTACTGCAGACAAGAAATATTGCGAAACACGATGCTGTTATTCGGATGATAAAATAAAACCGAATTATATTCAAATCAGTGCTGATTTTAATGTAACAGGGCGACGATTGAACGACAAATCAATCCAATAATTCCAATTACTCTCAAAAGCAAATGACATTTCGATGGAACAATGCTCAATTTCAGGTGGTCGCATCCTTCGAATCTCCTCGCGAGCTCTCAAGAAAAATACATTGTGCAGTCTACGAGGAAATTGTCGACACGATAAAAACTACGTTAATTGTAATAAAAACAATCGATTTATTAATCCTTAGTGTTAACTCAGTACAAAAATACAATCTCGTTCAAAAGTGACGACTTTTCTAGTTGTTATTGTGGATCCATGACGATTATGTCCGTTCGCAAGAGGCAATTCACGATCTGCCTCGCGGTGTCGCGAACATTCGCGCCGACTATCGAGAAAAATCGATGTGAGTTGGATCTGTCAAAGATAATCTTGCTTAGACAGTTGCTTACCGAGAGTCGCGCATTTGCGAGCGGCTAGGAAAGATCCCGGGTCATCGGTGATCAACACGTAAGACCCACTGTCATGGTTGATCGTACCGTCCGCGTTCATCTGAAACAACAGTCATGCGCCCTTGTCTCACGTGTTGCGCGATAACCTACAATAACTCGACATTATTGTAGGTTATCACGCGTGGATCGACACAGAACTTACGATCCTAAATTTGTTTAGCAAGCAGCCGGCAAACTTTTCCAGGTTCTCTTCCTCGTGGATTCGACGATCGATCCGAGCCATTTCCAATTGATCTGCAAAAGCGAAAATTACTACGATTACCCGAGTCCTTTCGCATTCAGAAGCTGCTTCAATCTCACCCTTAGTCACGCCACTCAGTCGAAGGCAATGGCTCTGCTGCTGTCTCAGGTCGTCCATGGCCTGTCTCGTTATTATACTCTGAAAAATTCAACGAAAACCGTGAGCTTTCTCGCTGTCGGTCGCCAAGCGTAAACAATCATCTCACGAGGATCGGCGAAAAGTAGAGCGCCGTCAAAAGCAAACAGCTGAAGAATGTCATTTCGTCGCGAAGATCAGCGAGCCTGCGTTACGTCGTCGAATGATCACCACCCGGACCATGAATCAAAACTGTGTGCTCTTATAAGGAAGCGAGGCGACGAGCTCTTGCTTTTTTGTCATTCAAAACTGCATCCGTGCATATAGTGGGGATACACCGCCTTCCAAGACGGCGATTGTCATACAACCCTCCACTCGTACACGGACTTATCTCTATACTATATGTATATACACGCTGTATTATATATACGTTGCTTGCTTTATTATTGCTTTTACTGCATTCAAGCTCGAACTAATTGTTCGTGCACAGTGATATGTTTTACGTATAAATGCAGTGCAAATCTCTGGCAAAAAGAATTTGTTTTCTTAACCGATAAGCCACGCGTCTTTTTCTCTCAAAGAGACAAAAAGACACGTGTCACGCGAACATATCTAGAGCCAGTGTTAAACTTCCACCCGATAATAAAACATTTGCCACGACTAATTGCAAACAGCTATGTCTGTCGCTCTGCGCGAATTCGGCGTGTAGGTTAATTATCACGCATATAAATTGTCGATAATAAGTGTAAACTAGAGTTCAAGTGTCTTAATATTTGTTTTACCCATAGGCATGCTAAGTGCTTGGAGTCGAGAAACGCAGTCCAAGCCAAATTTCGCGGGGCTTTCAATTAGCCGACAAGTGTTTTATTATTAGACCAAAGTACAATGATGAATATTAATTGCTTTTAAAAAACGTTTATCAAATACTTACATAATAGTGTAAACATGCGATGAAAAAGCACAACACTTTCTTCCGTATCATATGCGGTTAAATTACCGACATAGTTATCGATCAATAATGTACCCAATGAGGTTTTCACCGGAAAAGTGTTAACGTCTGCCGGTTGACTCAATTTTCAGTAGCTTAATTGACAGTCTAATTACTTTAATTAAAATAATATGCTCCGTTAATATTCCAATTACTCGTGTGTCTGTTCTCGATACGTGGACAACTGATTAAATGACTGGTTATTCTAATTGAAGCCGGATTTGCTGTATACAACTATAATGCGTTTATATTTGTCCCTAATTACCGAAGCCATTATAAGCTACCCCGTCGAGACAAATCTGACAGATGTATCTTATTTTCAAGTACTGCACAAAAAATGGACAACTTATTCATATCTTTCAGATTATTAAATTGCGTCATCCGCACCAAGACGAAAGAACATTCATAGATGGAACCTGATGAAAATCATGTCATTACGATGACTTAGAAAAGTCAATTACATCGTACTCGGAAGCTAGAAGTGAAAGGTTACAACATTAGAATTTGCGGAAACAGTTACACGACAATTTTTTTTCTTTGCTGCACTGCACCTCATACTGTCATGCAGCAACAACTCCTCTGTAAACGATAATAAAAAGAAAAAAATGTTCTCAACGGTCATAAAAGTACACATACGGTTACAACGCAACGTTGTGGAGACACACACACGCTCATACACTGCACGTATGTATATAAATTCATAAGAATCGACGAAAAACCGCATAAAGCTTCCCCCTTCTCTTCTTTTATCCGGTAAACATCAAAAGAAAGCCACTCTCGCGCGCGAGTTGCATGAATATACACGATAAAAATAATGTCCAATCAAAGAACGTTCAACCTGCAGTGAAATAGCTCTCTCTCTCTCTCTCTCTCTCTCTCTCTCTCTCTCTCTCTCTCTCTCTCTCTCTCTCTCTCTCTCTCTCTCATTTTCCTCGTAATAAGTACACACCACGCGTTACGATGTACAAAGTGAAAGCATTGTGCGTTTAATTGACCTCGTGTGCTCACGGCGACTTTAGATCGCTCTCTTTTTTTCTCTCTCTCTCGTACTTCGACAAAAGTAAATAAATCCACACGACGTTGAACTTAATCGCTTTGTTATTCGCGTATCTGATCCGATGAAGCCTTCGATCGATTGTCTCGCTCTCTGAAAGACGTTGCTGTACGGTAATTACGTAAAGAACGCGTAAATTTAGCCCACGACCGTTGAGCTACTACTGATGCTGCTGCTACTGCTCTCGGGCGAAAGAGGAGCGACTAAGCGCGGGCCCAGTGCATTTATACACCTTTCTCCCGCTCGGCGCGCTTTCGAACGCGCGGCGGGGAGGCAGTCGGAGCAGCACAAGAACTTGCGGCGTGGTGTGCGCGCGGACGAGCAAGAGCGTAACTGTATACCACACGCGCGCGCGCACACACACACACACACACACACATATGAATCGTAGGCTGCAATTCGGTGGCAAAGCCGCGTTAACAACTGCGTCGTAGGTGTGTCCGTCCGCGAGCTGTTTCACAGTCGTGAGCCGACGATCATGAGGTTCATTGAGAAGGTATCGACTCCTAGACTCGTGGGGTCGTCTAATTCGTGGGTCGCCGACTTACCAGTGTGTCAGAAGTTCGGTAGTTTCGCGGTGGAATAGTGGTAGTCGTGCGGTGGTACGCCAACGGCAAGCAGTAGTGGACGAGCGGCTTAACGCAGAAATACGTTCGCTCGCATAGAGTGCCAAATCAAATCAGTTAGGTTAGGTCAAGGGAGAGAGAAAGAGACGGAAATAGCGAGAGAAAAAGACAGAGCGCCCGCTGCTCGGCAGTAGCGCCGCGAGGCCGTCGCGGCGGCATTTGAGCCGCAGACTCGGCGCGGAGAGCACGTTGAGGTTAAGATAGCCGCGCGCGCTCGCTCTGACTCGTACAGCAGAGGGAGCGAGAGCGACGGAAAAAGAGAGAGATAGAGACGGAACCATCCTGGCCGTCGTCTCCCCCCACCTCCTGCGCTGCTCTCCACCGAGCGTGTGTACTGTATATACGACTATCGCGCGTGAGACTGTGTAAGTGTACGATAAACGTGGACGCGCTGCTGCTTCGCACTAGGAGGCGTTGCGAACGATGATGATGATCATGAGCCACGCCGGCTGACACCGACTCCTGGAGCGCTCGTTTACTATTTGGAGTCCGACTGACCGTGGCACAAGTTAGCAGCCATGACCATCATAGTCTTTCTCATCGACACCTCCGCCTCCATGAACCAGAGGGCCTACCTAGGAGGCAGGCCCACCCTGCTCGATGTGGCCAAAAGTGCTGTCGAGACCTTTGTCAAGGTGAGCCAACAATCACCCCTGGAACCGCTGCTGCTCTCTGTGCTTCTGCTGTTCTTCGGATCCCATCATCCTTATTCACTCCAAATCTGCATTATGATAACAAGACATTACACATTTATATATTCTATCTATATCAATTGTTGTTAAGATTAGTCTACAATGTAATATGATGGTTGTACGGTTGTTGAGAGAAATCTATTGTGCTTTGCTGGCTGCCACCACAGCCAGAGATGCACTACTCAAAGTACTGCTGATAATATTGACATTTGAGTAAACAATTGGCTTCATTTAGATTGAATCAATGCCTCTAATTGTGCATTATTCAATTTTTTTTGCCACTTGCAAGCTTTGAAGCTGAAATACTTTTGGAGTGGTGTCCATAAATTTCTCGCACAGCCAAGCACTGTTCTATGAATATTGTAATATTTTGTTCAATTCAATGTACCTTGTTTGTCATGTGTATGATTTTTTTAGATCTTTACAGCAGAAGCATAGTATGAGGATCTCAGAGAGAATTTCTTATCTGGGAGCATAAATGTGACCTTGAATGGAACAATGTTTCATCAAGTTGCTCAGATATTGAAGTAAAGAATCACCGGTTTAGTCAGCAAAAACATATTTTAATAAAAAAAACCACCTACATTTGCATTGGTTGATAGAAAAAAACATGCTCTAATCTGTGTTTTCTTTTAGGTCCGGCAAAGGTCACCAGAAAGTAGAGGAGACAGATACATGTTATTAACTTTTGAGGAAACACCACACAATATAAAGGTAATGCAAGTGTTTGAGCATAGTTCTTTCACCTATTCTCTTTTTGTTTTCAGAGCTTGAGATGATCTGAAAATTGGAAGATCTCAAGATTCCTGAATAAACATATACACTTTCTTCTCCCTCTCAGTCAGATGATCTTGTACTATTTTAATGCTATTGCACTAAAAAATCTCTGACTCATCAACCCACATATTTTGATGTCAATATCAAAAAAATTTGTAGTTTTTAGATCAAAACAATTTATTTTTAGAAGCTTAAAAAATATGCGTGTCTGAACTTATGATAATTCATTCTTCAACAAATGATATTCATTTTAATCCTTCCTTTTATCCATAGAGGGACGTACAGAAAGTATGGGGATTATCTTGCTACTCCTAACTAACAAATACATATTTGTATTTGTATTTGTTAGTTAAATAAATTTTATTTGACTTTTATTGTTATGAGCACACTGATCTGAAACAATTTACTGATAGTTTACTTCCATTGATTTTAGATTATTGATACAATTTTGGATACATTAGTTTAGAATTTGTTCCTTTTCATGAAAAAAAATACTCAAATCAATTTAACTTGAAACTTGATAGTTGTAGTTTGTACATTTCTTGTCCTCCATTGTGGAAAACAGAATGTCAGTCATTCTACAGTTAATTAGGTTGTTCATACAAATGAGCCTTAAAATTGATTAAAAATTAAATAGAGGGACTTGAGCAAATGGCATTTTTTAATGGAGGGGATTAGTTATTGAAAAGTTTATTACTATCGAATTTCATAAAGTATTATAAAAAAACAAAAAAAAAGACATATACAACAGTAGCATGAAATTAGATAGCAAAGTACATAACTTTTTAGACAATGCTGAACCAAAATATATGCTTGTCTTTTAACGGTATGTTGCTGAATAATAAATTTTATCAGTAATTTTCTACACCAACTCTTTCTACAGATAATTCCATTGAAACCGTGAACAATCGGTTTAATCTCGCTTCTCTCTAAAGATTTTTCGCGAATAAAAATAGCTAATAAATTTATCGAAATATTCGTCAAGCGTCGCGGCATGATGATAATCTTTCGAGAGAGGCCACTCGTACGGTTTCGGAAAGAGGAAAAAAACAAACAAGTTAGCGACAGCTGTCGGACTTTTTTTGCGATTTTTACGAGCCTGCTACGGCGTCGCTGTAAAGCTGATACCTCAATGATGTCACAACGAAAGTGAAACTCGTTTATGAAACTTAGCAACGATTAGTTATTGAACGTTACTTAAAAAGCCAAACCATTCATGGACAATTAAAAGAAAAAAAAAGAACGATATGGCAACGAGCGCGCGATTCGCGAAAAGTAAAAAGTGAAAGCAAAACAATGTCGTATCTGTGGACTGTCTCCACGTTAAATCTGATTTACGAATCGCGCGTTCGAGCCCATTCCTCGTTAAACGGGTCCCGTGTTGTTCGGCGAAAGCGCGAAACAAGAGAAAGAGAATGACGATCGTCTTGTGCTTTAAAACAGGCTGGCTGGAAAGAGAACCTGGCGACGTTTATGAACGAGCTGAAGAACCTACAGTGCGTGGGTCTGACGACCCTGGGCGCGGCCTTGAAAAATGCATTCGACGTCCTCAACCTGAATCGCATGCAGACGGGTATCGATACCTATGGCCAGGGCAGATGTCCGTTCTATCTCGAGCCGTCGGTCATCGTTGTCATCACCGACGGTGGCAAGTACACCACTGCTAACGGCGTCCACCCGGATGTGAGTAGTTTTCTATCGCAAGAAAGTACCCGTGACTACTTCTAATTGCACAATACCATTGACTACAAGGCTATAGCTTCTCCAGCGTACCGTCGATCAACATTTCATGACGTGTGAATGTGTATTGATTCATCACGATGTAGTTAGTGTTCAGGCTAAAAATGTGGTTATTATAATCTAACTGTGAAATCTATGAGAATAGTATTTTTAGTCGACTTGATACTTGCTATTCATTTCCAGCACTTCGTAATAGTTATTAAAATAAGCTGCAAATGAGTCGGTGTAATGTGTAGATTGTCGCTGAAATCGACGACGGTTATTCAATCAATATGCGCATCGCATCAGGAAGGTTTTGACTCATCGATGATTTCTTATTTGCAGTTCACATTGCCGATGCACTCGCCCATTCCCGGTTCCGAACTGACGAAGGAGCCGTTCAGGTGGGATCAGCGATTATTCTCCCTCGTCCTTCGTTTATCCGGTACACCGGCAGTCGAACGTGACACAGGTTTGGTACCGAGCGATGCCTCGCCGATCGACGCCATGTGCGAAGTTACCGGTGGACGATCTTATTGTATTACCTCTCATCGCATGATGATGCAGTGCATCGACTCGCTAGTGCAGAAAGTCCAGTCTGGCGTCGTTATTAATTTCGAGAAGATCGGCCCAGATCCTACACCGCTACCCAACGAGCCTACTACTATCATCAACTTGGAGAACGGAGAGGAGCATCACGAGGAGGAGAATGGCTTTCAAAGCAACGTGAGTTTATTCTTTTCTATTCCAATTGTTATGACATGGCGAGTTGAGTAACACGTAGAGATAGAATTTAATCGTGTGGCATCTTGCAAACTTGTCGCGGATCTTTCTGATATTCTTTGTTTATACTTGTACATTATTTCAACTAATATGTCATAATTTTGCAAGTTCAATTATTTGTTGATAAGGTCAAACGCCACGATACATTGTGAACAATATTGTACGTCTAGGTTCGATACATTATAGAATATATTGTTACATAAGTGAGTAATTAGTAATTTTATCTTTAAAATTCGAATTAATGAGTTTTAGCTACTAATATTATCATTATGAAACGATGTCAATTCTTTCTCATAACAGTATTAGTTAAATATTTTTAGAGGAAACCAATTTGTCGAGTAAAAGTATTGACTTATAGTTTTGAGGTCGCGCTCTGTTTTTCACGCTCCATTGTCTACCATACTTTGTTATCATCTCTTTTACATAGTCATTGGTTTCCCATCCGCAGGGCCGAGGACATCCGAACTCTACCTCGATCCCGAGCAATTTAAATAACAGCACAGCTTGGCACTCGTGTCGCCGACTGATCTATGTGCCGCGCTCCGCTCAGAAAGGTTTTGCAGTAGGATTTTGGCCGATTCCCGAAAGCTTCTGGCCCGATATTGCAGCTTCATCTCTACCACCACGTTCCGCGCATCCAAACGTCAAGTTCACGTGCATGAGTCAGGAGCCATTAGTGATCGAGAATTTGCCGTTCGATAAATACGAGCTTGAACCTAGTCCTCTTACGCAGTATATTCTCGCGAGAAAACAGCCGACTATTTGCTGGCAGGTTTTCATCGCTAATTCATACAAGAGCACCGAAGTTGGGCATCCATTTGGTTACTTGAAAGCTAGTACAAATCTCACCTGTGTTAATCTGTTCGTTATGCCGTATAATTATCCTGTACTACTGCCACTTTTAGACGATCTATTTAAGAATCACAGATTGAAACCTAGCAACGAGTGGAGAACACAGTTTCAGAATTATATGAGGACTATGCCTGCTTATTACGCTGCTGTAAGTACTTTTGAGATGAGTGTTTTTAATAAAGTGCAAATGTAATTTTAATAAAAAAACATTTTTTCCTTCCAGTCGTTAAGACGAGCACTGACGCGGATGGGCGCTCCGGCGGCGTTAGCCCAGACCCTTATACCCGACAATATGGACAATACGTTATCGTACAGCGTACTAAATTATCTCAAACGCTTGAAAAACACAGCCAAGATGGAGTTCGATCGGCTTTGTAATGAGGTTATATCCAAGCAACAGGCAAACAAGAGCCTTGCAAACAATAGCAATACCCTCGTCGAAGGATTGCGAGTTACTTCGCGGACGAATCTGAAAAAAGATGTAATGATTTTATTTATTCATTTTTTTCATATCATTCCATGCGCAATTGCAAAGGTCATTTCAAATAACTTGATTTGTCGTATTTTCAGTTATCAAATTCGCTGAACGATATGAGGGATGAGTTTAATAAGTTCCAAGGTTTTATGGTTGGTCTTGTAAAAAATCACTCTCCACAGCGAGGGGCGCAGAGTTATCGTAATGCTTTCGATATACCGCGCAAGTCTTTGTTGGACCAGGTTGTAAGAATGCGAGCGAACTTCTTGCAACCTGGCTTGCTGCATACGAAACTACTGGACGATGATTTCGTACACTCGATGCCGGTTTCGCAAATGGGCAATTACCAAGAGTACCTCAAACGCATGACGCCACCACTTAGGGAGATCGAGAGTACACCAGTACGACAGCATATGTTTGGTAAGTTCTTTCAGAAAGACACAATGTGAAGCAATGTTGTTGAATCAAAATCAAGATGCTAATTATACGTACTCTTTTCTAGGTAACCCATTTAAAATCGACAAGCGAATGATGGTCGATGAGGCTGATATCGACATGGTGGGTGCGACATCGTCGGCTTCCAAGGGTTTGAAACGTTCTATCGCCGTGGTGGACTCGGGGGTGGGTAACCTGAATTCTTCTCGGCCGCCAAGCAAACGGAAACCTGGCCCGATTCCGAAGGATGTGATAATACGACGGCCAACCTACTCACCGCCAAACACACCGCCAAACACACCGCCAGCCTCGCCAATACCATGGTCAGAGGACGTGAAGTCGCCATTGTCACCGTCGATGACAGTGTTTAAGAGCGAGCTGAAAGCCGAGTCAGCAACGCCCGTGCAAGCAAAACTCGTCAACGGTGACGTGACGATGATGGAGGAGGAGCAAAAACAACAGAAGCAGCAACACCATCAGCAGCACGCGAGTAACGGTGTTAGTGAGATGACGACAGCAAAGGCGACGACGAACTCCAGTAGTGCTATAAGTGCGAGTGCAATCGCGAGGACCGAACAGACGGCGAAAAGCAATCAACCGACAAAAGCGCCGGCTGAGCCGTTGCCGCTACCGGCGCAGCAGCCGTCGACGACGACGCTCGCGTCGAACAATAGTGCGGTTAAGCTTAAGTGTAGCGAACTGCAACAACTGCCCGAGAGCTCGGCCTGCGTCAGTCCCGGTAGCAGCAGGTGCGCCACACCACAGCCACAGGCGCAACAGCCGATCGGAAATCACGCGGCCGAGAAGGAAAAGCTCGAGGCGAAGACGGATCTGGCGCTGCCAGACAAGCCGCTCACGCATAAGGAGCTCGAGGACGTCAAGAGACACAATCTGCCTATCAGGAACGAGCTCTACAAGGAGATCAGAAGGAAAAACACAAGTGAGTTTCGAAACCAGCCGAGCGAGGCGCAATTATTCATTCGACCTTGCGTCGTGGCTAATTTAAAACGCTCCAGCCAATTCGTCCGGGACACGATAGGTCCACGAATGCTCATCAATTATTAATGCGGATGTTTGCCATTCCAAGAGCTTTATTAAACTTCTCACCCGGTATTGTTACGTATTTATGAGCTCGACGGAAAACAAACGAGCACACACGCACGCAAGCACGCGCACTCGTCACATCCATGCGACTAGCAAGCGAAACAAGCGCAAAAAGCGCAGAAATTATAGCCGATAGTATCGAAATAAGGGAGAGCTTTATACTCGCTCGGCATTTGTAGCTATTGACTGATCGCTGTCGACGCAACGCGCCGTGCGCACAGCAGACGCGTTTACGCGTGAAATTTCGCGCGTGTTACTCTATTTCAAACACGCCGTCACGCTGTTCACTCAGCAATGAGTCGTGATAAAAATTCTCTGGCGCGATAATTTTTCTTCGAGTTAAAAGTTTCGAGCGACTGGAAGGTTTGAACTTACGCGATCACTAGCGCATGGCGAAAGTTTCTTGGAATGTGATTTTGCATTTTTTTTCAGTCGCGTTACTTGAAAAGAAAAATAATTTGCTCCGTTTAACGTTCGATCGACGCAAGTCGTCATTAACGCTTGTTGAGCTTGGGCTAATAATTGACACTTTAATCTCGAATCGAATCATCACGAGAAACCATTGATTTGGCCTTCTTTCTAGGTTTCGGCATCTTTCTGACGCACCTGGAGATGATTCAAGGCCCGCTAGACATCCGGCTGAGCTTCGTACGCGACGTTATTCGCGAGACATTGCGCTTCAAGCGTCGCAAGCTCGCCGACCAGCTCGAGGAGTATTTGAAGAAGCTGCAAAAGGAGGGCAACAAGGGCCTTCTGTTAAATCACAAAATGCTGCCGAATGGCGCCAACAGAATCGCGTAATTGACGTCAGCGGTGTACAGATGATATATATGTAGATATATAGACGCGGTCGTTTCTCTAATTTTTTTTCTTTTTTTTTACACATTTTGTTCTTACTCTTCTTCTTTTTTTTGTATCACTAAGACGAAGATATGTTTTTAAAAAAAGAAAACGAGGACGTTTTTGCAAAGTTCGCGCCCCGTATAGTCTAGTAGTAGTATCCACGCGGCAAATTTTTATCATTGTGTCAACGGATCGTTAATCTCTGTGTAAATTTTGTTACGATACACACGCCTAGATTATTATATATACGAGTTTGTTAAGAGAGTGAGAGAAAGAGAGGATTATTATTTTTTTCATTTGACCAGGACATTATTAGCTACATGACACGACATTACGCGTCTATTGTTTATAAAAAAAAGATATGTAGATTCGAATATGCAAGGCAATGATTCAAGAGCCGTGTATTTGTAAATGAAATAAGGAAACAATAACTATTACGTATTTTACAATGTATTTTATTAAATTAAAATATTTGGGAAAAATAATACAACGTTGCATACTTTGATTACTCTTTTAAAAAGAACACGAGGCCTCTCTCGCGAGAGCTATCGATCGATTACCCACTTGCAAGTGTTGATGTTATTTTTTTGTAAGTATTAGACAAGAGCTGAGATTCGACTGGAGGTTGGTTTATAATGCACAGCGAATTATAACCGAAATGAAAATCTTGACAACTTGATTTATCAACGATGAACTTCTTTTCATCATGCTCCTAATTTATTCGTGTTTATGAACGTTTGACGATTATGACATTTTTATTCAACATTTTTGTATTTTTAGAATGTGCAATGTTTATCTATTTATACTAAATTATTTTACTTTTAATCGAGATTAAAAGTGTCATTATTTTTTATGATATACTTGTGTATATAAAAATCATTTTTTTTTTACCGAAGAATGTCTATAAACACGAAAAAATTTAAGTTGTCACGTATAGTTATGGATTTTACGTACGTTTTGAGGAAGTATTTATCGCATTTTTTTTAATTTTTTTTGTTTACGCAAAAGTTTTAGTTATAAGTTAATAGTAACATGAAAAAAGTTATTCATTGTAATATTCTCAAATTAATTTTCATAATTCGTTAATTTTGTACCAATCAAAGAACTTTCGAAAGTTACATATCAAACTCAATTTTGATCTATAAAAATACGTAGTTTTATATTTTGTTTGTACGCAGTATTTGATTAAATTTATCAGTTACTATTGCTCAATCGTAAATGGTATATTCTTGTGAACAAATGGTTTACATTTTTCGTCTTAAAAAGCGGGTATTCTTGGTATTTAGTTTGTTTTTGCTTCACACATATGAGTTAATAATGGTATATCTGATTACATTTTGTGAAAATATTGCCTCGAAAATTATCTTATCTAAATTTATACTATTCTTATCAAAGTTTTATAAATTTTTGTGTTAGTTAATTCTGAGTGAAGTAGTCGTTATCTTGATCATGATGAAAACGGCTGTTAATTTTCTAAACTCGTCAGAAAAATTATTTTTCATTCCAATTGCATACGATGAACAACTAAACTCATTGATAAAAATTTTAACTGTCATTGCCGAAAAACTATTTTGCTATTGATTGTCGAAAGCAAAGCTATAACTTCTTTCATGCTTTACAATGTTTTGCAGGCGTTACGTCGTCAAAGTATAAGGAAAAATACATGGCTCTGAGCGTTAAAAAATGTTTTCTCAAAAATAATGACCTTGTAAGAGAATATTGGTATTCAAAATACAGGAGAGAACGTTAACCAAATATGGACAATGACAAGCTAAATACGCTTATCGGCTAGAAAATATTCAGCCGAGTATTTTTTTACACTAAGTGCGATTTCGTGTAATAACGAAAATTTCGTCAGCCTAGGGCACGTAATGAGAATGATGTTAAAAGTAAGGCATTATTCGCGATAGATGAATCGTATTTGAAAGTTAATTGATTAATGATCGTTGCACAGTACTATTAGGTATAAGTAAGGCAAATACTTGGGAATTTGCATTTAAGATTCATCACTACTAAAGCATTTGTCGACGAATCAAAGTTTAGATATTTTTTATCGAGATGAACGAGTTATCAGAATAACTCGAATAAATTAGGTATTAACTTTTACGATGAATTTATGCAAGTGCCCAATTGCTGAAAAAATATATACTTGTACATTTATGAAAAATAAATAACGAGTTAGACATTTTTTGGACATTGTATGATAAACTATTGTAAGATACTGTAATGTTTTGTAATGAAATCACACAAACAGTAATGTAGTTTATTGTGAAAAGTGTAAATAAACATATTATAATTTGAAATATTTTGCGGAGCAACGTGATAACACCGATGTATATTTATCTTGACTGGTTAATTTTCTTAAACATCATCGTCATCTTACCACAGTATATCAAAAGTTTTCTACTCGGTAGCATCACTTGTATGTTTATTTAGCATTGTTTTGAAACCTTTATTTATTTTTTTTTTATTTTTGAAATTTCTTTTACTTTATCTTATTTTTATTTTGATATACAACCGATTTACAAATATCCTTTCAGTAATGGAAGAGTCATAGTATTCATGAATAATAAAAGTGAAAAATGAAGTAACTGTTGTAAACTCAGAGTTTCACTGAATAGAGATGAGTATCGTAAAGAGTCAAGTTCATTAAAATAGATAAGCGCTGCTGCATAGTTTCATAATCAAAATCGTCATTTTGAAGCCGCAAAGAAAAACTTGAATCACGTATTCACAAACGGAAATAGAAAGTTGGGCTAGTCGTTGTTCGTTGATATGAAGTAGATGTAAATAAATATGATTATCATCATACGGAAATGTGATAAAATCGTTGATAAATTGACAGAAAAATCTTTTAAAAAGGTGATATCTAGAATTATTATTGAACAAAAGATGATTTACGTCAACGTTATTTTAAAACAGTTGAACGGCCAACGACTATCATCGCATTATCTAACCAAATCGGGCTTCGACTCAGATTCATTGCGACTCATTGATTGGAGCCCAAATGGGAATCCTTGAGCAATGATGAATAATGTGCTCGATGTATATAAATGATTGTACATAAACGTTGAAGTATACGACAATTGTAAATAAGAACTTCATGATGTTTCGACGGATGGAACGAATAGGTAAAAACTCAAATTTCACTTATCAAACAGTTGCTCAGTCTTATTCAACGGAAACTCCGCTTCTTTGTAAATGCATCGCGAAACGAATGATTCGACAGCGAAAAATGAAACATACCTATTCGATTCATTACGCAGCGCGATATGTATGATTTATAATTGTCGATGTAGCGCGAAAATTTAATTTTCATGTTTATATTTTTGCAGAACTGTCGCAAAAAACATGCGAGTGGATGAGCGAACAAAGTGATTTAAAATATGAATGAGAATTCCTTTGAAAAAATGATTGTGTTGTTCTTTCCTCGACCGTTAATCCTATTTAACAATACTCTGAAAAGCATGAAAAAGCATGCTCATTTTGAATTGTTCCATTGCCCAACACTGATTTTTAATTCTAAGCGCAAATAATTTGATAGATCGGCAGTGCCACTTGTAATTATATTTATCATCATAATTACAATTGTAATTGTTCAAAGCCCTTGTAAATTAATCCTAAGAGTGATCAACTATGCAATTCAGATGTGACAACACAATAAGCGACGAAATGAGCATTGCGTCACATTGATACGACGGCTTTTGTAGCAAAGAGCTGGTTAGCATGGAAAATCATCTGTCGTTTTGGAATTATACGAATTGAATAAATGCGCTGGAAAAGATCGAGCAGGCCATGCGATTTCTCTGCAATGTCGTTTTGAAAATTGGACTACGTATATTTCCAGAACGCGCGACTCGCAAGAATCCTTCTGAGCTTACGTTATTCTCGTAAGACGCGTTACGGAATATTCTAGTTGACTTTGACTTGTAAATCTGGCCTACGTTGAAATCTTTGATCGGTCGATGAGCTTCGCTGCGTCAAGCTTTACGCGATGTCTGCATATCGAGAACGAATTGATATCGACCGGTAAAGCAGAGGAACTGATCGGAGCTCGTTTAATATATTATTGACGATTGTCCACGCGCGATCGTAATGAATCGCGTTCCTTAATGACGCGCTGCTCGGAAACGAGCCACGAGCCCCAATTGAATTGTCGGTCGACAGTTAAAAAAGCATTAGCCCCCCTTCCCCCGCCTCGAAACTCGTCTGTAAGGTAGATGGCCTTTGAAAATCGGCGATAGATTTATAGTCAAGCGTAGCTAGCGCGAATTCTAGTCCGAGTGTCGCGCGCGTTGATTTATGGATGTATAACGATACACAAGTCGTAGAGGAAGATAAGGTCTTTCTCGTTACATAACAGGCGCAGTCTAGTGGGAGTACATATATATATATATATATATATATATATATATATATTCTCGGGATCATAATGAAAACTCGGTATTCAACGGCGGCGTCGCTCGCGACAATGGCTCAAATTTGGAAAATCCTGCTGATGACCGTCTCCGTACTGGTCGTCCACCTCAGGTAAGTAAAGTTGCGTTCGAGGAGATTACGTAAAGGAGTGTTTGGCTCGACGAGTCGATATTCGCGGCGCAGCTTGATCGGCCCGGCGCTGAGCCGTGGCGTCGGCGGCCACGCGACGAAGCTGATCATCGACACGGACGCCGGCAGCGACGACGCCGTCGCCATCCTGCTGGCGCTGGCGCTGCCCGCCCAGGTGGACGTGCTCGCCGTGACCTGTAGCTACGGCAACACGCGCGAGACCAACGTGGAGACCAACGTGCTGAAGCTGCTGACCGTGGCCGCTCGCCCCGACGTGAGTCCGCGCACGCGAGTTCCGATCAGGCGCCACGCCCGATGCGACTGACGCGCCGCTGCCAAAGATTCCAGTGTACGCGGGAGCCAAGGGGCCGCTGCTGCGCAACTACAGCGCCGGCGACTACTTCGGCAAGGACGGATTGGGCGACTTCGAGTTCGGCCGACCGCTCGCCGCCGGCGTCAACAGAACGAAACACGCGGCCGTGGCGATGATCGACCTCGCGAAGCAGCACCCAGGTACGCAACGCGACGACTCCGAGCCTTCGAACGAGGCGCGCGCTGACGGCCGCGGCTGCTTGCAGCGCAGGTGAAGTGAGCGTGCTGACCCTCGGACCGCTGACCAACCTGGCGCTGGCGATCACCCTCGACAAGGACTTCGCCAAGGCGGTGAAGCGCTTCTACGTGATGGGCTCGCTGATCGACGAAGGCGAGACCCCGGAGCAGCCGCAGGTGGAGTTCAACTTCAGCCTCGATCCGGAGGCGAACGCGATCGCGCTGAGCGCGATGAGGAACGCAAGCGGGCTGGTGGTCCCGTGGGACGTCATCCACGAGAACGCCATCGCCAAGGTGAGCGGCGCCTCGCGAGCGGCGGCCGAGCAGCGTTGATGACCGGCCGAGGCCGCGTTGCCGTCCGCAGGAGTGGCGTACAGAGGTGCTGGGCAAGCTCGGCGGCGAGCGCGTGGCCTTCCTCAACCGAGCCGAGTACGCGGTGCTGGAGCGCGTGGGCGCCTGGCACGCCGCCGACTCGATGGCGCTGGCGGCGGCGCTCTGGCCGGAGCTCGTGCGTTCGTCGCTCGAGGCGCGCATGACCGCCGCCACCTGCGGCCCGCGCGACGGGGCCGTGCGAGTCGACCACAAGGGCGCGAGCAACGTCGAGATCGTCAGGGCGTTCGACGTGGAGGGCTTCAAGCGCCGGCTCCTGGACCACTTGGCGTGAGCGTCCGGCCTGCGCTCCGCTGCGAACGACGACTCCGCGCGGCCAGCCCTCGTCAACGAGACGATCCACATCCACAGCGATACGCGATTCCGAATGTTTCAAAAAATAGTGCGTTGCGTGTCCACGTGCGTGCACTCACCGCAGCAGCAGCAGCAGCAGCAGCTCAACGGCGCGCCGAGCAAAAGCGAACCACGAACGATGGTCCTGTATACATGGCGAACCACCGGTACGCGTATCTTGTAATCTTCCTGGACAAAAAATTTCCGGCGCAAAATGTTTCCACTCCTCGGCTGCTGTACGACGTGCTGTGATTGACATAGCACGCATTACCTGATGTCCATTCATACGCGTGAGCCACTCCGCGTGGCTCGGTTGACGTCGTCCGAAATGATACTGTAGTTCGCCAGCTTGTCGTCGTGGGAGTCGAGCTTGTTGTACGGTGTAAAGTTGCACTAATAAAATGGAAAAACATCACCATAGGGCTTGGATGATTTTTATTTTTTTGAAGCCAGCGAGAGAGCAATGGCTTAACTAAAAAGAAGTCTTCTTCGCTCTTATCACCTTGCGTCGTACCTAATGCGAGAGCGTGTATCTGAATGCACTGGAAACACTGGCGATCGGCCCGATCAGTCCCACGCAAGCATCTCATCGGGATCTCGTTCAATGAACATCGATGGATGTCTAATTTTCGAGCATCGGATTGTACGCAGATTCACCAGGCCTACTTGGAGACACTTTACGTGTCCCTCGAGATCGCGTACACAGTCGTATCGCGCGTTCAGGACTGCCGATGGGATGCTCCAAGCAGACGCGAGTCCCAAGTGGCGAGATAGGTCAACAGCACGCGAAATCAACGCGCACCCGATCAGTTTATGTGCTTTGCGACTCCGATCTAGCTATTCACACTTTCGGCTGATCGAACGCGAGACCTGAATTGACGAGAATGCCGAGGAAAGAAAAGCAAACTTCGAGCCGCGAATTCGTTGTATCAGAAGTTGTTGGAGGCGCAAATTTCACTCGAAGATCGAACGTCGGTCGTTCCGAAAATCCTCGCCAGTGTCTACGGTGTAGGTACCTTCATAACGAGCGCACGAATGGACTTTTGCGCGACTCTTTTCTCAAGATGCAGAACTCAATGTCGTCCAGCTGCAACGCAAATATCGCGATCGATTTAGCGAGTCCGACCGACTGCATCGACAGTGAGATAAAGAGCAGCAGTGATTTGCAATTTGCGTGCGATCGGTGGCGTCTTCCGCGCGTCCGTCTCGCGACTTATGTCGAGTATACCGAAGATTTTGACTGTCGCAAGTCAGCACGACGTGAGTGTTGCCGAGTCAGACGGCGCAGCTGCGGCTCTCGCTTGCAGATTCCAGTTTACGGTGGCGCCGACATGCCGCTGATTCGCGATTACACGGCCAGCGACTACTTCGGCAAAGGCGGCATGGGCGATTTCGTCTTTGACCGAGCGATATTGGCAAGCCTCGACAGAGCCAAGCACGCTGCCTTGGTCATGGTGGATCTGGTGAAGCGATATCCAGGTGAGATACTAAACGGTCAGTCTCGAGCGCTTCGACGGGCGCTGAGCTACTCGCTGATGTGTCCGAGGTCAGGCGCCGTGGACATCGTAACTCTGGGACCGGCGACGAACGTGGCGCTGGCCGCCTCGGTGGACCCCAGCTTCTCGAGGAACGTCAAGCGCTTCAACGTGATGGGCTCGGGCCCCTCGAGGATCGGCTTCAACTTCGCCCTAGATCCGCACAGCGCGACGATGCTGCTGAACGCGGCCACGACGAACACCAAGCTCGTGACGAGCAGCAGCGCGGTGCCGCCGAGGCAGATGCTGTCGAAGGTAAGGCGCCCGTCGGGTTCGCGACCCCCTGACCGAGCGCCGGCTCAGACTGCGCTCGACATTCCAGCACTGGCGGATCAACGTCCTGGGCAAGCTTGACTCCGAGCTCGTCGGGTTCATCAACGACGCGCAGTCGGTGGCGCTGAGGCGACTGGACTACTGGGCGGCGGCCGACTCCATCGCCGTAGCGACGGTCCTCTGGCCGGAGCTCGTCACCGACTCCGTCGTGGCGCGCGTCACCTCCGACGCCTGCGACCTCAGCTCCGGCTCCATCGGGCTCGAGAGCGTAGCTCGGGCCGACGGCAACGTCGAACTCGTCACCGGCTTCGACGTCTCCGGCTTCACCGACAAGCTGCTGCGACACCTGGCCCGATCGCTACCCTCGCGCTGACCTCTTGTCGGCCGGACGGCGAGTTGTATTTGTACCGGCAAGAACGCGCTGCGCCTCGGACACCAGTCTGATCGTTATTTACTTGGTCGAAACGGTTGTCGACATTGTCGAAAAGTCGCAAATACGTACGCCAAGTTTACGTGGTATGAGGTTCATTTGAGGTCTATAGAATCACACGAATCAGCAGAACGGAAGCGTTACTTTGTTTCACTGTTTGCTAGTTTTAGTCGCCTATTTTCTGAATAACACGCGTGAAACGCTCGTCTGCTTCTGTGAAAACGAATCTTATCGTCCATACCACGGATGCGGATGGTGACGACGATATATAGCTTGGGCGGTACCCAAACTCGTTGCAGGGTAGACAGACTCTGCGTGAAATCATTCAGAGCAACCGGCGCGAGCAGACGTTTTCAGCAAAGCCGTGAATTTAACAAGAGGGAACGAGAGAGAGAGAGAGAGAGAGAGAGAGAGAGAGAGAGAGAGAGAGAGAGAGAGAGAGAGATGGGTTAATTGAACAACTTTATTTTACTGTTGTAAAGTCCAATTTTTGGTAGAACCGGACAGCACTCACTGTACTATCGTGTACGATTATTATCATAAAATAACACAAAAATAACCATAAAAAATGAAGAAGTACAAGAGTGTGATCAAATTTAAGTTTGTTAACAAGAAAAGTGGCATATAAAATAATTAACAAAATAAAGTTATACTATCATAATAATGAAAAAGATCTAGTATACTAATATTAAAACCTGCTTTATATCTTATCTAATCCTAATCCTTAATATCGCTAGAAGTAATCCATGTATAAGCCTAGTAAACGTAGTCTAGTTTTTTGGCTTATTATAATATAGCATAATAAACCAAAAATTAGACTACACTACGTTATAATTAAGGACACTATCAAGCAAGTATAAACAGAAAATAATACTTAATAGATTCAAGAGAAGGCTTAATTTTTATGGTGTGTAATAAGGAATCCTGTAGTCTCATAACTGAAACACTCAATGATTTTATCGAAAATAGTGGTATACGTTCGGGGAATATCAAATGATGATGTCACAACATTATAGAGGTGCATGCTGATCTACACATACATCAGTATTATTATAGAAACCCATCAATTATAAATATTAAAGAAGTTCAAGAGTGAGAACATTATATAACTCATAACAGTCATAAAGTATATTGCCATCTCTTAACTGCAGTAAATCAGAGTAATTTAGAATAAAATGATTCGAGGTTGGGATATTCTTTCGTAATCTACCTCAGTGTACTATAATTCATAATAACTTCCAAGTTCTTGACAGAATTTAATAATTCAATAACGAGACCATTTATGGTAATTAATGATAGAGAGGGGTAGCCGATATGTTTCAAATTTTGATTCTATCCAACAATAATGGCCACGATTTTAGAGAAACTTAGAGGAAGGTCATATTCAAGGGATTATTTTGCCATATCGGAAGCATCGAAAGCGTATGAAGCCTTCCAATAGAAACAGATAATTCTTCTTTTTTACATCACAATACATTTGGAAATTATCTGCAAAGAGAGCACAGAGTAAAATAAAAGACAATTTACTATATGTTATATTACTGAAAATAAGAAAAATAATTGGTATAGGAATATATTAGATCCCTACGGAATACCGAGACATGGATAGATAAAATTAGTCAGAAATCCATACGATAGGTCTACAATCGCATTGAGATAGACCAGGTAGATAGAATGAAAACCATTTAATAAGCTTGCCAGAGCAATTTAATTTACATAAAAATAGAGTAGGATTGAATATTTTAATGGAGTCAAAAGCAAAGTAGGTTGCATACTACGATATTATCTAAAATCGGACTGCTTTGATAATATACATTTTGTTAGAATTAAGATATAACACAGATCTGCAAAATATGAGGTTGTGATTGTTATGGAGTAGCTGATAGTCATTTTCGAAGTAATTTTTGGCGTAGAACTCAAATCCAAGCTCAGAATTACTCCATCGCGTCAGGTTTTTTGAGTAATCCTAACCTAAAAGTGCGAAAAACGATTATACGCCATATTTGAACATACATAACATCGCCATTTTTTATTCTTTTTCAAATTTGAAATAACCACCAGAAAGGGCCACTCTCTAGCTTTCCAAATCACTATATATATATATATATATATATATATATGATTATCATTTTTTTAATTGGAGATATCGTCGATTGAAAAGAACTAAATTGCAGGTTTTGCAATGACCGATATATGAACGGAAAAATGACAGGACGTGTAAATTCCTTTGATGAATCTTTGTTGACCGAGACATTATATTAACAAAAAATCTTAAATAGCTAGTAGCACTCGGTTTATAAAACCTTAATAAGCTATAATCCCATAACCTCAAACACAATAACATCAAGCCCATGACAGGTAGGGCTCCGCTATTGTAAACCGATTAAGTTGTAACTCCAAAAGACAATAACATTAAGACAGGTAGGGCTCTACTGTTTTAAACCCAAGTATGCTGTCATTTTTGCCGTTCATATATTGGTCATGGTCTTCGGTTTAAAAAATTATAATCATACATATAAATAGTGATGTGGAAAGATGAAGACTAGCCCTTTCTGATTGTTATTGCAGATTTGAAAAATAATGAAAAATGGCAATGTTAAAAAAAATGGATGCTCAAATATGGCGAATAATCGTGTTTTTCGCACTTTTAGGTTAGGATTACCCAAAAACCTGATGTAATGGAGTAATTCTGAGCCCGGATTTGAGTTCTATGCCGAAAAGTACTTTAGAAATGGCTATTACCTAGTCTATAACAAAACCATGCTGATCTGTGTAATCTATGAATTTAGTAGTGATAAGCTTGTCAAATACTTTTGTACAGTGAGCCAAGTTCGCTGTAAACCGAGGGCTTGATAGAGATTTTTGTGTAGGAACTTTATTTAGAGGTATAACAAATGAGAGAGGGGAAGGTCGAGGACCGCTCGGCTCGAAGTGCAGGCCGCAGCAACGTCAACCCTTATTACCTTTTGTGAAAAAAAATCACGAGCGTTTTCGATTGAAGGCTCGTTCGCTTAAAAAGTTTTGGTAAATTGTGAAAAATACACATCACAGCGCGGTCATCTCATCGACTAAATCGAATTCAAGAGAGGAGAAATATTGATTCGTTCGACAATACAGCATCCTCGCGTCGTTAATAGATCATCATCGTCATCCGAGCGCGACTGTCGCTCTCGTAGTGACTCATCTCGACGTTTATTGGAAAAATGAAAACGTCACTTGAGCCTATCAAGCCAACCGCACCGCGGCGTTGGCAGCGTCTCTCTCTCTCTCTCCCCACGACGCACACACACAGCACATGAGCACACGAGAACACATACACTACCACAGTAGTATAGTAGTAAGTCGCTCGTCTCGTCGTCGAAGAGGTGGAGTGTGCGCGTAAGGTACCTATCGGTTTTCCTCTCGTTCAGGACTGCAGCTCCAGAGAGGATCCTGGTCTTCGTCATCGTGCGTAAGTACTCATTGTAGTCCAATTGCGCGATCTCTTCACGACTCAACTCGTTGCCGAATCGACAGCGAAGCTCGCGTACAAAAGCACCACTAAGAGGTTAAATACGCTCTCTCGCCTGCGACTTGTGCAACAGTTTAGTTGGTGGAAAAGTCGCTTTGTTTGCCGCTTAAGCACGCAATTTTCGGGCCTATACCTGTCGACTTTTTCCGCTAACCTGTTGATTTATAATTTCAGAAGTTCCTTCGCTTGATTGTGCTGTACAAGGCTCGAGCTGATTTCTCCGGTTTCTTTTCTTTTTCCGTGATAGCCAAGCTCACTTGTTTGTGCTCCAAAATCCAAGCTCGCACTTTATTCGATATCTCATCAAGAGATGCATTTGATATGTTGATATGAATTATGGTGTTTCTCTTTGGAGATCTATGAAATCTGACTATCTCGTTTACCAGGACTTTGTACCAAGAAACGCTTGTGACTTGTTGCTTGCAAAATTAAATGACTAATAGAAATAGTGGAGCCAATACAGCACAATCAGTGTATTGATTATCTTTAAAATATTGATGGTATTACAAAATAAAATGTTTATTACAAGTTTGTATTGAACCTGCTAAATATCTCTGATTGTCACAAAAATATTTCAGCAAATCTGATAAATCTGATATTTGAATCAATTACCTATAAATATGTTGATAGCCATTGTATATTTTGAACTCTTATGTTAAGGGTGAAGAATACTTATATTTTAATAAAAATTTCAAATATTAATTCTTGCCTTTATAAATTATGTTGTAGACACAATTTTATTATTAATTAACTTAATTTTGACATGTCTGATTACAGAAAATCATTTGACTGTTAGCTTACTTATGGTGTATCATAAGTAATCTATGAAACTTATCGTTCAACGATTTCAGTTTAAAGTAATTTGATGTCTGTGAGTCATATTTTGGCCATTCAAAAATACCAAAATACATTTTATGATCATCATCAATCGGGAAAATTTTTAACTGGAAATTTAGTTGGACATTTCTCTTTTTTAAATAATAGTTTCATGAACTATTACTCAACGTATAAATTTTGTCATCAAGTTTTTTTTTTTTCTGTTTCAGGTTTATGGACTGTTAGTTTTATACATTTAGTAGATTTTAACTCTCACTACCAAAATGACTGAATACAAGCTGGTTGTGGTTGGAGCAGGAGGTGTAGGTAAATCTGCATTAACTATCCAACTGATCCAAAATCATTTTGTTGATGAATATGATCCTACAATAGAAGACTCATACAGAAAGCAGGTGAGTGTACTTATCGATATTGATTATTTTAAGCATACATTTTCGCTATTTCAACAGCGAATAAATGAAAAATTCACAAAAATTTGAAATGTAAATGAACACTGTCACTAGATATTGATCTGTTCCATAGGTCGTTATAGATGGAGAGACGTGTTTGTTAGATATTTTAGACACAGCTGGCCAAGAGGAGTACAGTGCAATGAGAGATCAATATATGAGGACAGGCGAAGGATTCTTATTGGTATTCGCCGTGAATTCTGCAAAGAGTTTTGAAGTAAGGAGCGTCGTCAATATAATCAACTCGATGCCTCTTAATTAATTTCTACCAGAGATCTGAAAAAGCACGTATGCGTTGCAGGACATCGGTACATATCGCGAACAAATAAAAAGGGTCAAGGATGCGGAAGAGGTACCGATGGTGTTGGTCGGCAATAAGTGTGATCTCCAACAGTCCTGGGCTGTGAATATGACACAAGCGAGGGAAGTTGCGCGTCAATACGGCGTACCTTTCGTCGAAACCTCCGCTAAAACTAGGATGGGTGTCGACGATGCGTTCTACACTTTGGTGAGCATCATTGCTATATTCTACTGATAAATTTTTAATTCTTCATTGGAAATGAATTAGTTTACAATCTTTTTTATTAAGAAATTTCATTTTTATTTAAATATCTGTCATATAATAATTTTATACCAAACATTTTATTAGAAAGAGCTAGAATATTATTTTACAAGTTCAAGTGTGATAAACTTTTTCGACATTATTTGTACATCTTTTGTTACAAATACTTTCATAAATCAAAGTCAATTTCTTCCGTTCCCATAAGTAGTAATAAAATTATTGCAGTAGCACTTGTTGAGTGTTCAATAAAAATCTAGCAATTTGGAGTCTGCTAAAGCATGATGTCACACAGTTAAATCATGTTGAAGCATGAGATCACAATGGAAGTATTGAGTGCATTAACTTCCGCATACCGTCACTGCTGTACAAAACAAAAAAATATGAAATAATCAAATTACTTATTTTTAAGTGAATCAGGTTTTATTGAAAAAATACCTGAATTTAAGTATCGTTGATAATCGTGCGTACTTAATTCATTGGATTATTTTCCCAGGTTCGAGAAATCCGGAAAGATAAGGAGCAAAGAGGAAAAGAGAAACGAAAAAAAATGAAAGCTGGCAACTCAAGTCGCAGAAAACATCGGTGTTGTATTCTTTAAGTTAATCGATAATTTCTGTTATTTTAAACTGTGAGGAAGCATTAGTATATTTGCCTCGTATACGTCGAGTTATTTATATTTGCACAATTCTCAAGTAAATCATAAATGATATTGAGACAAGTGCAAGAAACAGCACAATTTCATTGTTCTTTTCTGTGAATAATGAAAAAAACTATGAGAGTTGATCAAACAAATCAACTATAAATCATACAAGAACAAAACAAAAACTCGATTTTCCATTTGCCACAATCATAGAGAAATCAGAAATCTTTTTAAATTTATTTTTGCAACCATTGTATAATCTATACCTGGGAGTGATTTCGCCCAGTATGAAGTGATGTTACTTTTTTCATGTGTTGTAATACTTGATCAAGTATTTTTAAGTATTCATAAATAAGCATAGGATATTAATTTTTGTCGATGATGAAAGCACAAACATTGAAAGCTCAAACACTCCTAAGTTAGGTACACATTAACAAAAAGATTGAAAACTAACAAAAACATAATAATCAAGGGCAATAAATCTTTTACTGTGATCATCAGGCCTCTAACATTAGCATCAGTCGATAGCAAAATGAAATTTTTGTGTAAATTATATATGAATTGTGTAAATCATATCCGTATGCAGTATAAACATAAATTTTGTCAATATTATTCGTCAAACAGTCACTTCTCAGCAGATGGAATAGTTACGGAATAATGAGTGACCAAATATTTGGAAGTAAAATTTTGTGTGCAGTATAAGTTTTTTTTTGTCGACGCCTGAAAGCGCCCCCAAGTTTTCGACGAGAAATGCTTTTGTAACTGATTATTGAATGATTATTTTGCTACGCTGTATTATAGCTGTGTATAATAATTGCAATAACACGTTCGTTCTTATGATTTTATGTAATTGTATATAACGTATGTAAAATTTTCTGAAGCACTCTCTCGATCTACTCTTTAGCCGACAAAAATAAAAAACAATAAAATCATTCGAGACATTGCTCGCAAAGAATTTTGTCGTGTGTGTGCTTCAATCAAAACTTTTTTAATACATCAATATTTCTACATTGTACTTTTCATCAGTGTAATCTCGCAAAAACAAATAAGCAAAAAACAAAAAAGTTAAAAAAAATATTGGAATGAAGAGACGGTACTTAGGGTCTCACAGCGAAACTAGCAATAACATTAAAACTCTGCACTTGGTTTCCCCGTGTACGATTCTGTTGTTGTTTTCCTTTTCTTCTTTCTTTTATTTTTGTATTAGTTACTATATTTTTATACGAACTTTTTGTATATCAACTTCGCGTACATGATTTCTTCGATCTTCCAAGCGTATCCATAATTATTGTCATTTACGATACACACGTATAGATAACGAAAAAAAGGAAACAAAAAACAGCGTATACAAACTGCAATTGTAGCCTCGACTTGTGTTCTTACTCGCGAAAAGAGAAAATTCGCGCTCTGAGATGTAGGGAAAGAAAGAGAGAGCGAGTAGCGCGAACGCGAGAGAGTGAGCGAGAGAGTATGTGCGCCGCTGACTCAGTGGAATTCTTTCATATTATTGTAAATGTGTATGTGCGTGTTTCGTTGCGCAGCGATCGGGTCATACCTATTTTTAAGTTCGCGCCAGCGCCGCTGCCGTGCTAATGCCGTCGTTGTATCCAACAGTTATACGATTTCTCTTTTTCACCGAAAAAAAGCAACAATACCGTGTACGCGCTCACATTATTTGTTCGTCTTCGCGCGACATCGAGCTTACAGAACTCTGCTGCTGTCCGTGCAAGTTTCGATCGATGCTACCTTTCTCTCGTGGAAGTTGACCATTGCAGAATAGTCGATTGCAATTCGCGTGCCTCCGATTTCGAAGTTGTCGAATTGCTGACTGATCGACAATAATGATTCAAACGACACATGCAGCTTGCCACGAAAATACATATCCCACGCGATGGCGAACGAATTCGTCAAGTTTTCAATTTTTCTAGGGCACTTTCTCAGCAAACTTCAACAAACGCGCCGTATTTTACGAAAATACTCTTGGATCACTTTTTCCTAGTTCGTCGATAGATGACAGTAGATTATTGATATCCACAAACGTCAATAGTGAGACGATAACATCGCTGACGTTTGATTTATTATAGATCGAGCGGCAAAGGTTTATTTTGTTTTGATCTTGCAGCGAGGTGTACCAATTTAGGTACGAACATGCCAATTCGTTACGATTATACTTTGACAATAATTCTGTACATAGATACAGTGCCAGTGTTGCCCCCCCCCCCAGTTTCTTTTCGTTTTGATCGCGAGAGGGAAGATTGCTCAGGAGGATATCGTGAGAATAACGTCGATAAATTCTTTTTATTTTTTTTCTCTCTCCCTTCGACTACTCTTATACCTGTATAATCTGTCTTATGTTCGAACGAATGCCGGAGTTCTTAATCATAAGTACTGATATCATTTACTGCATATACATATGACAACAAATAAAATTTTACTAAAACTAAAAGACTCGTTTTTGCTTTTTTCAGAAATTACCTATTTCTATTCATGCTGTTCTTTTTAATTTTTACGATATATATGAGATAAGAAAGTATTTTTTTCTTTTGAGAAATTATTTTAATGAAACGTTCTGCTACAATCTTGTTAATTAATTCGCTTGATTGCCACCAACTGATACAGTGTGATAAATATATATGTGGTCTCTTACGTCAAGGAATATTCTAATTATTGCTCTTAATCACGAAGCAACTTACATATTCATCAATTTTTAAGAGTCTCGGCTCAATAGCCTAAAAATAACTCGATATATTTATAAAATAAAAAGCAAGTACATCAGTCTGGGTATTTGCTTTTCACATAGAATATATAAGTACGTTATTTGAAAAGTCCATAAATGTAACGTATATAAGATTTACTAGTACTTTTGATTACTGAATGTTTTCACGTGCTTTCAGAAAGACAATTTTTTTATTGATTGTATTGTTATATGACACAAACGAACTGATGCTACACCAATTAATGATGTGAAGTGAATTTTAGCTATACCTGCTTAATGTTCGAAAGAGGATAAAACGTGACCAAGAGATTTTTCTTTTACATACTTTTGACATATTATTTTCGTTTACGCGGAAATGGAATCAACAAAACTGTCCAGGCAAAACTTGATAAGATAATCATCACGTGTGAATACCGTTTTTTCAAAGTCGTTGATTGTCATTGTCAGATTTGCATGATCCCATTATATTCGAGTTTTCGTGATAAGCCCACAATAATAATACGATTGATGAAATTATTGAATCAATTGTGTAAAATGCTGTAAGCTTCGCGATGCTGTCGATGATTTACCTTCTCAGCTGTTCTCGTCACACTCGACTGGGCTGAGTTGTTAACCATCTTTTTCGAGTATCCTCGTTCTTTCTCCAACAGAGCATAAGGCTGATCAAATTCTGCGACTTGGTCAGCCTCCGCAGAAATAATGATGTCGCTTAAATTGCTCCGGACTACCGAACAGCATGGCTCATCTCCATCTCTCGAAAACCGACTGGAAGAACGCGTCGTCGTAACGATGCAGAGGATCCGCGAAGCGAGGTGACGAACAACGTCGACTCCTGGGAAATTACCGCAAGTCCAACTTGTGAATGAACTTGGCATCAGTTGAAAGTACTCTGACCACCAAACAACCTATTGACCGTTCATCGCGTATTCCATCTGCGAATAGCCCAAGCTTAAGTTGTTGAACTGTTTGGTTCGTCGGACTGCATCTCGTGGGATACCTCTTGATTCAGCTAACTGTACTAGAACGTCCTCTCAATGGTACTTGTATGGAATACGAGGTCGGCGAATCGCCTCGTCACGTAATGTATGCAGTCGTGCAGACGTGGTGGAACTGTGTGAGGTCGAGCCTCGTGCCCTCTCTTCATAATTTTCGCGCGCTTGAGCGGGATGAAGGCCTTGACTATGAAGGTTCAAACAGTGTTATGCTACGAACGGATAATGTGTTAATAATTTACGAAATGAGAGCTACTTTTCGAGTAGATCACCGAGGACTCCGCTGGCAATTTCTGGTATAGTAAAACTTTATAGATTGTTATTTTTATTAAAATGGAATATGTGCATACATACATTTGCATACATGTGCAATCAATGATTTTCTCTGTATCGCAGAATTTTATCGAACGTAGTATTGGCGAGTAAAAAATTCGATATGTGCGCGTAATAAGTCAATCTGCTAAGGCTAATTAACTGATGGATACGTACGTTTGCTTTGTATTTAAGTTTCACATTAGCATTGAAAAACTTTGAATGTTTAACGATAATCTGTACAATGGTTCCTTGATCTGATCCCATATGCGCTGCAATTTCACGCAATTACGATTAAGTTTTTTTCAACTTGCCTTTTTTAGAAAAAAGAAGCGTGAAAGCGTTGTCGAACTGTAAATGCCATTTTTGACTATCGATAATCTTGCTGTTTCGTTACAAATAAACAAGTCGACATTAGAAATGAGGTGACTAAACAGCAGTTAGACTGGGAGATTAACAATACGAATAAGATGATTTGAAAAAGAATTGTGTTTAGGGTGCTACTGCGACGATCCGAGAATCCGTACTAATAAAGCTTTATCGAAATAGCTGTCAGACAAGTATGATTTTTATTGCACAAACGAAAAATTATTTACATATGTATACAAATATCTTATTATCATATTTACACGCTCACTCATACAGACAGCTATCGAGTCTATTTTCACTCGATAGCCATCTAAGCGCACGAGTATCGGATATATTATCTTTGTCAATCGGTAAAAATGACGAATGGTCAATGATTGAAACTAGGAAGCTACGCACTGCCGGTTTCTCGCACCATGTTCGCAAAGTAGCCATTGTTCTTTGCCAATAGAATTTCGGGACGGTCGAACTCGACCACTTCGCCGGCGTCCATGACCAGGATCCTGTCGCTGTCCATGATTGTTGTCAGCCTGTGCGCTATGGTGAGCACGGTGCAGTCGCCGAATTTCGCCCTGATCGTCCTCTGAATAAGCTCGTCCGTGGCAGGATCGACGTTGGCCGTCGCCTCGTCGAGCACCAAAATTTTGTTTCTCTTGAGGATCGCACGAGCCAGGCACAGCAGCTGTCGCTGGCCTGCGCTGAGGTTGCCGTCCACCGGCTCCTCCAAGCTCTCGAAGGCCTTGTTCATCTCTACCTCTTCCAGAGCGGACCACAGCGAGACGTCGTCGTGCTGGTGAAGAGGATCCAAGTTGTCGCGCAGCGAGGCCGTGAACAGCGTCGGCTCTTGAGGTATTATCGAGATTTTCGTGCGCAGCTCGAGAAGATCGATGCGCCTCGTGTCTACGTTGTCGATCAGCAGTGAGCCGTCGTAATTGGCTAGGCGGAAAAGGGCCAGCACCAGCGATGATTTTCCAGCGCCTGTGCGCCCGACAATGCCGACCTGCGGATCGATCATGGGAATTTCGGACGCCTGACGTTAACTTTCACCGGTAGCCGATAACACCTGGACACTGACCTTCATATTCGGAGTTATGGTAAAGTTGAGATTCTTCAGTATCGGTTGCTCGTCCTCGGAGTATCTCAGATATACCTTCTCGAACTTGATTTCACCCAGACAGGGCCAATCTTTATCGAGGCCAGTCACAGGCTGGCCGTCCGATAATCCTTCCCGCTCCAATTCGGTGAACTGGAACATCCTCTCTACGCTAGTCATTTGGCCCATGAGTTCGGCGATTTGCTTCATGACGAACTGCAGCATACCGCAGATGGTTAGAACCTGAGTGAGCGCGAGTCCTACGTCGCCGGCGAAGGTGTCTCTGTCATTGAGCAAAATGAAGCTGTACGCGAGAAAAACGAGGAGAGCGATCGATAAGAAATCCAACCAGAAACCGTAGGCAGCCGAAGTTACTAAGTACAAATAGTGAGCTGCCGTGTGAGCATCCTGACGTTTGTCGAAATCGCGTCGAACGATCGTTTGCGCTTGGCAGGATCGGATTGTAGGTAAGCCCAAGAGAGTCGAGGTGACGAGAGAAAAGACAGGGCTTTTGGCTGAAATCAGACGAGAAAATGAGAAAGCGTGTACGTTTCTACGATGAAACCCAGTAACCGCGGACCATTTTTAAAAGTATTAATACCGTTGCTCTCCAGTCTCTTGATGACTTGAGCAGTCGACAAGTAAAAATCATTGATCTTGACGAAAAGTAAACCGACGATCACTATGGGACCGATTGTCCACCAATTTATTATCAGTATTTGAGTTATTACACCCAGAGTAAACAGAATTCTTTCGATCACTTCCATCATGGAATTGGGTAAAGCGGTATCTACTTCTCCGGTATCCTTTGAAAATCGGTTCACGATCCTTCCTAAAAGAAAGAAGAAAAAAATATTGATCGGTGGTTCGAGAAATCGGTTGACTATGGAAGGAAACTATGGCCAGATAAGAAGTCAGACAGTAAACCGTACCAGAAGGATTCAAGTTGAAGAATTGCATTGGCGTCCTCACCAATTGCGAAAACATTCTATTATGAATATTCCTGCTGGACTTTAAAGCTCTCCTGTAGAACAGGAGATTTCTGATATTCGAAAATATGACGATCGCTATAACCAGCCCACCGCACACGTATAAGGCGGTCTCGTTGTCCAGATATTCATCGACTTTAGTCGCGGATCGATTATCGTCGGTATTGTTAAGCGAGTTCAAGCCTTTGAGACGCCTCTCTTCCTGGTTCGTCCTGAAAATGAAGAAAATTGACAAAGATGCTATAAAGCGTCCCCTTGATGGCTGCTCGGCTTATCAGTTGTACTCACCAGAACGACAGCCAATAATCGAAACCACTGATCGACACTTGAGTAAGTACGAAAAGGAGCATCATGACTGCGAAGGTGAAATAAGAGCCACCGGCTTTGAAATACTTCAAGTACAAATACTTGGAAATTCGTCCCTTTGCTAAAAGTTCCTCGGTTTCTTTGGGCTCTTTGTCGGTGATCTCTTTCCTCTTGACCACGGGGATCAAATTCACCGCGTCTCGGCCATTCTTATCTTCGACGGACGATTTCTCGACTTGGTCGTTCAGTGGCAAATGCTCGAGGTACTGCTTGTTGGAGACAAGCGTTTGGTACGTACCTTGAAATTCTATTGCGCCCTGGAATGCGAAGACACGTTAACGCGAACGCGAACGCAGCAAACGCAAACGAGACGCTTACGTTGTTCAGCACAATTATCCCGTCGGCTTGCCGTAGATACTGCATCTGGTGAGTCACCAAAATACGCGTTTTATTTTTCAGCAATCCGTTGATGCAGTTGTCGAACAGATTTTTCGAGACTCGCGTGTCCACGGCCGACAGCGGATCGTCGAGCAAATAGATATCGGTATCCCTGTAAACAGCCCTGAAACAGCGACGTTGGACGAATCGATTCGGAATGATCGACGACGACGACGACGACGACGACGACGAGTTTTCGGATACCTAGCCAAATGAACTCTGGCACACTGGCCACCGCTCAGGGACATGCCTCTCTCGCCAACCAGAGTTTTGTCGCCGAACGGGAGTTGATCCAAGTCCTCGAGGAGCGCGCAAACGGTTGCGACTCTGTCGTACCTCTCCTCGTCGTACGCCTCGCCAAACAGTATATTGTCCTTGACGGAGCCCGCGAACAGCCAGGGCTCCTGACTGGCGTACGACACCTCGCCGGAAACCACAACTCGACCGGTAGTAGGCTGCAGCTCGCCGAGGATCAGCTTCAAGAGGGAGCTCTGCAGCAAAAGCAACGATCGTGGATTCGACGTGGACGCTGCCGCGGAAAAGAAATTCAACGGCCTGTCGTCCGACCTTTCCCGAGCCGACGGGTCCCACCACCGCGTACAGCTTTCTGGGGGCTATGCGCAAATTGACGTTGCCAACGTGCTTCACGCTGGACGTGCTGCCGCCGCCCCAGGATGCGTTCACCTCCTTGACGGACACCGCGCTGTCGCCGATCAGCTTCGTCGGCAGCGCTTGTCTCGCGTCGATTTCGTCGCGGAGCAGGAACTCCTACGAGCGGCGCCCCGACCGCAAATTATTACATGCCTCGACCGCGAAGCGACCGGTCGTGTCGCGGTTTACCTACCTCGATCCTCTTGATGGACACGTTGACCTCGGCGCCGAGGAACACGGCCTCCGGGAAAAACCGAGCCATCACCATACGCACCAGCATGAAGTAGTTGACGGTCGAGAAGATCTTGTCGGCCGTCATAGCGTGGTCCAGCTGCACGTAGACGAAAATTGTGCAGAACAGGGCTGCTCGGTGGGTGAACACGGCGAAGGCCAGGCTGACGCTCTTCACGTAGAACTGCTTGACGATAGCGTCGATCTCGCGCCTCCTGGCCAGGCGGACCAGCCGCTCGAACGACCTCTCCCAGGCGTACATCTTGATCGAGCGGATCCCGCCGACGATCTCGCCTATCAGCAGCACCCGCTTGTCCGTTCTCGCGGCGCTCTTCGCGCGCAGCGTCGACGTCATCCTGTACCAGCACACTGCGGCAGCATTCGGCTTACAGCAGCGCTCGCGAAATCGATCGTCGGGCTCGCGTCATGCAACCGACCATACCTTGCGTCGGAATGATCTGCGCGCTCATGAACAGAATCCCGGCGAAGGCGGCCACGCCGAGCTGACGGTAGATCAGGAACGTTATCACGGCCAGCACTATCGGCATGATCCACGTGTAGTGCAGGTGCAAGAAGAACTTTTCGAACTTGGCCAGGTCGTTGGAGAGCAGATTGATGACGAGGCCGTTGGCCTCGGGGCCGGCGCACGCGCAGGACAGCCGCAGCACCTAAATATTCGTGCACAAGATTTTAGTAGCCTGCAAGAAGAAACAGCGAATTCAGTTGGCCCTAAGCAATCGCCGAAGATTGGGATTGATGCGCGCGACGTGGTCGCTTCCAAGGCAGTCTCACGCAATCGTCGAAGGCAATTTTTGTTTTGTTGACTTTCCAAAAAAGCTGCGGCTCGCCGATCGCTCGTTATATCTTTCTCGTCCACAAATATCTTGTGCAGTGCGCACTCGCGATAACGCGCGCCAATTGGCGCGATGGCGCACATCCAACTCTAATTATCGTTAATCTGACACGACGCTGTCAACGAGCTCGGCAATAAAGATTCGCGTCGAGCAGAGCAATCGTCTTTCGGAAGACAATCGATGCGCGAACCTGCTGCCTTCCGTCGTCATCCATCGTCATACCGAATCTACAAGTGCTCAGCTCGCGGCTACGAGCGCGAGCGCTGCCGTAACGCGAAGCAGGCTGGAAGCCAGCGCTGGCGGACGCATCCATCGGCGATTATCTCGCTCGGAGATTACATTTCATTTTTCCTCTCTCGAGTGCCATTGCTTTCCCGATAAAGCGCAACGACAAGGGCAAAGTTCAAACGCGCGACTCGCCGAGCTCGGCTTGCGGTAAACAAGCGCGCGTCGCGCTTGGCGACGTCCCTCTGGACCCCGAGCGCGCGGTCGACACCTCGACGATCGACTGCCGCACGCGCTTTCTCCTTTTATTCCGGGATCAGCGGCGCCGCGAGCTTCGGCAAAATAAATACCTTGCGGTAGATAAGAGACGAGCAGGCGATTCGCACTCGCATCCCAATGATCGACTGGCCCAGGTGAGCATGCCTGACGATGACCGTTTGCAGGACGGTGACGAGGACGAGGGCCGAGGCGTACAAGTAGGCGTCTGCCGTGCTCGAGTTGGAGGTCGGATTGAAGTGCCATATCAGCTTGGCCAGGACCAAAGGCTGCAGTATCCTTCGGGCGAACGACGATTGGCGTCAGCGCCGGCGGCTTTTTTTCGCGTTGCGCAAACAAAACGGAGCCATTCGGCTGTCAACGAGCGCGTGTTTGGATAGCTGCGCGTTGGGTGACGCAAGATTTATAGCTTCCTTGTCAATCGCCAGGCTCGATCGGACGATTTATTGGCGAAACGAAATGGGATTCAGTGGCGCGGCACGAGGAGGATCGCGCCACTGGACTTGTTCTTTGTGCACCGACAATAATAACGTCTTGGCGTAACAGCCACGCGAACTCGTCAACGAGTTGTCTTGCAGCTGCGCGAGAAGCAATCGCGCGCGAGCAAAGTGGTTGTTTTTTCTGGAAAACCGATACGATATGCCGAGCGCAGCACGGACGGTTTTCGCCTCGCTCCACTCGGAGACAGGACTCGGAGCGAAGCCGATAAGCCACTCACTTGACGATGTTCAGAACGAGGACGCCGACTCCGTGCTTGACGAACGACCAGCCGAAGGTCCTGCGGATCGCCCTCCACAAGCTCGGCCTGCGCTCCCTTTCCTTCGACAGCGACAGCTCCCTCTCCCACGACCTGCAACGTCGTTCTCGCGTTCATTAGCAGCTCGTTCGCTTGGCCGGCTCGCTCGGCCGAGGTTTCACCTCTCCAGCTGATCGCCCAGCGCCTCGCTGACGTTCCCCGGCGAGAGCTCGTAGAGGTCGCCGGCTCGCAAATCGTTCCTCTTGCCAAGCCGGAAGAGACCGAGCAGCCACCTGCGAAGCAATCGCAGCGATCGCGCGACACGACCAGCTGCGTGAGAGACCAAACGAGAGTTGCCGCGGCGACGGGCTTCTCGCGCGACTCACCAGAACGTCAACCGGCTGAGGCAGTTGGCCGTGGATCGAGGACTCGGATTGGCGCTCTTCGCTTGGGTCATCGTCTCGTCCGTAGCTCACGCGTATCTCAGCGCGCCGGCATCTCAGCGACGATTAGGCTCTCCGCTGGCGCGATCTCCCTCGATCAGCTGCGGCGTCGCCGTAGCCTTATCTGATAAGCCGACCGACGCACTTGGCATTGTCGCGCCTCGGCGCAGTAGTGTTTGCTCGTACGCGCGCGCGCGCGCGCGCGCGCGCCAGTCTCGCGATCGCGCAGGACGCGCTCTCCTCGAGGCCGGAGGAGGACGATCGCGGCTCTTTGTCCGAATCGTCGGCGAGTGGCTTCCCCCGTCGATTCCCCCGTCGATTCCCCCGTCGATTCCCCCGTCGATTCCCCCGTTGCGCCTCGCCGAGCGCGTCGGGATAGCGCACGTTTCGTCGCTCGCTCGCTTCGTCGAAAGCTCGCGGACGATTTGCGCGCACGCGCGCGCCAACACTGGATTATCGCGCATCTCTCGGCAACCCGTTTCTTTTTCCGCTAATAAAATTATGTAAATTTGCATTGGCATTGACGTTTATCTTGGTCTCAAGGAAAGCATCGATGACGTTCGCTTTGGAAAAAAGAGACTGCTCCACTGCGTTCCAACGATTCCAACGAATAATTATTGAACGGTTCGCTTGGCAATATACAGTTGACAATTAGCAGTTCGTTGCTGAAAATGAGGCGAACGGCGGCACTACATTTGCCCGTCACTGCTCTGTCCGTGCAACGATTCCGATGTAAATTTCATAAGATTATGAATTTGCTGTACGACACTATAATCAGTGCGCTGGGCTTTACTATCGCAGCTGCAGTCATCTCGCTTATCGGAGAACGGCTTGCAATTAATGAGCGCGTGGCCGTTATTTATTTAGTTGTAATAAGTCTTACCGTTTTTCCTTTTTTCAATAGTAGCGCTCGTTTTGCATTGTCGACACAACCAAGCTTCAATTTTCCCTTTGTAATGCCGACAACGCGATCGCGTGAAAAAGTTTTACGCAATGCAATTTGGCATTGACGAATAATTGATGAATTAGACTTAATTACCTACGTACAATGCTGAATTTGAATTTTGGAATACATTTGCTGGTTTTATCGCATTCCTCAAGACTAGATCGGAGATGGCAGTGCGTGTGCAATTGTTCGATTCTATTGAAAAAAATAACGTTCATTCTAGAGCCACTATTAATTTTCTGGAAAAAAGGTATCGCCAGGTACTTATCCAATGCTAGCCCATAGCTATCTATCGATAATTATCTATTGGTAACGCGAATAATTCAAGTTTCGATAGGATAGCAGTAACTAGCACGGCTAATTGATACGATTATCGGAAACGTTCGTCGTTCCCTGTTAGTTTCGAGTGGCTGTGAAAAATGGATGTCGAAAACACCTCGACACGATCTTGGATCAAATTCAAGAATACTGCAAAGATGCTCGTTTCTTATTCACATTTTATCTGCGTCTCCTGATAAGGACCATTGTTTTTCAAAGTGTATAAATTCGCACCGACAAGCTACCGATCACGGCCCATTTGTCGAGTCACGTTACAACTCTTGTGCTTCGTCTTGGCGCAGTGCCTAAGTTTCATTTCACAACAATATTTCCATGCAGATTCATTATACAGTTCTGAGTGTGTTCTCGTTACGGATCGCGGCTGGTAGTTCCGAAGCAAAGCTAGCAGGAGCGCATCAGAAGATGGATAGATGGATATCGAGTCTTTCGCTGACGAGAGGAATGGACAAATCGATCTAAAAAGGACATCCCAAATAAAAATTCGAGAGAGTGCTCGCTTAAGATTGGCACGACTATTTGCTCTCATAATGTCTGCCGAACCATTTGACGCTGTTATTTTTGCATGTCGCGCAAACTCGAACGAGGCAATGTGCAAAATAGTTGCAAAATATCTTAGTTGCAGAAGGATAAGATTCCGGCAAGGGATACAATCGCGGCGCCTATTTGTCCTAAGTGATGTGGCGAGCGAACGGAGATCAAAGCCAGCTATGACGTAGACGGCGACATCATCGAGCACACACACAATAAGCCCGAGGACTTGCTGGCGCCCAACTAAATTCTCAATTTAGTCAATTTATGAAGTGCGTGTTAATCTCGAGTGATAGAGCTTTTTGATTTATCAGTTTTTATAGTGGATAAAGCAGCTGTCAGATATAAAACCAATTGATCAATCGTGACTTTCGCCTTTCAAATTTTACCGTCGTATATATAATGGAATGGAGTACAGTCTTTGCTTTCAACTATATATGGACAAAAGCTCTTTGAGCCCTTTAATATTTCTTTCAATCTCTCCAGTGCCTTTTGCAAACATCATTATTTCGATGATTTTTTTTTTTCAAATCGAAATAAAGAAAAAAGTACGCCAGTACTGAAACAGAAACAGCTAGCCTGGGTATATGTATTTTTATACTATTGACGTGGGAAATCATCTCCTCCATCGTGGAAACAAGTATACGTACGTAGGTAAAATTGTCGCTTTGTCAATATAAGTAGAATCCAATAACTGTCGTGACAGTGAGGCAACATGGGCGCTTGGGTTGCATTCCCATCGCCACAAGGCAGCCTGGCAAGGCAGATAAATCATTAACGCGTGCAAACGATTCGCCGAAAACTCAGCACAGGCACGGAGCCCCGCTCTTGAATGGCACGCAGACTTCACTTCACAAGAGTGCTGCGATGTCTCCAGTGAACGATCAAAGGCAACGCCTATCGTGCTCGTTGCGATCACGACTATTTATCATTTTTCAAAGGACGCGAGATCCAATGACAAGCCTTGACGAACGATACCGTGGGCACAAAACCCACCGACGAGCTCGCTGACGATCGACTCGTCGCGTTACAGTGCCCATGAGATCGGATCGACGTTGGCGATGAGCGTGCTACGAAGACCGGCAAGCCCATCCGTCGTCACTTACGCAGGACGGACACACGATGGACAGCTCGTGGGCAGTCATCCTGCTCAGCTACTGCCTGGGCTTCGTGCTGCTGCGCACCCTGACCACCTGCTCCACCGCGCGTCGCCTCCAGCTACGCGATGCTAGCCCGGTTCGATTCCCCGTCGGGCTTGTAACGATTGATCGTGGCCGGCTACGTGCTCCTCGCCGTCACCACCGAATTCGAGCTCCTGCCCCCATCGCGCGATGTATTGTATCGTCCTCGACTTTCGCGTGAATTGAACATCGCTATAAACACTAATAAAATCGGCATTCAAAATTCACGGCTTTCTTATATCGCAAGTATTCAGTTCAGCTAAGAGTTAACAACGCGCGAAAGCGTGGCTTGATTTTTCGAGTCAGATGAACGCAGCGATGTGAACCTTCGAGTTGCATATTTGAAATGTCAAAGCCTCTCCAAAGTAACTCTTGTCGTCAATGTGCGTGGAGCTCCATTCCTCGATAACGCACGCCTAGTTTGAAATATCCGAGCAGACACGTAGGCGTCTGCGAACCTACATTTTACAATGTGCATTAACGGCAAAGCTTGCCGTGTGGCCTATCGAGTGCGTTGGTTGGTTGACGCAGGCGATAGCGTCCAAAACAATACGCACGCGAACCGCTTCGCAGTCCCCGGTGAGGCCACATCGGTATATCCACACTGCTTCTGTCTCTCTCGCCTCTCTCTCTCTCTCTCTCTCTCTCTCTCTCTCTTCATATTTCTGGTTAAATTATCGTCAATTATGCAAAGACTCTCTCGCGACGGGTTATATATCACGCGAAACGAGTCCGCCCACCCTCGGTAAGCCCGAGGCGTTACGGAAGCTTCACGCCATCCCCTCTGACTCGTCATTTATACACAGATGCCGTGCATCGACAAGCGATCGACTGCAATTCTCTTTACGCACGGCGAGCTTGCTCGTGCGTATCGTAAGATGATAATAGGCGTCGCGAGGCCGAGAAAGTTGCGTGGAGTACGTGCCAGCAAACGGCGACATTGTCGTCGACGGTGAGTTCAATGCGCGTCACCTTGACGACGGTTGTCTGATTTCGACGGGCTTTCAAAGCGCTACCGAGGCAGAGTCCGCGTACTTCCCAGGCGGGAGCGGCGTACGCGAGATGATCGAGCTCGACGCGGCTGGACCCCGCGTTCTTCGTCGTTGCCGCGCCGCCCACCGTCGCTCACCGTCCGTTCCCATCCAATGGTCGCATCGCTAGCCCTTCTACCCGCTCTACCCAGAGGGGCGTATCATCTCGCGCGCGCCTAACATCGCGCCTAACTTTCAACCGATTCGTCATTTTTTTTTCTTTGGCGGCACCAAAGAGGGTCTGCTCACGCGTTTTCCGTGTTCGCCCGCTGAGAAAAAGCTCGAGATGGTACGCACTTTCACCTCGATCAACCGATAATGTCGATGATATCCTAAACTCTAAGAAGATTGTCGACCTTTTGAAAACAAGATCACAATCGTCGCTAAACTACATCGTGCATTTCAATTCGTTTACAGATCTCAAGCTCTACGGGATACTTTTTTACGTAAAATAATACAATGTACATTAACGCTTCGTGATTATTATAAAAACAATATAGTTTTTCAAAATGCACGAATACCATTTTGAAACTTGGCATCGCCTCTAACAGTTGTTCCCCGAACCGTTTTACAGTAACTTATACTCTAGTAGCACCGTTGTCACTTGATCATAAGTCAATCAGCACTAAGATTATGATTGTTATTTTTATTTCTTCCCAACACAGTGACTTTGTTCGATTCCGTTCAACTCTCTAGTGTAAATATCAGTCAGATGAAAAATAATGAAATTTCTTGTAACAATGGGGCTCGTATTTTGTGTCCGAGCCAAAAACGATCATGCCAAATATTGATATCCTTTAGGCCGCAGCTATCAACGCAATGATTGTCAACTATACACACGCCGGGAGAAGATATAACACGCTCGAGGACAACCAAGTCGTTATCCAGGCCTTTGACTGTAATGACAATTTATCAGCTCATAAAAAAAAGTCAGACGAGTGCGCGGCAAACTTGAGAACAAGTGACGTTTTTTTAATTGGAAACACTTCCATTTGTTTATTTCTGTATATACCTATTACTTGCGTGCACGTTTCTGCAGTGTCTCCAATACAAATGTGACGTAGAATACTTTTGCGCGATGAAATTCTTACTGCAATTGCTGAATTATTCTTATGCCCTTTAGATCGTCGCAGTCCAGAAGAGATATTTTATAACTATTAAAATTTGTTCGACCGACAGACAGCCCATTATTTCATTCCAGCAGTGATTTCGAGCAACTGTTTTTCTTTTTACGATCGTCGGGCAAGGATCTAGCGCTAAGATTGATGCGTTTCTTCTAGGATTCGTGCAGCTTACTATATGCTGACCCTGAGATGGGATTACATAAAAGTTACAAAACAATGACGAAAAAGCAGAATACCTTCTCTATAACGGTGCACAACACTACTGTGTCCCATTTACAGATCAGCTGAAATGCATCCGTACACTGGAATATGGGTCTCATGTACATTTTCTTGACATGTGCTGGCATGGTCGCGAAAAATGTTTTTAATAAAAAAGAAAACTATAGATATTGTCAGACAGAATTTAAAACGTGAAATTTTATTTGTTTTTATGCATTTAGTCAAATTACTAAATTACCCGCAGCCTGTGTTCAAATAGTCTTGACAGCGTAATCCAGCCACGAGAGAAATTCCGTTGTTTTTAATTATCAGTGCACATGTTCAAACAGCAATGAACTGCAATAGTGAATTCAACAAGTGCATGAGATAATTGTTTATTGCGGGATCGAGATAAAATACTTCTATACCGATTAACGGAGGAACATAGGAAGCCATACAGATAGAGATATAGGAATATATAGTTACCGACATTTTTTCGTGGACGTGTTTCTCTGTCGATTTTGTATATTTCGTAAAAAGCCATGTGTAAACAGTCAATATTTTTTTGAGTAATTATGAAGGGTAGCCGAGTCAGGCATTTACAAACGGTTTGAAAAGAAATAAGAATAACGAAATCTACGTGATGGAATCCTAAAATGTGTACATATAGATCCAGAGCACAACTGCACCAGTATTTTTTCTCTGCAGACATTGTTATATCATTTTTAAGATTATTTAATTATCGTTTAAACAAGGCTATATTATTGAACAAATGAAATAAACTTTGAAAATACCGCGCTAACAATCCAAACGTTGTCTGCTTGGAAATACATCATCGGCTTTAACCAATCGGCCGGCTTCGTGGGCTTTCACAAAATGTTCGTTAATATTTGAAACTTGAAAAAGCATACACCGCATTGCACGTACAAGCAAGTCGTTTCGTATATATGACAAAGGGCATTTAAAGAGCTCTCTCTTGCTCTGCTGGACTGAGTATTTGGAGTACAAGTTAGTTTACAAACGGTGTTTGACTTTGTAGCGTCTCATCAAGAAGTATAACCTGAATTGTCTAATTTTTTCAAGCCAAAAGAGGTGAGTGCACAAATGGTCTGTATATCAGACGAAAGGTAATTAAATAAATTTTCCGTTGAAATAACGACCTTAACGTGTTTCAGTGTTTGGTTTATCTATCGACAGAATGTTGAGAGGAAAAGAGAATGTACAAACAGTCAAAAGTCAAGTCAGAACTTTCAAATCAAGTGTACTAACGGGAAGTCAAAATAAAACGGAGCACAAGGAGCATCAATCAATCAAGACTCAAGAAAATCAAGTGGAACATAACATAAAGCCAAGTAGTGGCAGAGATAAGGAACCATCAGGCAACGCCAAGAAGTCTCGTGAACTCATGCCTCCACCAAGAAGCTCAAAGCCAAGTGCTGAAGTCACTAGTCAAAAATCTGATAACCATGATAAGAAGAGTAAAATTTCAGAGGATGGTAAAACTAAGAAGAAGCAATGGGCTATAACAGATTTTGATATTGGTCGACCACTGGGCCAAGGAAAGTTTGGTAATGTTTACCTGGCAAGGGAAAAAAGGTCAAAGTTCATAGTGGCAATGAAGGTTCTGTTTAAAGATCAAATTATTAAGGCAGATATTGAACATCAAGTTCGAAGAGAAATTGAAATACAAACTCACTTGAGGTATAATAATTAAAAGTTTATAGTATTTGTGTGAAGAGATAACAATGAACTAACAATTATGACCTTTTCGTAGGCATCCAAATATTTTAAGGATGTATGGTTATTTCCACGATGATACCAGAGTATACTTAATCTTAGAATATGCTCCAAATGGTGAATTATTCAAGGAACTAAAGAATCAACCAAATAAACGTTTCGATGAAGTGAGGTAATCATCAAGAAAAAATAACATATGATTGATCATTTTTAGAAGTATTGTCTAATGATTATTATTGTTCTCATATTCTAGAGCTGCAACATATATATCACAGTTGGCTGATGCTCTGAGATACTGCCACACAAGAAAAGTTATTCACAGAGACATTAAACCTGAAAACTTATTGTTAGGTGTAAATGGTGAATTGAAAATGGCAGACTTTGGCTGGTCTGTTCATGCTCCCTCATCTCGACGAGAGACCTTATGTGGAACTTTGGATTATTTACCACCGGAAATGGTCAATGGTAAAACTCATGATCATACAGTTGATCTATGGGAAGTTGGAGTTCTCACTTATGAATTCGTTGTTGGAGAGCCGCCATTCCTGGCTAAAACTTATGATGAAACCTACAATAAGATTAGGAAAGCAAGTTTCAAGTTTCCTGATTATGTTAGCGATGGAGCAAAAGATTTTATTTCTAAGGTATTATAAATTATATTTCAAACATTCTCTGATCGAAAAAAATTATAATATAACAAACTTTTTATTTTTCAATTTCAGTTATTAGTTGTTAAACCTGAATGTAGACTTAGCCTTGATGGTATCCTGCAACATCCATGGATCGTGAAAAACCGCACGACCGAACCAACAAAAGACGGTGTAATAGCCAAGAAAAATCCTGCAAAATAAACTGATTCATACGATATAAAATCAAATAAGGCGTTTATAGATCCATTACGAACTTCATTCAAGTGAAAAAATTTTATGACTTAGATAAAGAACCCATTAAGAAATTGTCGATTAAAAAAAATCATAGTGTATATAATTATTTATTTCGGCATTCATCAAGTAAAAATAATCTTTTTTTATACTCGTATAAGTAACAAAAAAATGTCTCTCGATTTATTTACAATAATTTTCAAAATACAAATTTATGTAAGATATTTAGATCACCGCGAAATCGTGGTCTTGATTCTGCCTTTTAGCTACGTTGAACACCGATAGTAAATAGCCTAGTGAATCTGAGCTTATATAGAAAGTTAAGTAGTTTTCTGGATCTGTTGGTACGCTGTCCAGAATTTCGGATTGAGTGTCGCTGTTGGTTGATACACTTGCTATTCCCGTACTACTCGTGCGCAGAAACTCGGCTACGCGCGCTCGCATCACTTGATCCATCTGAAATTGATGATTTTAGAAAGATAATTATTATTATATTTGTATGTTGAGTTTAGTGAAGCATCTAAATTCAAAGCATGATTTTTATTTCATTAATTTTCATAATCAATGATAACGTTTTATCAGAACAACACTCAAATAGAATATTTCATTTAATTTTCACATTGTCGAATTTCATGACTTGTTTATAATTTTTATGTAATAAAACAGATGGAAGTTTTGGTTATATTATTTCCTAAATAAAAGTCTACATAAAATAAATACCTCATCAATTTGCAATTTTATTCATCATCTTTTCCCGAAAATCAAAGAAAATACTGTTTGCGTTTGCTCATATTCATTTCAAAATCAGAATCCTTAATAGCAAAATAATGAGTTATATGAACGAAATTATTCTGAGATATTCTTTTTTAAGATAATTATGAAATTATAAATAATTGTTTTTTTTAATTATTATTTTTTATCAACGTTGAATATTAAGCATTTCAATCTCAAAGTTACGGCTGCAACGTCTCATCAAACAAATTAACGCTTATGAGCTAACTGAATTAACAAGAAAATGCTCACATGAACCTCAAGCTGCTCAACAGTAACGGTCTTCCGCCTCTCTTGTGAAGGTGAGTTACTAGAACAATACAGTCTTAACATCGTCGTCTCGGACGAATGATCAGCAGCAACCAAGTCTTTCAATGAGTAAATTTTCTCTACGCTATCCTCTGCCACATTAACAATTAGAAGCGCCTGTCGCGTCAGTACCAAAGTAACTGATCGATTGCCACTCTGAAGGAGTGCGTAATCGGCACTGGCAACGTGAAGAATACTGTCGTGACTCTTTGTCAGTAAAGGCATTAATCGCCAAGCGTAACGAAGAGACGTGACCGAAGAGCCATTTGAATATTGCACCAAAGGTCTGTTACGAGGCTACAAGAGAATAGTATCGATAGTGGTAATTTCATTTTAAATATTTGAAATAAAATTACACACCAATGGCATGGAATTCCATCCAGTGCCCTGCAGCAAGCCTTGCCCTGTAAGAGCGACTAGTTCAGCAGCACCACTAAGGGGTTTCGTAACAACTCCAACCAATCCAAGGCCGACTCCAGCGACTAAACCTCTGGTCGACGTTTGACCTGACATCACTTGCTGAAGAGGATGATGCGCAAGGCCAGCTACCGCAGCTATCATAAAAACAAACATTGAAAATCATCATAACCAAATGAAACAGCGACTATTTTCATTCACTTACCAAGTAAATTCATGCCTAAACCAGTCAGGCCTTGATATAATCCTTGCGCGACACCTTGAGGTCTCGTACGTCGGAATTCTTCTTGACGTTGCAGATGCTCCTCGTCGAGCGTCAACCTGTCGAGATTGCGCGCTACGCTCGACGCCAGCTTCGTTACTGAATTCACAGTACCTAAAAAAGGAGACAATTGTAAATGCGACGTCTTTTATAATTGACCGATATCTAAAGTAGACCGACCAGCTGTGATATGCTTAACAAGACTCGCGGAGCCGTGAGTAACGCCGACAATGAAACCCCAAGGGCCTTGCAAAAGTCCTCTGAATGGCATCGACACAAAATCTTTGATGCCAGAACCAAGTGCTTGTGCTAAGCCTCCCGGCGAACCTAAAATCTCTAGCGAGCCAACAACCCAACCTACAAACATTCACCACAATTCAAAATCTCGTGAAGGTGTACAGTTTTTCATCTTCATCTTACCAACTCCAAAGATAGCGCCAGACAGATAGTGCATCGCTAGGGCATTGCCCAATCTGTACGGAGTGCTGACCAAATTCTTCCTATCGAAAACCTCGAAGTACAATGGCGAATGATCGAATGCGACGTACAGATGTACCGCAGTATGCACACTGAGTAAAATCGACATCGGCTCGATAACGAAACTTTGTAGACGAAGTGGGTGACTAATTATTCTTGAATCGACGAGAACATGGTCAGGAATGCGAATGTCATTGAAAGTCTGCAATTGGACGGGATTTTTCAGTGGTGTGATGGAGACAAAACACGGTGGAACGATAGACGTAGCATAATCCATGAGCAGAGTTACGAAGGAGCCCTCGACGTAGACGCTTATGGGGGCTACTTTCACAGCTACTTCCTTGCAGACTAGAAAAGCTTCATTAATTTCGCGGCTTCGGACAACAGGAAGAAAGTTAAATACTGACCTCTATCGTTGCCGTTGTTCTCCCAGGTAAGATCGATAGTTAACAAAGAATTCTCCACAATGTTTTTGATATTTTTCTTTAAACTGTTACTCAAATAAATCGACACATCCTTCTTGACAAATGGTTTCTGGCTGATCACTACTACAGGAAAATCAAATCCACCGTGCTCGAACATCTGATTATCCAACTGTAGATCCCCAACGTAAACACTCAAATTACTAATACCACTCTTCGAGTCCATGATTAGTATCGTGTCGGTGATGCTCAGACTTGCAACTTCGATTCTTTGTGCGTTTCCGTTAACATTTTTCATTATTATTATCGAAATGCCTTGTAGATAGACACTCGCCGAGAAGCTTCGCAATTTTTGTTGTTTATCGTCTTCGTGATTGACGAAAACATGGCGATGAATTTCGGACGATGCGTTTACACGTGGTGAGACAGATAAGTCGGTCTCGAGGCTCTCGTCTTGAGCGGAAAAGAACGTTGTCGTCGATGTTGAACTGCCAGGTCTCTGTTAAATACACGAAACAATTAAGTTTGGAGATGTAGGCTTTCGTTAAGGTAATAATTTTAACAATTTAATTACTTTTATGTTAGTAGGTATTCTTTCTTCCTCTTGCGTGAAGGACGAATCCTCCATGACAGATTCATTTTCTCGAGGCGGTAGCTGCTTCTTCTCGATTTTATTTCGGATTTCTTGAGCCGTGATTTCCGTCTATTTGAATAAAAAAAACACAGTTAGTGTATGGGTGAATATATCAAAGGGAAATACATGCTTACAGAAGACATTGAAGTTATGCGTATGAAAATGGTATAACAAACAGTTCGCATGATAATCTTTATGTCTCCGAAATTTTGAAGACGAACCACTTGCTCTGACGGAAAAGACGACAGATCAATCGGCCTCGACCAATTATAACTATCCTTGCCTATAAAAATCTAGTTCAGCTTTTAATTCATAAAAAAATTAATAACAATCACACATACCTAAATCGTCTTTATCAAACTGCTCTTCAGCATTCGGTAGAGCGCATATCAACATTAACACAGGCTTATCATTATTGTTGGGTAAATCTGGAATTTTGCTACCCAAAGTCGGCATCGAGTAGTGACAGGAATATTTACTCTTAATATGGCATTTCCAAGTGAAATGTTGCGTATCTGGCAGTGTATCAACTGTAAAAAAAACGCCATCTTTTATTCGCTAATTTAATACCAAAAAATGATTTATCTTACCTGATTCTTCGTTGGCTTGTCCGACTAGAACTTCGAATGAACATGTATTTTCGATGTACATTTGAGGATGTTTATCCACGTAGACCATAATGTAGACAGTATTTTTATCTTCTTGAGTTGTTATCACGAGGGGAATAGTACTATGATCATTCTGCGATAATAATTCACTTTTTATTTTTTTTACAAAACAAAATTCATGGAATGAAATAAATAAATGTTAAAGGTTTACCGGGATAGCAACGCATCGCCTACTCAAATTTTGATCCACTCGAATTGGACATGACCACGATGCATTCTCTATCTGCAGAGAAATGTATAATACAAATGGCTCTTCGCTTTTTCCGTACACGGTGTTCCACTCTATTATTGGAATGGCATGACTACAAAAAGCAAACAAATAAATAAACAGTTGTAAGCATTAAATTTCATAAAAAATAAGATTTGTCGTGAACTTACTTTTGGTCGGTGAAAGGTTCAACATTAATACTCTGCGGCATAAGATCATTCAACAAGCTCAAATTAGTAAGTGACCCCGGTACTGCTAATGTCGCTATACGCAACTCTATATTAGTCATATTTCCAATCGCATAGTTGCTGCATATGTGGATGACGCGCATGTCTTTGTGTACGCTTGAATTGATGCTCAACATGCATATCTAAAATAAAATTATAAATGAGGATCTTTGTTGTAATCCTTGTTGTACAATCGAGAATACTGACGCTTGAACAGCAATCGATATAAGATTTGACGTTGCCTTCCAATGGGATCAAACCTTGCACGCGAGGCATGTAAAAGCTTTGACTCCAATCTGGCTTGACTAGTTGCAACGGAGATGACATATAAAACGTATCGCTTATGTTTACGCCAACGTGAAAAGTCCCCTACAGAGAAATGAACCATTTAATTAAAAAATCATACAATAAAGCAATTTCTACAAAAAATAACAAATACCTCGAGTTTGGGTGGTGCAACGATTCCGTAATGTGGCAAACGACACAGTTCAACATCCTGCGACAAAATAGAAACCTGCGTTCCCAACGAATTCAGCATCAAAGCCCAAGGTTGCAGCTCCAACAGCAAAGTGCTTGATGCCAATCCTGCGTCCACATATTTCACTTGGACGTGAGTCTGCGGTTGATCTGCAGGTATCCATGGACGAAACTCATCTGTTTGAAATGGCCACTTTGGCTCATCTTTCAACGACTCCAGTTCGGAAAGGATCATTTGAATATTTTCCTTCTCTGGGCGTTTGAAGAACTTACGTTGATCAACCGAGCTGTAGGATAGCGGTACATATGGATTCGACGCGGATACGCCAGATCTGAAATGTAAAATTTTTATTCGTTTGGGCATCGAGTGAGGAATGAAGGCTGATTGATCGATGGAAGTACGTACTCTATCTGGAATGTGAGTTGATGAAAATGCTCGAACGTTCCAGGACAGTATAATTGCTGACGCTCGCCGCAACCGTTGACCAGGGTGTTCATGGATACTTTTAGAGATGGAGTTTCTATCTGAACTTTGGCCGAAACTGGTAGGTATGAACGGATCATGTAAAGCGGACTGATTATCGCCTGAGTAATAAATCGGTTTTTATGAAAAGATACAATGAGAATTGAGCAAAGTTCAATTGAGTTTTCGAGACTTACGAGAATTTTATTCCTACCGTTGATTTTCTCCACGATTACTCGTACCCAAATACTAATAAACTGTCCCTTCTCTTGTAAAGGCACTGCAAACAAATATTGTGTAATTTATATCGTAAAGCAGTAATCAAAGAATTCTCACCTTTAACGAGCCAAGGTTGACCCCACCTCGAATTAGACTCAAGCGGTATATCACCCGTCCAAGCAAGGTTCGCCATGCCAGAGAATCTCAACCTCATAGCCATGCTATTTCCGTCGCTCAGTACAATCGACGGTGGCCGACTTTTCGCTGGTATGTGATAGCTATCCCTGGAGACGACAGGACGTTGTTTCGTCGTTGTGTCGTATTTGACAAGACGCATCTCAAAGCCATCGGTCATTTGATTCGAGATGGTCAATTGTCCTGAGAAGGTAACGAGCTTTTGAGACGCCGAGAGTGAAGTGATGCAGATGGAAACGACCATATCAGTAGACGAGTTTGGAAAGTCGGCGTCATAAGTATCGTCGGCGTTCACTGTGAATGACTTGCTCCACGACCATCCGTTCTCTTCGACGGATATACGGAGAACTTGATTGCCAGCGTATCGCCACGAGTAAAAGTGACACTGCCGACTTTCCAGCAAAATACTGTCGTCGGTGCCGCTTTGCCCGAACCTAATCGGTATGTTCGTGTCGTTGGCGATGACGTATATCGTGGTAAGAACCAGCATCTTGCCGTTGTCCTGGCCCAACATGTTATTCCACAGATGAGCCGAGAGTGCGAGAGTGTGAAAAGTCGACGGACTGAGTTTGATGGAAAACGCGTCAAACGTAAGCGACATATCGCTACCGTCGATCAACGAAACTTGAGCCGTGATATTCGCGTTGTCGAGGACTTCTTGCATGGTAAGTAATCCGTAATCCAACACGTGGAGTCTAATGTCACCAGCGACGTTGAGCAGCTGAGAATTTTCTAGCCAGCCGTTGAAATGGAAATGCGCGTTCCGATGCTCTAACAATCCGAAACACTGAGTCTCGGGGATCATTCCATTCAATTTGAATTTATCCAACGGTACCGGTAGATTATCGTAGAATCTCTCTATTAAGTGATTGTAAAATAATACTTGAATAGCTTTAACGGCAAGTGCAACTTGCACCCTCGGGACGATTCGTGGGTTGAAGTAAGAGTCTACTCTGAGACAAGCTATCAGAGCTTTGCTAGACAATCGACTGGACCGTAACAATGTTATCCGCCAAGTACAAGCTACTGCTTGAAGAGGTGTACGGTCAGGTAAGTCTAAACGGTAGCTGTCGGTTTCCGAGACGTAGAAGTCTACGTAGCGCTGATACGACTGATGAGTGTCGCTCCAGTACTCGATGGCGCAAGGTACACGTTCTTCCGACTCGTCACTATCATCGAGACTCTGCAAACGTATCGAAATGTCAAGTGATGCAGTACACATGGTTGAAGATAATGTACTTACCTCGATGGGAACTGGACTGACGTGGATTCTCGTGAGTGCACGTGGATGAGGATATCGCCAAGCCATGGTATGCTTTGGAGATGTTGAAAATACAACCTTGAACGATACGTCGAACGTTGAGATATTCGTTATTTCATGAATTTTTTCGAATGGGAATACTCACTTGATAGGGAAAAGGAAGTTCATCGGAATTGCCATCGACGAATTGAAAAGCTCCAGATTTCAAATCGTCCTTGTAATGTTGCTCGTGCATTGTAACTCCAATAGCATCGTCTTCGTCAACTTCCATTGTTTCATCATCAGCTTTCAATCTCGCGAGAATCTCACCCACATCTCCCAAAATATCCTTTACAGATAGTATGTGTCTCGGTCCGATATCTAAATACAAACAATCGCTTTCCGCTTGGATTTGAATCAATGGACCACTGCCGGTGGTCAGCCAAGATTCTTTGACAAAGTTCACGCTTGCATTATAGCTGCACGGATTCAACAGCACCGTCAGTCTCGAATCTACCAGAGCGGAAACGACCAACGAGTCACAACTGAGTGTGCTGAAAATGCGTTCTGGCCGAGGAATAGTAGTTAAACTGCCGGACAAAGAAGCGAGGCTAAACAACAATTCAGAATTCGACTCGGACTTAAATGAGAAAACTAGTTGCTTGCTACTGATAGTTATGTCTGGAATACTTGTTTTCGATATTTGAGGTCGTGTTGATGGCATTGAGGCAGGTAGATCGACGCGTTTGGAGCTTGTGTCACTTGTAACATATTCAAATACCTATAAAGTTCCGAATTTTAGCATTCGTCCATACGCTTGTATGCTTATTATGACTTACTTTATCTTTAATGTACAGCAGATCGTGCAATCTTGATAATGAAGCGTGTAGTTTCGTTGGCCGACCAATTTCAACGTAAAACTGTAGATTCTTACCGACAACCATATCGCACTTGACTACCAGAAATGACGGCGGTATTCCTGTGTCTGGATGAGATTCACCACTTTTTGTCTCAACGAGACAGACTTTGAAACACGACTCATTAGGTATTGTCGACGAATTTTCGGCTAATTTGTCACCCAATTGCAAAGCTATGTCGAAGCATGAAACCTACGAAGTTTTTTTGTTATTAGTTTTACGGCGATTAAAAAGTGATTGCATTATGTACACACCTGCAGTTTCTTATCGAAATTTTGCTGCGAAAAATAGAAATTTGGTTGATTTGCCATCGCGTAAAGAAGTGGTTGTTTTAGATTAATTACATCGTCTTTTTCCAATTTACTTTTACTCTGTGGCAAAAAATCAAAGATATTTAATTATGATTATGAAATTTCATGCTTAAAGATTGATGTTGCATTGACTTACAATATCACAGTGAAAATCACCCGGCTTCTTAATATCGTATATGATCATTGTAATTTTACCACAGTTTATCAAAAATTCAAATGGCATGAATTCCAATGTTTCTTGTAGAGGTTTCTCCTGCAATCTCACCAAAAAAGTAATGAAACCCTGTTTAAGCAAACATCCATTTAACACAAAAACAATTTAACTCACAAAATTAGTAGAGTTAATGCTCAACATCTCAAAATCAACCCCACTATCTTTAGCATAATCAACCTCGGACTCGGCAATCGCTTGTCTAATTGGAAAGTTACTACGATAATCTAATGCGACAGAAGTTCGCCTAGTAAAACTCGGTGTCGTATATATTTCCATTTGCTCGTACCCCTCGGAAATAGTTAAATCGGTCAACTGAGCGCTGAGAATCGTCATCAATTTTATTTGATCGAGATTAACCATGAATTCCAGATCAGTTAAGCAATTTATTTCAGCTGCGCTAGCACACACCATAGTTTCAGGTTTGAACACGACGACTGGCGCTAATATGAAACTAACATCGAACCTGTAAGAACGAATCATCAACTTAGTTGTTGTTATTTGCTATTATGGATTTTTGTTAGAATACCTTGTTATCACAGGTAAAGTTGAGAAATGCGGTTCTAAGCTACTACCATTTCCCAATTTGTTCCACTCTACTGCAGGATTTTCGTTCATTGTATACAGGTACGACTGAGACATTTGCTACAGACGCGAAAAAGACGCCATTAAAACTCTGAAATAACTTGCTTATGAGAAGAATGCATACCTGAGTGACACTCTGCTGATAATCTTTCCAAGTGGTTGTATGCGCACAAATACCATCCACATTTATTTGATACTGACGATCTTCCACTGCCGAACCAGGTACATTCAAAATATTCGCTTGCGCAGCCAACTGGTAAATATCAGGTCGTAAGGGTGATCTGCATATTGGATTTTCTGCTTGCGGGGTTATTCGAATACCGTCCAACTATAATTTCAATAATAAATGTCATCGAAATTACCAAATAATTTAATACGATTACACAAACCACTTGCCTGTAACATCAATAAATCGTGCTGAAACTCTTTAAGTGATTCCGAGGTAACAGGTAGCATCACTCGTATTCCTTTGAATTCAAGGTAAACCAACGGTAAATAATCGTTTCTTAAATTAGTCATACTGGCAAAGGGTGATAAAGCATTTCTAGAAGTTTTGGCTGAAGTATCAACATGTGTTTTTTTATCAAAAAATGGTCTTGCGAACTGCATGTATTTTGCGAGAACGCTGGGAGGAAGGATCAAGTCAATCGTTTGGATTCTTACGATGGCCTCCGTTATGAAGGAATTTGTTGCTTGCAAAGCTTCAGTTCTTGCATCTTTCTGTAAAAAAATTATTTTAATCATTTTTGAACACCAAACTTGACTATTTCATTTCACCTTTTGAGGTTTACAGTTCTTGCGAGCACCCCATCGTGTGTGTACATTTCCAGATTTAGCAACCGTCAGAGTTAGGCTCATAAAACCCGAATCATCGCTTTTCTCGAAGCTATCATCTTTGCCACAGAGTATGATACCGACGTAATCGCCGAAATCCCAGTTTTGTGCTTGCGGATTCCTGTTTTACAAAAATTCGAAACTCGTGACGAGAACATTAACTTTAGATATTCAACATGATTACAATACCTTTTATAGTGTAAAATTGTGCCAGTAGTAATTTTGTGCTTGAGTTTGAAATACACCGAGTGCACATCTACGGAGGTAATGATATCTTCGAGTTCCAGTACTAATTTTAAAGTGGCACAATCGGATTCTCCCATCACGTATAATTTCACAGCTACTTTCGTTATTGTCCATTGTATGCAGGCTGTGAGTTGCAAGTCATCTTCATCTAACAATGAAATATTTTTAATTCATTTCACATGATTCATAAATAAAAATAATTGGTATTATTTCTTACCTTGGGTCGAATTATCTTTAGCGGCAGAAATACTAGATGTAGAAGTGACGTCTTCGGGATACGGTAACTGTGATGGACTAGACGAACTCCTAGGCACAGTTAAGGATATATCTTTAACTTCTTTCAAACACCTACTTGGCTCGCTTATCTTGCGCACTGGTGAAATTTGTATCAAACTTGCGATTTTTGTAAAAGTATTGTATAAAAACGTTACCTACAAGGTACAAAAAAACCGTTATTCAATCCTTCAATTACAAAATACCGCAATATATTTACTTGTTCTTCGGATATAGAAACGATAATAGGTGAAGTATCGACGTATAAACATAGGCTCAATGCTGCAAACTTTTCTTTCGCTGCGACAATTGTTGAATTTTTGGCAGTTAAGTCGAAAGTAGCTTTGAAATAAACTTTCTTTATAAAATTCTTCAGCGTATTGCTATTCAATGTAAAACACTCGAAGTTAGAGATTTCAATGGTCCACGGGAAACTGTGCGTCTCTGTAGAAAGAACAATTATTTATTTGTAGTAAATATCAATCGAGTGGTAAGATACTTACGTTGAATTTTGAATTTTTTGGGAATTATAACGGGAAGTTTGTGTAATTGAAAGAGTGATTCGTCTGGTTGAATATTCGAGGAATGCACATTAAAGATCGGCGTTCGTATCACTAAAATTTTCAAAGCAGTATCGTTCTTCAAAGCTTGTTCCTTTGCTTGTTCAATCCCTACACAAATAAATTATTACTAAACATTCTCTTTTATAAGTTGACAAAAATTGTTACCTGCAGCTCCAATTCCACTAATACTCTTCGTTGGAATGTAAACCGTGAGATTTCCCACAGTCCCAATTAAAATCAGTTTGTTCCACCATGGATGATACTCAGTCAATCTCTCCGCTATCCTCGTTTTCTCTGTCATCTCCTGCGAGTAATATTCACACAAACTTAATCTTCGGCGCGCTCTATAAATGACAACATAACACAAGCGATCGTTTCTTTTTTTTTTTTAACGATCTCACAAATGAATTCATTATACGTACGTTTGACTCGTTGAAGCTATCGCCACGCATTAACTCGTCAGTTTTCATTCTAAACTTTTCCTTGTCCGACGAGCTGTGAACACTCTCGTGTAAACTAGGAAAAGTTTTCTTACGACTGACTGTATTCTCGACGGATGTGTTGTCGGTAGTGGTTTGAATGCTGTCAAACCGAATCAAGTGTGGAGTGTTGAGCTTGTAATAAGTTACACGATAGTCGAGCCATTGAAGAAGCAAAGGGTCAAAGCAACCATTCATCGCGGCAATTTGAAGGGATAAAAAGGTGGGATGACTCTGGTTTTCAGGATCTTTTGGGAATTGCAGTACTAAATTAACTAGTTTTTGGTTTTCGATTGCACTGTAAAAATAAGTTATCGCCATCATGTCGATTTTAGAAACAAAATTAAAGCTGCAGGTGACGGAAAGTACCTTTGATCGTCTGCTTCAGGCCCCGACAGTATAAACACTTGTTGAATTTCGTTGTGAGCGAACATTTTGACGGAATTCACACTCATTGTACCGGATGTTATCGATGCGGATGAAATGCCCTCGTGAGTTATGTTCTCTAAGCATAGCTCGATAAAAACTGGAACTAAAAATAATATTCAAATCATTATCTCTATGAAACATTATATTTTTTGAGTATTCACTTTTTTCGTTGCAGGCATCGGCGAAAAGTGAAGAAGACAAAAGTGGATTGTTGGAATCCATGGGGTGTAGAAGCGAGTCAATAATGGAGCTTACAACCATAATTTTGGTCTTGGTGCCGGTGATAGTCAGAGAGTCAATCTTCAAATTGTGCGAGTAGTGGATCGTGTTAAGATTTTTCCAGTAATCACTGTAAAGCAGCGAACGGAAACTGTATTCTGCGTTGGAAGGTGTGATGATAGACGTACGAGAGTTGGTTTTGAGGTAAACTTGACTTCTAATTCCTTGTAGCTACAAAATGATAATGTACGTCATGAACATTATAATTATTTTCCCAAATGTTTATTAGGATTCTTACCTGAACTTCAACATTTCGGTAACATTGAGCAAGCATCTCGGCTGGAATGTCGGTTTGCTTTGACGCGCAAGCAATTAGTCTAAATGCGTAGAGTGGCTGCTCTAATGTTGCCGAAATCACGTCACATTCGATGCTGAAGAACGGATCGTCGGATAAGGATGGCACTAATGGCAATATCTAAATATATTAAATGAAAAATAATTAACACACTAATAATTAAGTATTAATTAACTAGGTAAGTAGCTTATCATACTCGGCTTTCAGCGAATTTGCGTTGCCTAGATAGCCCCGTAATACGATGATCGGCAAACTGAAACTGAATTGCGCTCTTTGTAATGTAGAAACTCGTCTTCACCACGGGAGTATTTTCTCGTAAAGCATCGTATTCTTCTACTGTTACCGGTGGTAATTCCTCGAATGTTGGCACTGAAATGTTTGAATTTATTTAATAGATATAGTTCACGTTTGGATTTTTGTGATATTTTTATCATACATGGCTTTGGTACAACGTGAGGAGTATAATCGTATTTGTCAGCAGCTTGTTTGATTGCATCTGTGCGGTGAAGCAGGCCGGAACATAATCTCAATGTAAGATTTCCTACACCGTATCTAATGTATCGCTCTTCGTGGAAATTACTGAAAATTGAAAAATAAAAATGTAGTTGAGCGAAAAAAATAATTAATACTGACCTTTATTAACTCACCTATATTCGTAATTCGATGCAAACTCGGCAATGTTTTCAGGAGTGCAGTCTCCAGGTGCTTCCATGTAGTGGATATAATTCATACAAAAAGCAGGGCATCTTTCTAACAACATTGGAACTGCATACGTTGTAAGATTATAAGACACGTCTTTTTTGTAAATTCTCTTTTTCCCTTGATTCTCTAATGTGTCGCTGTCAAACAACGTATCTTTCAAATATTTACTATTACTTTCTCCAGCAATTAAATACAGTGGAGGCTAAAATAATAAAATAGTTAGTATTAAGTGAAAAATTCTGATAAGATTACATTTTTACCTGCATCCCGTCGACAACTTCTAAATATCCACAACTACACGTTCCACGTGGATATAATCGAATAGTTCCAAAACCAATTGTGAAATTTGTCATAAAAATTCCTTGTAAAACTGCATCGAGAACAGCTTCGGAAAATCGAAGAGATAAAAATGACTTATACTTAATTTTTTTAGACTTATAAAACAGTTGCTCCTTCACGCTCTCCACAGTCTGAAATAGTAAATGAAATTAAAGACATATTTCATTGTTAATAAGTAGCAAGGTACATGTTTTATTTGTATTCTTGCATACCTTAAAAGTAATTGTTGCGTCATCAATATAAAAACCGCAGTGTATAACGTTATCTGCATAAGCCAAGCGATCTTCATTAGACCATTCACCGTCCCATTCTAATGGTAGGATAGCCGACATTGTATTCCAAGCCCACATACCCCAGCTATTGTCTGCTGGTAAATTAGCCACTTGACTTGCATCTTCTACAAAAATAAATTAATCTTTTATTTAAAACAAATGGCACAAGTAAGAAACTTAGAACGAAATATTTTTAACATTGACCATTTGAACCACTTTCACTTTCATCCACTAAAATGGTAGATTTTTCTCTTGTATTTGAAGAATACTGCCCAGATTGTAAATATGAAAGCAGTGCAACTAATCGCAATATCATAGGTATTTGCTGCTCTGTGATACTAAATTCCATTTTTTGACAGTGTAGATCAAGCCTTACTTTTGATGCTTGTTTTGCAGTATTGCTGTGATAACTCATAATCAAACGTATTGTCATTGAACATCGATATAAAACTGGATCCTACAAAATTAAGTTTGAATCTAAGGATAGCAAACTAATATTTAAGAGCTGTTAAAGTGGAAAAATCAAGGAGAATACCTGATAAATTTCTATTTTGCCAGAAGTGTCCATCTTGTCGAGGCATAACGTTAAATCTTGGATACTGATCATTTTTTGTAGTTTCATCTCATAGTTACTAATATCTATTACATAAATAAAATATAATATGCTATTGAATTTATATATATTTACTATTTCTAACATAATATTAAAAAAATATACCTGTAAATGCAGGTTCCCATTTGTCGTTAACAGTTTGCATGGATAAAAATCTAACATTAATACTAAGAACAATGTCCTCTTCAACATACTTTAATATTAAATTATTGCAATTAATAGTAATATTATTAATAACTTTTGTGACAATGCTTTTTATATAGCCTGGTGGAGCTTCTTCTCTGGATTGGAAAATAAGTAATAATTTATTTGTTATTAACAGAAAAGTTCCGTTTTCAATTTTTTCATTGTGTTAAATGTAGTACAATACTCACTGAGATACCGCTGATTTTCTGAAAGAAGACGATGAAAAAACATTTTCTGATTGCATGTGATCCTTCAATTTGAGTATACATTCTGTAATTTAATTATTTCAATTAATATTTGAAAGATATTCTGTAGTCTCTAGAAATCATTAAAAAATTATCCACCTATGGTATTAATGGTAACAACAATAGGTTCTGATGTGATTTTAACCCATGGCACGTGAATCAGTAATTCATGTATGTGGCCACTGACAAGAGTAAATGGAAGATTTAGTTGTTCCTCCAGAACTTCCAGCCGTAAATCAAGATTTTGAAATAATGCATCCCCACCCCACAAGGAAACCTAAATTAAAACATTTTCAAATTATCATTAAGTAAAATTAATGATCTAAAATGAACATATGTTATAGTTAACCTGTGACTGCTCTGGTTTAAAGTTCTTGACATATTTTTCAACATAACTCAAGATAACAGGAGTTATATATGATTCTAATTTGAACATTGCAGAAGTTCACATGAAGTCTCATGCTTTCTTATCCTTCAGATGGCTTTTAATTTTACTTGTGATTACTTAGTGTATTACATGGAATATGATTAAATAATTTATATGTCAGTCATCAGCAAATCTGTAAAAGTAGGATTTTTTGTTGTTAATTAATTATAGAATGCAAATCTCTATGGCTCATTTAGCAGAACAAAATATAACCAAATTCTAGGCTAATTTTATTTATCATTCCAGTTAACGAACAATTAATTAACAGGTATGAATTAAATTGAAGCAAATCAAAACAAAAGTCTTGGTTAGAAAAATTTAAAAGCTTTGCAGAATCCCTTTTAACCATACAGTAAATGATTTATAAGCAGTTAGTCATTGCTCGATGCGCATCTCACCTTAATAAACAAAATCGTTATAATTGCGACTAGAAGGATTGATTAGCAATGCAAATATTTTTTCAAATTTCAAATTTAAACATCGTATAGTATACGTTTGCGGTTAAAACACGTTAAGTCAAATGAAACTATTAAACTATCCGATTCACCATCACGGTAAGTTCAACACGTTTGGTTTGTCGATAAGCCATCTCGTTAAAAACCATGAAAAAAACTAAAGAACCGAATACTCGTTTATCTATCAAAATGACGTTGACGTCAAAAGGTGGGCAGCCGAAACGATCAGCTGATGTGGATTTTAGTTCGCAACTGTCGGCGCTGAGGTCGTGACGAGGGTGGCAATCGGAACGTACTCGCGCGATCAAGTTTTCTCGGCAAAAACATTTACAAACTCGTCTGCATCGATATCTTTGTTTATTTTTTCTAAAACATTCCATTTCCATTTTTCTCGTATATATAATTCAGCTGGCTCTTAAAACTAAACACCGACAAGCGCACTCGTTTTTTCAGAATGGCTTATTCAAGAAGTGATATTTGCCTTGAATTCGATAAAGATCCAGTGGACATTGTGGCACAACTTGCTCGTGCAACTAACCGCACTGGAAGGCAGCACCTGTACTTGTACAGATTGAGCAACGCCGTTCCGAGCAATTTTTGGCCGAGATGGCAGTGATACTGTGCGAAAATTGGAGATTTAAGAAACGCGCTTGCCGACATCAGAAGTCGGACTATCATTATCGTAAGCCGTGAAGAACAACTGATCAGTGTCTACGGCTGGTATTGACGACCAAAAGTTCCTCGTAATTCTCTAGCAGCGCGTTGTGGGCGATTTGCGCACAAAAAAAGCACGGATGCAACGCCGATTGCCACTTTCGGTCGGTCCGCGTACACTCAGGCCGTAAGCTCTCACGTCTCCGTCCACGAAGCATCGCATCGAATCGTAGGGGTAAGCTGGACAATCGAACCAGTCGACTCGGCTGCTCGTCAGTGGCGGCACCTCGTCTGGAAAGGAAAAGGCGCGCCCGAGCTGTCGATCAAGCACAGAGAGATCGCTCGCGGAATTGGATTACCGTTGTCGAATCGATTCACGTTCAGCAAGCCGTACAGGAAGCTAGCGATCGACAGGCCGTAGATACCGTAGTGAACTTCTCTGCAATCACTCTAAGATTATTTCCGAGCGATTCGCGGCATGAGCCACGTTGTCTCCTTATACGCACTTCTGCAGCTCGAAGGGAATGGGCCGTTTGGACAACAGGAAGCTGCTCGCGAACACGTTCACGATTGGAGAGGGTAAAAGATGACTTTGCCGGAGATGTTTTTCACCGTGGAAGTCAATTGGCGCGCTACTCACAGAGTCAATTACGCGGCTTCGCCAAATCGATGACACTGAAAGGCGTTGACTCGGTCAGCTGCCTGGAAGACAATATCGCCGGGACAAGAGCGGGATCACCGGTGTGGCGTACCGAATTGATTTTTATCATACTCCGAGTGCGCAGTGAGCAAGCCGAGTTCCATGTCCTTCGGCATTTTGCGATATCTTAAAATTCTGGCGACAATTTACCTGGCGTTTTTGTACCTGACCGTGCGAGAAATGATCGATTTCACCCAAGCCTTCGGGTACCTCTTCTCTTTCGGTGTCAAATTCGTCGACTCACCAACTATGTACAATCCCTTAGATTTTTGCGAGCGACATAGAAAACCTATAACCCAATTTTATACAAATTTTTCATGATATTCAAGAAAAAAGGCTGGAATAAAATTGTTCAAGGAATTGCTAAAACGAGCTAGCGGAGGCGCTCGGATCTGAAGTACGTCGAACGTAAAGCGCGTGACCGGATAGCTCAAGTTCATTCATTCGGGTGTGTATACGCGCGACGATGACGTTGCGCCTGGGATACAATGGGTCGCGTTCAACGGCGACGTCGAGGAAGGCGCCGAGCTGCTAGTCGACGCTCTGCCAGTTCGAGTGCCGTCTGTCGAACAACTTCTCAAGCACGTCCGCGAAGAAGCTCTGCGTCGCGAGGTGATTCGTGGTGGCGTTCTTCGAACCTACGATCAGCATCGTCCGTCGCTGAGAGAGCTGACTCGAGCTCACGGGTTGTTGCAGAATACCTGACAAGAGAAAAGAACGAAAATACTAATGGGCACTCGGCGATTCGCGAGCCAGATGTCGCCTGCTGCTTACCGATCAGGTAGCGGCGTGCATTTCGGTACTCGAGCGCTTCGTCGGCTCGACGAGGGCGCCGCCGGCGAACGCGGTCAGCGGAAACCTGAAAGGCGACGTTCATTCGGACGCTAGAGCCACACTTGTCGATTATCGACGCAAAACGTAAAAGCGGCGGCCGACATGGCGTTGGACCAAGTGCAGCGGGACTGCCAATAACTGCGCGTCGAGAAATCAGCGTTTCAAGGATATCACGGAACAATTGATGGAGACGAAGTTAAAGCTTATTTTTCCGACGTTAGCTATATAATTACCGCTTATCAAAGTCTCACAGGAAATTATTTTCTCGTTCGAACGTCTAATTACGTGAGTATAAGCTTTAATTAATCGTTCTAATTGATAGTTGCGTTCGAGCGATAATTGAAAATGGGTTAACTTATCATTGACTTTGGTAGCCTCGCTTTGGAAAATATTCACCGAAACAATCTTATTTTTCACTCCTTTAAAAAATATTCACCTATGTGATAATAACAACTTTGAACTTTGGCAAGCTTAGGGAATGCGTTAGAGAATAATGCATTGGTAATTATTATTTTTCAAAAATGTGTCTTTATTGTCGCTAAAATGACATCTCAAGAATTTTTGGTTTGTTTGACGCACAACGTATAATGATTTCTCAAAATGGTAGATTGACGAAGCGACGCTTGCTCTGCATTTGAAAAACGTTCAGGGAGCACCGCGGTTCGAACTGTTATTGGCAGTGGAAGGCAAAGCCGTATTCGTCCGAATCGAGCAGTGCCGTCCTCGGTGCCTTCTGGCCGAGATGGCAGCGGTACCGAAAGCAAGTCGTCCGCTCGGTCAAGCGCGTGCCAGTCCGCACCGCGAGTGACAACAAAAGCTCCAACGGACGTCTTCGAGACGAACGCCACCATGATAAATTTACTTGATTGCGCGGCCAGTCGTAAAATCAATGCTCGATCGAGCGATCTTTGACCTTCAGTATTTGACGATGTTCCACAACACTGGCGAAATAGCTCGCGGGTGCTTGTTGTACCGAAAAGCAAACGTGCGTCTCTTATTTACGTTTTCATATAATAATCATCAGCGAGATCTTTGGTAGCCTTAAATCTGACGGCGTGCGACTTGATCATTGCGAACGACGACGATATCGTCACTTGCTGGAATTTCGATGGCCAAGCGTTGGAAGTTTCCTGCTACTAATGCTTACCAGTTTTATCATTTACTTTGGCTTCGAGTTGGCTTTAATGTTTGCATAACTAGCTACAATCGACTATAATGCCATTGAAATGAAGACAACGTTGACGGAACAAACGCCTGACAGGCACTAGCGCATCAACAGGCGGTGTTGAAAAATCGCCAAGGCGCTCGCGCGCTCGCGTTCTGTCTGGAGGATTACTCGGGTCGAGCAGTCAGCGTAAATTCATGTCTTGTGCCTCCCCCCGCCGTATACTCACCACAATGACATTTCGCATTTCGTCGGGGATTCGACGGGTTGCGCTCGAAGCACGTCGAGGAAAGCGAGATCGAAGCCTCGCGAGTGGTGCCGACGGTCGACGCGCGTCCAACTGTCGTTCGCGTCCAGCACACGGCGCTCGAGCTCCCCGAGGAAATGGTTCGTCGCCCTGTCGCTCTTCGAGCCTGTCAAAGTCCGACAATTTTCATGACAGCGAAGTCATTTCGTTGATCGCCACGGATTACTCGCCGACTTCCAGCGCGCTCACCGATTACATCATTGCGTATGTTTCGAGAAGTCTGCTTCGAGTGAACGGGTCTGGCGTAGTTTCTCGCTTAATACGGCCAAAATGTTGTTGCCTAATCCAGTAGTGTGTATTTTCATTTAGAGCGTTGAGAGTAAACGGTAGCTGTGAGTTACATACCCAAAAGAACCGTGACTACTTGGTCGACATTTTCGTCGTTGTGATAGAGCGACTGGTGGTCGCCAATCCCCAGAGTGGCTAACGTAAACCTAAATCTATATGTATATATATAATTTTGTTTAACGGGACTTTACGTGAAACAGCGATAGTTTTCAGTTGATTCCGCTCACAAAGCAACGGTCGCGCCTTTAGCAGTAACGCAAATGCAACGGACCAAATGTATATGCCATTCGTTGTAAACCGAGGTGTCGAGGATATAACGGTTAAGCTACTCGAGACGGGATTAATCAAATTTATCTCTAATCGTTGTAGTATCAAAATTCCACGGGGAATTGCTTTCCGGCCAATACCATTGTTTTTTATAACTTTTTCCAATGTTTAATTAACAATACGCTCGAGGAAAAAGCCAAAATTGGCGCGTTCACTTTGGTTGAGCCTCGATTATGAATGGTTTACTTTGCGAACACTTTCGTGCGTTTGAGAAAGACGCCTCCAAAAGTGAGGCGATCGGATGTTACGATCGGAATTTTAACTTGAGTGCCTAGCTCGAAAGAAACAAGATTTATTTATCTGCGTACTTGCATATACATTTCACCAATGATGCACACGCTTTTTATTATACAAAGGCGTAAGCGCATTTTCACGATAGGAGGCTGTCTACTTTGGCGACCCGCGGGATTTCCTTGCCTGCCGCGTTAAGAATCCACTTTTCCCAATACGCACGTGGTATTGTCGCTACCAATAACGTTCATCTCGCAGTGGAACGCCCTGTCGAACGCGCGATCATCCGACAGAATCCCGTTGACGATCGCACTGTCCAGAGCGCAATTGCCCTGGAAGCAAATTTATGGCTGGTCAATTGCAAGATTTGCGCGAACAGAGAGGATATTTTCTTCCTTTTACCTTGACGTACGCCATGAAAAACAGCTTGTCTCTAGTAATGTTGTTGTAGATCAAGTAGCTGTTGGAAACGTCATGGAACATCGTGTACTGATCGCGCGTCAAGGCTTCGTACGCCGTGTTTACCGCTAAGTTCTGCGTCACGACGTCGTCGGCTCGATCGGCCTGCAAAGACGGAGATCGCGAACGCAATGATTCCCAGCAATAATTATCTATCCAACGAGGCGATATACTAACGGAATAGTGGAAACGCAGGTTTTGCCTGACGCAAGACTTGACGTCCACCGGGTATTTCGGATAGACTAGCTTTTCGGTGCTTTCGCTGGCCAAATCTGCAAGTAGAATTGCATTTCAGAACTCGAGTAACGTACTTGGTTTCGCGCGCGCTGACCCACCGTCATTGTACGTATCCTCGTGCAGCAGCGAGTGAATCAATGCGGCTGTCTTGACGCCAAACGTCCCATAATGAACCTCTCTGAATGGCAATTTGTTTTTTTGTCTTTAGTTTGACGAAAGGTATGCCGAACCGCTTAGGCGGACCGACATACGTCAACTTACTTTGGCAAGTGCGGCGACAACATTTCAGCGGTATTGATCAACGTTTGTATCACTGGCGATCGAAAACAGACCGATGCGAGTTATCATTTTATCGGAATCTCACTGGCGCGCGCGAGCTTCGTACTCACCAAATCGGTTTTGAGCTTCACCTTGGTCAATGAAACTGAAGGGCTCCGAGGATCTGCACAAAGTACGCTTACGATTTCTCATTGAATGACGCGAGCTTGTTCTCAAAATAATTACCCCGAATTTCGTCGAAGCCTCTCTAAATCCTCGTTCGTCAGCAGCTTCCGGTATTGAACGATGTCGTCGAAGTAATTGCCGGTGATGTTCAACTGAAATAACCGCCGCGGGAATTGGCCAAGTGGCGCGGCAAGTCGAACGACAGTCGAGCGCGGAATTCTCAGAGCTTACCGCTTCGTACAAGTTGTACGGGGAGTCGTAGACGTACTTGTCGAGATTCTCGATGGCTCGAAGCAGCTTGGCCTTGTAATAATGCACGTCCGACGGGGACTTGAGCGCGTAGAGCGACAGTTCGCGTCGAACGGCGCTCACGACACTCGTGAAAATGCTCTGGCCCATCCTGTAGGAGCCGCGCTGAAAGTAGCGAGACAGGCGCGTTCAGTCCGCGCGCGAAGGAGCCGCGGCCCTGCGAACGATGCTCACCCGGTCGTCGTCCTTGCTCAGCCAGTCGCGAACTAGCCTGCGCGAGGCGCCGTACAGTCTCGTCTCCCTCAGGCAGAAGTCGACCCTGTCGAGAAAAGGGAGCCCTGGCCGTCAGCCGCACAGCGCAGACTCCGCTTTACCTGTCGATCCTGTCCAGCAGAGCCGCACGCTCCCAATCCACGTAGGCCAAGTTATCCGTGAGCGCCTTCGTCTGTATCGCCGCAACTGCGCGACAAGGTACAACGGTCAGTCGGGGCAGGCTCGCCGTCGCCGTCGGCGCGAGGCACAACCTACGACTTCGTTGGGCGTGTCACGCAGGAGCTCGGTCAGGCGCGCGAAGTACGCCGGGCTCTGGAGCACCACGTCGTCCGTGTCGAGGTCGAGGTTCCTGCTCTGCAGCAGCCGCCGGACGAGCTCGATCCAGCCCACCTGCGCGCGAGACAGCCCCGCGTCAGTCCCGCGCCAGCCGCGGCTGGGCGCTGCTCGCCTACCTGCGCCGGGGCGTCCGCGCCGTCGCGCAGTTGTCCGAGCGTCGCGTAGTGCCGGGCAGGGCCGGGCAGGCTCGTCGCGGCCGTCGTCGACGCGAGTCTGGCCTGGAACACCGGCGGCGGCGGCCCGCGTGAGCAAGCCGAGCTCCGGCCGCGGCGGGCCGACGCGTACCTGCTGCAGCGCCTCGAAGAACCCAAGCACGCCGTGCTCCACGCCCTCGCGCACGAACCCGTAAAGGTCCGCGATCGCGCGCGCCTGCTCGGAGTAGCGGCTCCTGCGCTGCTGCTGCTTGTAGGCCACGACCTTCCTCGCCCGGCCGTGCAGAGCCCTCGTCCTCGCCAGCGACGGCGGCTGCAGCTGCGAGCAGACCGCGGCGTGTACGCACCTGCGCTGCGCGTCGATTTCGCCGGGCGGCGCGTTTCATTACCAAGATCGCGCTTCTGGCCTCGTCCGTCGGGTGCGGCCCGACCTTCACCTCGAAGAAGGAGGATCCCAGCGCCGACGAGAACGCGACGTAGTCGACGTCTTGCCACAGCGCCAGCCCGCCCAAATTCTCGATCTGCGTCTTGAGCTGTTGCGAGCGCGCCGCCTCGCCGCGCGCGTTCCCTGCTCGCCCGCGCGCCACGGGCAATGGCCCAATAACCAGGCATTAGCAATTTACAAACAAAGTCCCTCTCACGTCGCGAAGTGGCTTGCCTAATTGTATGCACGACTTGTACAGTTGCTTCTCCACCTTCAGCAAGTCGTTGTCGTCCTCTTGCGGCGGTCCGTCCAACGTGGCTGCGCAAACGCGACAGTTGTTTTTCTTTGAGTGCGCGCCCGTTAAGAAGCTAGCGACCGAGTGCATACGAACTGATTAAATAAGCTGCCATGCCCGACAGTCTCCGCTGCAGCGGCACTCCCTCGTCGCTCCTGTCGCGCCTCGAGCACATGTACGAGTGCACGTCCACGCATGGGTCGACCGAGGCGGTCACCTCCGAGACCATCGTTCTCTCTGAAACGCAAGTGACGCTGCCCGTCGAGATCATAGCGAACGTGAAAAATATCGCATAAGCACGCACTCAGTTGATAGCAGTCCTCGTTCTCGAAACATCTGGCCTCCATGTCGTCCGATGGCGTCGCAGCACACAGCGCGCACGAGATAAGCCAGCTGAAGAACAAACGCGACGCCCTTGCAAACGCGGCAGACCACGACCGGCGAATCACGGGTGTGCGTATACTTACAGCAGGGCGCGCGCCGTCGCGTAGTTGCTCGCATTCGCTTGGCGCCCCTTCATGGCCCGACCGCTTCTCGACTGGACGCAACGTACGCAAACGAGCGTCAGTCACTGGCTGCCCGCTATCAGTTTTCCCGGATCGCTCTATGCCGGCGAATTTATAAGCCGCAGATTCTCCTACGTATTTCCTATTCCAACGCTCCGTTATCGAGGCGAAAGCGCGGGAGACTAATAATAAATTGACACGAGAGGAGGAAAAGGTCACGCTTCCACGTTCTCCGCTGTAAATCTCTCTTTGTTTCAAACCTCTCCAATGTCGAGCTATGTGCGTGTGCGTCTCTGTGTGTGTGTGTGTGTGTGTGTGCTCGGTACTCGAAATAGCAGCGTTTTTATTCGAATAATAAAAAAAGAGAAAAGAAATCGTTTACGATAGAGGAGATCGTCAGCAAAATTAATAATAACGAAGAATTAATAATAGAACCTTTTCAACGATATTTATCGGTTTATAGCGCGTTCGTCGCTATCGAACAAAGCAATAATAAATTCAATGAAATTCTCTTGATTTTATTGCCCAACCGCTCGCAATCCCAACGGGAATAATTACTTTTCGATTTTAAAAGTGCGTACGTTGTTTTTTCATCCTCGCGCAGCTACATCTGTATTGATTGTGCGGAAAATATTTTCACAGGTACACCTTACAATAACATCCAAATTTGTCTTTTTCACATACACCTACTCGCATATATTTTTCAGAAAGCTGCAATTCGTCATTGTCAATAATTTTCGGTGCTCGCGAATCCATTCTTCCAGCGCGCCGTGCGCGAGAACAAATTCAACTTAGTTGACGAAATAAAGAAGAACCAGACATTTAGCTAACAAGATTAACGAGTTCTCTCGCTTTTACGTATGGAAAGAAGTCACTTGCCTTTTCATATATATTATGCAAGGTACTTCACAAACGTACATTGAAAGATCATCAATAACGTGCGGAATAATTTTCTATGATAAGAAGCTTTATTCGGTCCCGTATAAATTGATTTCTTTGCAGCAAAACTCTTCTCCGAAATATAACCGACGGGCGTGGAGAGAGAACGACGACTTTTGAGAAGGTAGAAAGATGCTGCGTTGCTTAGTCTACGTACTACGGTACATTGATGGTCTTCCATTGCGCGTAAGATTGAAATTTAAATAGCAACCTTCTACTTTTCAAATTAACTTGTTATCGCAATCGCCGTAATGTCGCTCGGCGTGTCGTTTGAGAGCACACGTGTAGAAGGTACTGCGGGTTAGGTTGGGTTCGGGTTGGGTTCTTTATGAGTACGACGTTGTCGGTGTCGAGTTCGATGCTCGCTTCACGAAGAGCGCGTTGAATAATTTTCAGCCGGTTTATCTAAAGAACTTGGGGCACTTTCGGTGCTCCGCTTACACATATATATCCAATAAGTCGCTGTGCTTCATTGTAATAAAGTCGACTGAACGTATATCTGTGGCGACAGGCAAACGATTGTCGCCTGAAACACGCCACACCATACTCAAATGTTATTTTCGAAACTTATTGTTCTGCTAGTTGATGTGGACGGTTGAGTCAAGCTATTTCAGCGTTCCGAAGAACTGCATAACTTTTTCGCCGACGATCGCATTCAAGAAATCATAAAGCATGCCAATCTGATTTTCCTGATTCTGCTGTAGGCATTGCATGACCTGTGCGGTCCCGTTGTCAGACTCTTAAGATATTCCACATATTGCGGTTGCAGCTGCACGCGAACATTCAAATAGTACAACTCAGTTAGGTGTTGCTTTTAGATTCTCGTTTCGGATGTGGTGTGACTTTCATATCGAAGAAGGAGAATCCGAGTCACAATTTTTAAAGCCTATTTTCAATTTGCTTTCAATTTTCTAGCGATTTCAACTGGTTCATTTCGGACTTAAAATCTGAATATTTGTTGTGCTGCATTTGCTCATCGTAAATAATCAAAGTCCGGATAATAAATCAAGACTACTGGTGAGACGAATCGTCGAAATACTTTCTCATCTCCCAAAGTCTCTCCTACAAAGATTTCTCATCCGAAAACCTCTCGTTTCCCGTGCTCGCGCACACGAGTGAACGTCCCTGCGCGGTTTGATCGAATTGCTGATAGGTCGATCAGGGATTCTACAGGCAGGGCGCATTTCAAAAGTGGAAACCGAGCGGAAAACTCGATCGAACGGGAGCCTTCGAGATGGTCTCGCTGTTGGTCAAGTACGACGGCACGTGTAAAGCGATGATCCAACGAATTGCGGCGCGCCATCATCGCTGATGAGGCGCGCGAGACGCATCGCGCCGATAAAGTCATCGGCCATCCGAGCCGTCCGCTCGAAGTGGCGCTTGCTAATCGGCTTGAGATTCTGGATTCCCGCAGCTCGCCTGACGATAAGGATTTATTTGCTCTTGAAAGGCACATCGACGAACCCGAGCCAGTTTCGAGCGAGCGACTTGCGATTGTGACTCTAGCCCGTACGATTGGTAGCGGCCAATTAATCGATTATTTGTTCGTGGAGTTGACAAGTAATACGAAACGCACGATTATCGATCAAAAATTTCTATTCCACTTTTCGAGTTCTTAAATCGACTGATTAACAAAGCTTTGCTGACAACTGAGCTAACTCTCTTGATAGTCAATCAAAGTACTGATCACTTGTAACACATGTGTTGAGCGTGGATTGCCTAATACACCTTCGAGCAAGAAGGCGCGTCATCGCGTTGGCGCACATTCAGGAGTGCGAGACGGCGGGCGCCACTCGCGCACTCACCATCAGCAACGTCGCGACAAGACGACGCTATTGTGGCGAGTGTTATGGAGTCACTCCGCACAGCGGACAGGCGGCCGATCGAGAAGGCCAGTGCCCGACGACGACACGGGACGCGACGATCGATGACCCACTTGTTCCAAGTTTGCGGTGATACGAGCCCTGTTACGTGACCTTGATTCGTCGCCCTTGCCAAATTGGAAAGCGTGACGAGCAGCGGAAAAGCTCGGAAAGGCAAGCGATCTTCCCGAAATTCACGCGCGAACAGCGACATCGACGCTCGATCACTCCCCTTGACCATCGTCCCAAAGCCCCGCCACTCTCTCTCTCTCTCTCTCTCTCTCTCTCTCTCTCTCTCTCTCTCTCTCTCTCTCTCTCTCTCTCTCTCTCTCTCTCTCTCTCTCTCTCTGTTTCGCACGTCACAGCGATAACGAATCAATCGAGCCGAGCGTCGGCCCCCGCGCGCCACTGTATGCACGCGCGCGCTGGCGCACAACGGCGAGAGAGTGTGAGCGTGCGTGGAGGTGGGGGGGGGGGGGGGGGGCAGCTGCGACCTGCACGCGAAGAAGCGCCTCTCGTCGTGCGTGTGAGAGGCCTGGGTTTCGGCGATTCCCACGCAGCGCTAGCCGGCTGCTGCCGCCACCGCCTCTCTCCCTCCCTTTGTGTACTCTGCTCGCGTGCGAGCGCGTGTTGGGTGTATACCTGCGCGCACACGCGTCATACGTAAGCGCCGCGGCCGATTCGCATCTTGCCCTGCGTCGTTCGCGTCGACTCGCGCTTTCGCGGAGGGATCTCGTCGCCACGCGGCGAGGAACTTTTTCCGGCGAACTCCGCGCTTTTCTAATCCTCCATCCGTTTTTTCTCCCGCGGATCCTTCTGTGCCGCTCTCGCCTATCCTTCTTTCTCGGCTGCACGTTCGGACTGGTTTTTTCTTCCTTTCTCTCTCCTTGTTGCTGCTCCCCGCTCCAATCGACGTCCAAACGAAGCGCTACGGGCGACTCGTCTTTCCTCTTCTTTTTTTCCTCTTTTTCAGAGACGCGTACTGCTTGGACGCGCGTGGTCTGTTGTTGGTTGTTGGTCGTCGCGACCTCACGAGTCGCGCAAAGAGCCACAAGGCGGCGGCCGCCGTCGTTGAAAATGATCAACGACGCAGAGACGATTTTTCGCAAACAAAGAGAAACGCGCATCAATCACACCGAGCGATCCTTATCGTCGTCTTTCCACCCTTCGATTTATAGCCGTCGACGCTTGGCGTCCCGCGCGCCCCCGTCGAAATTTGGCCGACCGACAAAGAGCCGCGTCGTCGCCGAGAAAAAGCTCTCGAGCGGCGCGATGAGTCAGCGCGCGCGGCGAGGGCAGGAGAAAAAGAACGCTCGTGCAATTAAAAAGGAAAAAAAACCGGAGAGAAGAGCGAAAGCTGCGGCACGTGACGGCCGCGAGGGGAAGTCGAGGAATACGCGCGTGAGAACGGCCCCGGCAACACGCGCCCGCACGTGTCTGCTTGGCCGCGCGCGTAGCCACGCGCGCGTCATGCTTTCTCGTGCGCCTCTCGCGCGCGCAATGCTTCTTTGTCGCCGCCGAGGTCCGCGCGCGCGCGCGCGCGCGACGGGCAGGTGGGCCGGTCAATCTCGGCCGATATCAACAAGTTGCGCTCTCGCCGAAAACCGCGCGGAAGGACATGCCCGAGGCTGGCGCGTCTCCTCGCTCGTCCCCCTTGTCCCTCGGAGTTCCGAGGAAAAGGTGGCGGAGACGCTCCCCCCACGTTTCCTAAAAATAGCCGCGTCCGCACGTGTTTGCCTCGGCCAGCGTCGCAGTGGCGCGCAATTATCCCCCCGAAACTCTCCACCTACGAGCCGCGTTCGAAGCACCCGGCCGTTCCGCTGGCGCAGTCCTCCAATCTTCTCTCCGTCTCTTTCTTTGTATTTTGTTTTCCTGTCGAGACCTGCTCGCCTCGCCTCGCCTCGCCGAGAGAAAACGTATACAGAGAAGCGGGGACGAAAGGCGAGACGCCTCAACCGGAAAACTGTTTTGCGCGCGGTCCACAAAAGCCGAGCTCGCGAGGGCCTCTTCGGAATTCGTCTACCTGTCTACCTGCCGGATCGGAGACGAATGGGGAGAGAGAAAGACCTATTACCGGGGACTTCTCTCGGAAAAATTCTCGACGGTGCCCCCGAGAATCGCCGACGGCCGCATTGTCCGAGGCCGCTTGTCATTCGGATGCCTCGCTCTCTTGTTAACAAGTATTTTCGGATTTTACGAGGCCGTACAATCGACGGAGAACGCGCGGGCTTGCATTCACGCGGCAGACCGCCAAGACATTCGGAGCCGCAGCGAGGACGTTTTAATATTGCTTTGAATTAATCACGGCTCGCTCGTCCAGAATTTTCCTCGGGACGATGTCATTTGTCGATGCGGCTTATTACTTATTATAAAAACGTTCAAGTGTCACATCGCGCGCGCCTTATTTTATTTTATTTCTTTCGAATCTTGCGCAGAATGATGCAGCTCCAACGTTATCCTTATTCGTGGAAGGAATCTGTCAGATCCGTGAATTCGGCAATGAGCTCGGTATTTATTTCGGAGGGAAAGCGAAAAATTACGGGCCGCAGATAATTCGACTGCGATTGACGTTTGCCACGGTGTTCCGGTAAATTATTTACTAAACCATCGAAACAGTCTTCGCTTTCAATTTCGGAGCAAGTAACGTCGTTTCGATTGGCGCTTGCGACGCCTCTGTTCTCTGCGGAATCCGTTGAACGCACGGTGAAATCCATCGAAAAATTACAACGACGCCACAACGATTTCTACTGTCCCTTCGGATCGAGAGCTGCGCGCGCGCGCGTTCGCTCCAAAACGCCGTACGACGGTACATCCGCGGACGCATTCATTCGCAGCGTTGAACAAGCATAATCTCATTAGTATTATCCAGTGGTTAACTGCGAGATCCGAGCGATCCCTGGCATAAGGGAAAAAATCTCATCTCCGCACAGAACGATCGAGCGCGCGCTGCCTGCACCCGCAATCGCACGTGTCATTGCACCTGCGAGCGTTCTATTTTCAATGAATACCCCTCCCCCTTCGCGAGCACAGCCAAGCATTATTGATCCCTCTAAATATAATGTGATTTCATCGTCCTCCGTCCCGATAACGCGATCCGGCAGAGTCGCCCGGGATGCGTGCTTTTCGGACAAATCAGGCGAGCGACCCTCGTAAATTCACTTGCCGCGCGGCTAATTAATGCGAGGCTGCACTTTGCGTCGCGGCGAGACAGGTCCGGGGCAGGCTTTCTCGCGGCTCACGCGGCGTGGGCAGGAGGGGCGCGGCGAAGGCAGCGAGCTCCTCTATTCACAGGCGCACACAAAGGAGGAAGACTCTGCGAGACACCCCAAGGTGCGTGTGCGTGCCGCTCGCTCGCGGAGGTTCCCAGGGCATCTTGGCATCTGGCGATCGGGGGTGGGCGAGCAGCTGCAGCTGCCGCCGCCGCCGTCGCGGCGGTGGGGGCGACGCCATATAAGCCGCCGCGCCGTCGCCGAGCCGGCACAGAAGCGCTTCGAGCGTTCCACGCTACGCACTCGCTCGTCGCCGCCGCCGCCGCCGCCGCTCTTTCAGTCGTCGCGATCGATAGATTGCCAGCTACGCCGAGACAACATGCAGATCAGCAAGGCCATCGCCAAGTCCGGCAAGAAAATCATCAAGGTAAGTCTCCTCGTCTTTCGTGAATCTCGCCAGCAAATGTAGCAAATGTCCGAGTAACAGACTCACTAACCACTAATTTGTCTTTCGCATGACAGGCGATCAAGAAGCTGTCGCCACACGCCCGCCTGGCCAAGAAGCTCGAGTACGCGTCCAGAATGGCACGCAAGGACGAGCAGCTGTCCGTGTCCTGGTGGTCGCTCGACAAGGCCAAGGGCCCCGACGACGGCCTCGTGGTCTATGCCGAGTGCGGCTGCTGCTGCTGCTGCCGCCAGTTCGGCGACGACGAGGGCCTCGAGAACGACAACCTGCGCAACGAGAACATCGAGAACGAGATGCTCAGGTGTTGAGACGCAAGTGCCCGGGCGTGTCTGTGAAAACAAGCGCATTGTGATATGGACGCAGTTTCTCCAGTGATCTCCGAGCAGCGGGAACGCGCGAGTCGTTGCTTCCGACTCCTCCTCCTGACTCGCCGTCGTGATCGATTGTCTTCCGTTAGTTTTATTATGTCTAAGGCGTCGAGACGCTCAATCCTCCAAGCTGTCCTCTGGCTCGCGGCAGTGCAGAACGCCGACAGCACGGGCGATTACGTTCGGTTTAAGTGCGTCGAGGCATGTGATGATCTCCGTAGAGTTAATTAACTCGGTCGCCAGCGGCGACACGCGCAAGACGGTTTGGCGTGTAGCAGCGCGCCAAACGCTTAGCACTTAAGCTTTCGCGTGGCGACGGCATTCCTCTTGGTTTCTTCCAGTTTCTTCTGTATACGTCGACCATCGACGAACGAGAAGTGCACGCGCCTCTCGCCGCCGCCGCGCTGCAACTGTGATATTCTAGATTTAACGCTAGCAATAAGCCATGCAACCACCAGCATTTGTCATTGATTGATAATAAACGAGATATATTTTAAAATGCATACGCACGATTTTTACGTTTTCGCATTTATATCCCGTTAATCCTACATTTCCCATATATGCACGAAATCCACTTATCAAGCTCTCGGATTAAAATCTCTCTTCTGTTAATTATGTTCTTTCATACGTTTTTTTTTTCAAAGTGTATGCGGTAATTAAAATACCGTTCGTTCATTCAACTTTTGAAAGAAAATTTGAAAGACCGGCTTGCTCCTTTCATATGTAAATTAAAAAAAAATTAAAAGCCTCATTGAAACTGCAAGTAAAACGCAGAAATTTCTAAATTAGCCGGGATTAAAGAGGAGAATAGAGAAGATTGTAAAAACAACGGAGAACTCGGGCAATTGGTGCTTCGATTTTCTTTTCAAAACAAAGAGAATGCGGACACAGAAAAAAGTTGCGATTGTCTGATGACTGCATCTCCCGTTCCACTTAACCGCTTTGGTCAATTAGTCGTTGGTCAAGCTAAAGATTATAGCTACGTTATTAAGTCTTTGAACTCATTTGAATTCTTTCACATGTAAATCTTTGTCACTCCTTTGTTTTCATTCAATTTTTGTTTGATTTTTACGCGTCACGGTCTTTGCAACTTCGGTTTGTTCCCTATTGGACAGAGTTATAGACAGTCAAGTCCTACACGTGTCGTTGACATTCATTTTTTTAACTTGTGAAATGTAAAAATCAAAAGGAGTGATTGTTACCTCATACTATTAATAATAATAGACTAATTTAAAACAAATTTTAAATGATAATGTGAACTGACGTTATTTATGTAACATCGAAATTTCATATGTCTAATGAAAAGTAAAAATAAACGATCGTAGGTGAGGATTTAGAAGTTGAAACAAGTGAAAATTTCCATGGGATTTTTTTATTAAAAACTTTGCTCCTCAAAAATAAGTAATTATACCATTGTCCGTTCTCTCCCTCAGCGCCTTGGCACACATACACGCACAAAACTTATACATAATATTTATATAAATATATAAAAAGGCGCGAAGACACAAACTCGGAGAAAACAAGCAATAAAATTTTCTTTTATTCGACAGTTACAAAAAAATTAAGAACACGCAAAGTACAAAGTATGACGTAGTACAAAATATTTATATTTACATTAGAGGTGTCTCTTTTTTATATACACTTTACTTTACAAATAAATAAGCTTTCCATATATCATTCTTATAAGGTACTAATATGACTATGTTGTGCTATCACAACCGAAGTTTCCGCGCATTCGATTAAAAAGAACGCGTCTCAAACAAATAAAACCACCACGGTCTCTCCGTTTCGTCTTGAATCTTTTGGTTTAGGTACACACACACACGCGCGCGCGCACGCGCGCACGATAATCTTAGCTGAGTTTGAACTTGTGTTGCGTCGTATTTGGTTCGTTTTACATTTGATTTATTGGAAGTAGCGCTGATTTGGTATTTGTTCTGGAATATGGAGCACTCGCGCGACAAGCGCCGCGCGAACGTTTATAAGGGCAGCTGAAGAACGTTGCTGTGATTATCAATAGGCATTGAGCTCGGCGCCCCAGGGCCGATAAGGTTTGCCGTGTTGCTGGTGCTGGCCGTACTGCGCGGGATACTGTCCGGGGTACTGCGCGGGCGGCCAGGCCAGCGGCGGCGGAGGCGGGTTGGCCGTGGACGTCGTCGCTGCCTGGTCGTAGCTGGAGGTGGCCGGCGGAGGCGGCGGCTGGCCCGACGGCGGCGCTTGCGACGTCGTGGAAGACTGCGAGTCGCGGTGAAAGCTTTGCAGGTGGGACAGCAGGCGCAAGCGCAGGGGGTCTCGCTCGTCCAGACCCTCCATCGTGACCAGGTAACGGCCCACCTCGGCCGCGCACTCGCCCCAGCCTACCGCGTGATAGTCCATTGCCAGCTTTGTGCTGTCGTAGCCTTCGGCTCCTGCAACGATTCAGATGCCACTGGTCAGTTTGCGGAGCTAAATGTCGCTCTCCTCCTATTCTCATTGATTTTTGATTTTAGCTCAGTCATTTCTATGCAATTTACTACGGACAAGAGCATTTTTTTACTTGAAAATGATGTTTCGCTTTCGCGATGCCACGTTGAGCCGAGTATCACTTGAAAAAAGCCATTTTCCATTTTTCAGAGGCTTTCAAATAGATCACGTCGAGAGAACTCGAAATCACGGGCAAATCTCGTACGACCGAATTCCACTTTCTTTACAGGACACTCAAAAACCAAGTGTTGGACTCGAGCGTACCGTACGCGCGCGATATTGCAGCTTGAAAATATTGCGCTGAAGCGATAAAAATAAAGGCGAACGAAATCTGTGGTGATTAATACCCGATAAAAAGCGCCGAAGGACGGTCAATTTGAGAAATTCCCATGCTCGCCACAGCGGCAGATGGTCGGCTCGCTCTCGCTTCGGCAAGGCAAGGTGCAGCCGTTCTCGCGCGCAGGTAGTAGCCGTGGGAACCCGTTCGCTGCTCACGCACGACTCCTTCCCTTCGTTTTCTCCACATCCCCTCCCCCCTTCCCTTTCCAACGCGCGCACATGCATACACACGAGACTTTCGGTAATATGACGGGCCCCGCTAATCAGCCCGCGTAACCCCACACCACCCTCGATCTTCCTTTTTTCTCGGCGCGACTGATTCATTGATGGATTCGTCGATGCCTTCGCAAGATTAATTATGCGCGTGGTCTTTGGCTTGGAAAACTGCTTTTTTTATAGGTCTTTTACTCGCGATGACGGTCAAGTTTGTACAGGAAGATGGTGAAAGGCCAACTTTGATCAATGTATTTGTTGGCTTTGCATAATCACATGAAACTTTTTGAAAATTTGTATCGAATGTCAATCGGTGTTTGTTTATATAACACTGTTATCGATCCCGTATTTCTAAGGGACTGGAACCAGCGACACAAACGTTGCAATCACAACAAACGATGATGCTTCGACAAAGCTTTAAAATAGATTTTCTAAAAGTAAGAAGGAAAAACAGAGAAGAAAGCACGGTGTGTCTTAGTCATTAACACGTCAGTTCCGTTTTTTAAAAAAAGAAATAAAATAAAAGAAAAAAATAAAGAGCAAGCAGCCCGCAGGCTACACGTATAGTTTTCCCGAAAAATCGTCGCATCCCTCCTCTCACTCACTTTGTCGCTCCTCTGTTGGACAAAACTTGGGGGCATGAATGAAGGAGGCTCGCTCGCAGCTTGTGCGAAGGGAGAGCCTCGCCGGTTTCCCACACTGGGCCACATCTGTCCTCTCTCTCTCTCTCTCTCTCTCTCCCTTCTCCTTGGCGTTCGTGCTCGCGTATAGCGTGCGCGGGGGGCTGAAATCGTGGGAACGCCAAGCACGTCGGAAGAGTTTGACTTCCTACGCTCTTCCCGCGGTCCAGCTCCGCACCTGCTCTCTCTCCCTCCGCACGAGGAGAAGAGTGGGAATCAACGCGTGTCCGCGCGTGCATCGGTGCGCCGCGAGCGCGTGCGCGCGTCTCATTGTCCGCACGTGCGCGCGTGTGTGTGTGCGCGCGCCGAACGGAAAATATTAATATTCTTCGACAATGCTGCGAAATCTGTGTCGCCTGAGAGTCCTCTCGCGCTTATCGAGGCGGTGAGCGATAATTTTACTCGTGCCGTACGAAAGAATTACGCGAAAAAAAAAGACCGCGGGGGCAGGCGATACACGAACGCCCCCCCGTGCTGGCACGCAAACAGGTGTCTTCCGAAGCCTCCCCTCCCGCGGTTCTCACTCGCTCTCTCTCTCTCTCTCTCTCTCTCTCTCTCTCTCTCTCTCTCTCTCTCTCTCTCTCTCTCGTGCTGTTGCGGGTTTGTTTGTAAACAAGCCCTTCGCCCAATCCTCCCACGCGTTCAAACGGAGACTTAATTTGTGTAGCGGCCGGTCACTGACGTACGTCATTGTATCGATGACTTCGCTCAGATTTTTCGAGCGCGGAGGTGGAAAAATTTCTAGCTACTGGTTGTCTCGAGGGATCACAAAACACCGATGAGTCTTGAGATGTTTACAACTAAGACAGTTTATTAAACATCAAAAGAGCATTTTAATTTCACGTGATCGTGTCGAATCCGACTCACGAGCGATTGGTGGACATTGCGAAAATTATTTCGATTTCCGAATATTGTATGTCAATTTGAATTTACGCTTGCAATGAGTTACGCAAAAAAAATATCGTTATTGAAGTTTTGACCAATAAAAAAAGGGAGTCCACAACAAAATTAATAGATAGCGGTCCCCAAAGAGAGCATAATTACGCGACTCAATGATCGCCTGAGAGTTGAAATTTGGAAAGCGGGTCTGGTGCATAATGGGCGAACGACTAACAGGTAAAACCGCTGTTCCGCACAGGTGCTAGAGGGACTGACGAGGTGCGTAGGATCCGACACAGATTTCCCAGCGTGCTCTCGAGCTGCTACCCGAAGTCTCATTTGAATAAGCATCCCTCGACGCGCTTTTTTTTCTATCCGTGTCCCCTTGCGCTGGATTTTCCACGGGGAAAAACTAATCTGTTTGGCCAATTTCGATGATTCGCTAGAGGGTATCGTTATCTCTATTGTAATGGTACATTTTGAAAAGTAACATTTGACTATTAATCATAATTGGAAATGCTGTTTATTACGTTTATGTAAAATCTGACCAATCAAAGAACGAAAACTATCATTGATTCGATACTGCGAAATTCCGATTGTATGTTTCAAATTGTCACACTAAAATTAGTGGTAAATCGATATGAAAATGCACCAAAGAAGCTTTTACTAAAATTTTTACAATATTTATAAGTACTTTTCAAACATTGCTATAATATTTCTTGTAACGATTCGAACGTCCATTGTAAAATATTTCTTAGACTTCCCGACATGGTATCTGCAAAATTGTTTGTAGTGTTGGTGAAAGTTCTTCTGGCAAATTTCGCCCAATTAGACGTAGCTCTTACAAACCAAAATACAATAATGGCCGTAGACTCCAAGTTACCTCGCTTTAAAGTTCATTTAGATAAACAATAAGGGAACAAATCAAAATACTACTAACCTTTACTCCTCAATGTCCTCAGATGCTCGACGGTAAGCTGCAAAATTTCAGCTTTCTCGAGCTTGCCGCTGTGAGGATCGCGTGCGGCCGCCGGTACCAATCTCCTCAACTCGCCCAGCGAAGCATTGATACGGTCGCGTCGCTTCTTTTCGATCATGCCTCGACGCCGTTTGCGCGACGTGTGCTGACATGAGTCGTCTCCTGGAGAGTTGCATCTAAACAAGCAACGCAGATTTGTTTCTTCTTATTTTTGTAAAAGTTTCAAATTTTACAACTACAAAGCTTTTCTATTCGGATCGCGGGAGAACAATGCAGCGAGGCTCTAGGCAACTTTGATCTTAAAAATACGTGTATCAATCGTGTCCGACTTGCCGATACGTACCGATAATCGCGCAGATTGATAAGAATAGAAAAGAGCTGTCAAAAATAGACAGGCCAAATCGTGATTCAACGGTTCGACCGGTCGCGTTACGTGCATTTGGAATATCGACAAACTCGACGCGTGGCGTTGATGAGCGCGCGAAAGCGAACGTTCGGACGCGCATCACGAAAAGCTACGTAGCGCGCGGCGAGCCGCGAGCGAGGCTGCGACGAGCTTGCGCGCTCGAGCTTTCGCGCGCGCATGAGAACCCAAGGTCGTACTCACGGTTCCTTGCCGCTCTCCTCCGAGAATACATCGTCGCAGTCCGAGTCGCTGAGCGGCCTCTTCAGGCTCCTCTGCTGATGCGCCTGCTCGCCGACGCCATCCTGGCTCTGCGCTTGGGCCTGCTGCTGCTGCTGCTCGTGCGTCTGTGCGTGGTGGTAGGCGTGCTGCTGCATAGCCGGCGGCGGCGGTGGCGGAGGCGGCGGCGGCGGCGGCAGGCTCAGTGGGTAGTGCGGATGATGCGAGTGTGCCCAGTGTGAGTGGTGCTGCTGATGTACGTTGCCGGCGGCGCTCGGGTGGTTCGCCGGCCCACTCGGCCCCATCAGCTCCGAGGACAGCAGCGTGGTGCCGTTCTCCTCGTGCGGCCTCGGCGCCACGACGACTCGCCACATCTTGCCAGGGTCAACGTGGGTGCAGCCAGCGAGAGCGGGTCGCGTCTCTCAGGTGGACATCACCACCGTGCACGTGCAGCACGTGCAGCGGACGCGATGCGCGCACACGACACACACAGCGCGCGCTCCTTTGGCCCTGCTCACCGGTCGCGTGCCGACCAACGTATGTCGTGTGCAGCGCCAAACGCCGAGCCGACCGAGACACACGACTCCCCCTCCCGCTCGTCCTGGCTCCGACGGCGCGCACTGTTTCGCCATCCCCACTACCGTCGCTATCGCGCTACTGCTACCCGGTTAACTAACTAACCATCCCCCCTCTCGCCGCCCCGATGGAAAACCACCCCAGATAGCTCGTGCGTATCCTATATGCGGATCGTGGGAACCGATTCGCGCCCCAACCTCTCACCCCCCGACCTCACTCTCTCTCTCTCTCTCTCTCTCTCTCTCTCGACTTTTATTTTTGCTCTGCACGCTTCGAGTGCAGCCCATGTTGCGGCTGGGAGCTTGCGCGCGCGCGACTTTGCCGCTGCTCACTTTTCCAAGACTTTCCGTCGGCCGGAGATTAAGCTTCGATCGACTGAGACGCTGTGCACCTACGAGTCTTTTCGCAGGATTGTCACTACTTCGATGCCGTTCGAGAAATAATTAGCGAAAGGATTATTATTGTGAAAGGATTTCCGAGGACCCGACCTGTTGCCAACCGCGAAGTCACGTAGTCCAGAGTGCGTGAATCGAATCGTCGCAATTGATTATTTGCGCCAAGCTAAGCTTGGCGGTCGTTAAAGTAAACTATTGCTTGCCAAAAATCATTCCCTTGTAACCCGAAAACGTCAGGCGAGCACTCTGCGCGTCGCAACCCCGAATCAGAATCTATTATGTACTTAGCCGCACGAACAAAGGGACTATATCACAGTCTGACTGATAGCAGATATAGTACGCGGGAAAAGAAAGTTCTCCCCTTGCGCTTAGTGCGTTATTTACGGTCGCACGATACATATTGCCGCGCCCACGCAATGATCAATCGAATGAAATTATTTATCAACGATTATAAATTAATTAGTAATAAAACTCGGCTTGAGGCGTGGAACATTGACGAAAATGAAGGAATAAAAATTCAACAAATATTCGTGATGAAGGTTATCCGACGATGATCACTCCCGATAAAATTACGATTAATCTCGAGGCCCAATCGGTTGGAACGAGCATCAAATCGATAATGAGCTGTAAAATGTGGAGAAGCGTCGAACGCGTTGCTCCAATTAGCGTCGCGCGTGCGTCCTCACGAGCGCCCTCATCGTCGAAATTGATATAAGCCGCCGACGAGCAACGGTCGCATGCAAAGAGTGGCGAGGCTTCGACCGACAGAACAATCACATCAGCAACTAATCACGCGTAGAAGAGAGAGAAAGCGCACGCGACGCGTGCAGGACGTGTGAACTGACTCGGAGCGCAACGGCGGTCGGTCGTGGGAGACGGGGGGGGGGGGGGGGGGGGGTCAGGCCGTGGCATACAAAAACGCATTGTGTCGGGTGCCTATCGATATATGAATGGCCATACGCGTGTGCCGCTTGGGAACGTGCGCCCGAGCTTGATTTGATTGCGGACCCGAGCGTCACTGGAATTTTCAGAGCTTGTAATTGCGGCTCGCGCTCTCTTCTGGGAGTTGGATGGCGCGCAAGGCCTGCGGGAGCGATCGCCGATTGAATCGCGCGCGCGCGACAATTGAATCGACTCTTGCGGCTCCGCGATTCCAGAAGCGCAAAGACAAAGATTTCCGGGTGAGTGGCAGAGAGAGAGAGAGAGAGAGAGAGTATCGAGCGTAAGATTCGTCGCCGAAACGGCGGCGCGAGCGGTCAGCCGAGGACTGCGAATCGAGCGTATGCGCGCACAAGTGGAGCGCTTCGCACGCGCCTCGCCAACCCTTTTGCGCGCGCAACGAGAGGCACTCGGCTCCCCGCGTAAACACGCGGTCACTCGCGGCATTAGCTCGAGCGCACGCAAGACAAACACGCGACCATCGCGCGTGCAATCGGACACGCGAGGGTCAGTATCGACAGTTGGGTGCTTTACGATTTGTTGGTCAGCGCGTATCGCTTTACACGGGTGGACCGCGTTATTGTTATCGTCGCCGTGGGGCTATCCAGCCCGGCCTTAATGTTTGCCCTTGTAAATTTGACAAAGTGACGTCGCGCGCTCTCCGCGGCGGCCTTTTGTTCGCACGCGTGCCGCGCACTCCGCTCGCTCGTTGTTGTTTTTTTGCTTTCTTCGGAGGCTTTTTTTCCTCGCCACGCGAGAGACGAACGCGCTGCTCTCTTCTCTTTCTTTTCTTTTTTTTTCTTTTTTTTTCTGGCAACTCGGGGACCGGCACTTTTTTCTCGTGCTCGGGAGTCGTCGCTTTCGCGTTAGTCAGCGCAATAAGCCGTGGATGCGGGCTGGTGTCTGGGTCCCCTTTTTTTCCATGAGGTCGACGATGTGTTTGTTCGACGATTTAAATGCGCGCAATATATGATTCCGTTAATGGTGGGCTTTACTTACAATCAACTCGACGGAAGAAATCGATCGCGTATATCGCAGAACCAACTGCACGCAACAATTGGTTTTACGATATCATCGGCATTCTTGTGGCTCGTACAATGACGTTTCGTGCTAGGAGGTCGCAAACCGAGTCTAATAACTTTACACTTGAGTCAACGAAAGACCGGCGGTACATCACGTGATGATGCTTGAGAAAGCGGGTGAGTTGCGCACATTGCGCATCTTTCATCGGAAAACTGTGGCGACGTCTACGTTTATTTTTATTTGATAAAAATCCTTGAACGAACATGACACATTGAAAAATTAAGAGGAGCAAACGCAGACAAATATCATTCAAACGTAAATTTCCTATTTGATATTTATCCAGAAACGAACCATTAACGGTCTTTTAAAATCTTATCAATTTGAATTCATCGTGCATTCCGCCTTGGATTCGATAAGCGCGGCATTCGAGTTTCCAAACTCTCAAGCCAGCCTTTTAAAATCAATCCGCGCGTCGGTGGGTCGTCGCTCGAGGGAAAAGGGCACTTTTTTATTCTTCCTTTTACCGCGCGGCCAACGCGTACGTCTAAAATGGCCAAAAACCAAATTAAAGCGTGACCGGCGATTGTCCACGCGGACGTCGAGTCGTACATGTACAATAGGGACGCGGAAACACGCAGACGAGTCGAAGATGAAAAAAGTCAAAACCTATTTTAAAGGGAGTCTGAAACGCACCCCATGTAATCGTCGGCGTGACGCTTCGCGGCACGCCGTACATTTCAATTGCGGACGCACGACAAGTGTTTTGAGTGGAATTAAAAAAAAATCATACGGGAGTAGCAGCTGTGTGTGTCGGGGAGAATTTGATGGACTGAAACAACTATTACCGTCGGATTGTAAAGTGTTCTGCGGCGTGATAGAGTGGAGAGAGAGAGAGAGAGAGAGAGAGAGAGAGAGAGAGAGAGAGAGAGAGAGAGAGAGAGAGAGAGTGAAATAACGTTTCAGTTTAATGAAATTACGCCCCAGCCTCGGCTATACACGATATTCATTAGTGGATTGGCTTTTTGTATGTGCACGCGTGGTGATTTCGCTCTCGACGATTCGAATTTGACTCGTGAAAGCTACTTCGAAGACGAATCGCTTTTCAAATTTTCACGCCGCCTATTGTCCATTCAGGACTGTCAAGATTTCGGGAATGTAGGAAACAGCGTAATCGATCGGACTTTTTTTTAATAAAGAGAAAATAAATGAAAAAAAAGAATCGTGGTACAAATGTGAACATTTATATCGATTCAGTTTTAACTTTCTCTCTTGATTAGAGATTTCTTTCCTTCCATTTCTTCATATTTTAAAGAATGCCGGTAAAATCATAGAAGAATAATAAAATTCAAATGTTAATTTTTTTTAACACAAATAAGTGAGATTCATTTATTAAAAAATGTTTATACAAGTTAAATGTACGACATAAAAATAAACTCATATATATTATTAGTCAATAATCTCTTCATAAAAAATAATAATAACGTTAATCCCATAAAAAACATTTTTATAGTATAGCCTGGGATCCTCTCCATGACGTAAGTGTGTGATGGCTTGTCGTGCAAGTGTCTGCGCCCTGTAACATCAAAAGAAGAATCTCCTTTGTCGTTATACACCTAAAGACGCGAGATTTTACGAAAACATAACGGACTCATAAAACCGTTTTGCTCTTGTAATATTCTCATACGCGACAATGTAAAAACCGTAATACGCTACGATTCAACCCTTTCTTGCGAAAAAAAAACCGTTCTTTTTCTAAATCAGTCGTTTTACCTCAAAAGAAGCCTTTCGACCCTCAAAAACTTTCCCTCGACGAATAAGCGCGTATACCTGTGTGAGCATGAGCAGTTCATCCTGGGTGTCGACGATTTTGACGGGGAATGGCGAGCCAGGTACCAGCACACCTGCCCACCTGACCTCGACCCTATAGTCTCCGGGCTCAGTGGGATCGTAGCGGCACAGTATTATTCTGTCCTTCTGCGTTTCTCGCTGCATCTCGACGCGGAAAGCACCTTTCGGTCCGCGCACCCTCACGGTCAGTTGACCTGCTCCGGCGCCGCGAGTGTCGCAGATGAAACGCGACTGGAACGTCGCTAGCACGCCGTGCTCGATGCCTGGGCCGTAGACTCGCACCTGCGCGGAAAATTCAGGCGTGACTTACTGGCAGCCCGTTCGCACCATTATCGTCCCTCAACATTTTTGCCTCGAGCGGACATACTTAATTTACATTGACGAATGGCCGTTCCTCGCGGCACCTTCAATAAATAAATAAACTACAAATAAGCTTAAAGCGATGATTGAGGCAATCAGTGACGAATAAGAACGTTAAATTAGTCAGCCTCTCTGCCTTGATGCCCTTTCGTTTTCTTGCCCGGAATGCATGCCATTCTTCGCGAACAATGCACGCGAGAAGCTTCCTGAAATCACGTAACGCGGAGTATGGTAATTTACCTTGGAAGCATCAGGTGCGCCAGATACTTTGAGAGTGAAGGGTGAGCCAGGCACGTGCTCGCCTGCATACTTGATTGTCATTGCATGCCTGCCTGCCTCTTGCGGTTTGACGTTCAGCGTGAAAGTCGCGTCACCGTGGTCGTACAACTCGCAGTACGCTACTTTGTGCGGTCCGACGCAATGAGCTGTCAACTCGCCTGAAGGATTTGCAAATGTATTATTATTTTATATTCGTTGCTAGCTTTTCACGGTTCATTTTCATTTTATCGACGGAAAAAGCAGCGATTTTACTGGACGCAAAAGTTGCCAAATTAGCGTCATTATGAAGATAAATTTCTCACGTTTAGTAGAATATATATTTTTTTTCCATTTAAGAAATAAAAACTATCAATTTAATAAATACCTAATATTTGACAAGTTTTTACAGCTTCCTTCATAATTAAGCCGTAAAAAATGTTTTAGCGTTTCCAAAATTATCAAGTCGAATTTTTGTTATTGTAAAATTAAAATAATCGAGGTTTTTTTTAAAAATAAAAACGTATTGTTGCGAAGAATACATTTCTAACAATTAGAAATTTCGCCATACTTAGAATATTTGTCTAAATGTGGAGACTTAAAAAATTTTGTTTTATATTTTAAGAAATTTCATATACTTATAATATTACACGACATGCAGAAAGTATGACTCGGCCATAAACATGTGCTCAAATTCGCGTTTCCCCAATGTCGTTTCGAAAAATGTTCGACAGAGATTCTCGTCTCGTGTTAATTTACCCTCACTTCGCTCGAGTGTAAACCTCATACAAGACAAGAATCTGTTTTCCTGCACTAGTTGGGTAATGTAATATTGCAAGAACAAATGGGTGTTTAAAAAAATTATATGCTTAAAATTCTGCCCATTATTCCAAAATGATCAAATTTATCATTATATCGTTTGAAATATTTCGTGCCAATTAATCGTTTGTCAATTTTACTCTAGGAAGTTATAATATTTTATAACATTTTATTTATAAGAAAAAAGTATTTTATTTTTCGTATTTAATAGAAAAGCATTATCGGTAACACTACAAAACGAAGGTGGACTATAAAATGTTGTTCATCAATAAGAAAATAAAAAATTAAAAAATTCCTTAACCCCCCCCCCCCCCCCCAACGATATCCATAGATATACAGACAATGGAGAAATTTCGTCGCTACTTATCACCAACCGTTTGCCTAAAATATAAATCAAAGGGGGTTGGGTTCGAAAAGATTATCTTCGACAAATATTCATACCGAGAATGCCACAAACTAATCTTAGAATGTTTTGAGCAGTTGTTTCTTCGCGAAAAAAATGAAAAAACTAACTGTATTTTCTAGTTATTATTTATGTTTACATTCACGATGAAATACCAAAGTTGTATCGCACCTTATAACCAACCTGCCCTAAGAAACGCTATTTGTTTTTTCCAAAACATTCCAAGATTGATTTGTCGTATTCTAGGTATGAATATTTGTCGAGGATAATTTTTTCGGGCAACTTATTTATGTTTTAGGAAAATAATTGGAGAGAAGCCTAGACGAAATTTCTCCATGGACCTTGTTTAGGTTGATTAGGATTGTTATAGGTTCTACAAATATTCCCCGAACAGCGAGTATACAGTTTGATCAGATCACGAGTCTTTCTCCAACAATCAGCAATGAATAGTTGTTGGCAATGGTACTGAATGATATATAAATGTAAGCGAACAAAGAGTATTGTGCTTATCCGTGCCGTGATATAATAGTTTTGTAGTCAATCTTTACTCAACAATATAAATGGAACGTCAATATAAATCCAACGATTGAATTGAAATTGGTTATTTTTGATTTACAAACTTTGCGTTTAAGACGCCGGTCCCATAGGTACGTACGGATGCGGACGGATACGGACGCGAATCGCAACTGTAGTAACATCACTAAAAATATCTAGTTCGATTATTTAGTACCAACACTACCGGTAGTGAGTAAAAGTGACTGTTGTTTAAAACTGTAGGGCCGAACGTACCACATTTAATGTTCAAATGTCAGGTCTACAATTTACTTTTCAAATTTTCATGAATATTGCTTATTGATGAGTATGCTAATGTAAAAAAAGTTTTTGGGATGATTAATACATATCATTTATATATATTTTCTTCTTCTTCTCATATATTCAAGTACTTCCATAAAGTTAAGGCCTAATTCCACTAATTGTAGTTGAAAGTCTATCAATTCTCTATCATTTGCCATCTTATAGACTGCAATAATGTAAAGGTTAGATAGGCGTTACATTAAATGTGGTACGTTCGGCGCTACAGTTTTAAACAACAGTCACTTTTGCTCACTACCGGTAGTGTTGGTACTAAATAATCGAACTAGATATTTTTAGTGATGTTACTAGAGTTGCGATTCGCGTCCGTATCCGTCCGCATCCGTACGTACCTATGGGACCGGGGCCTAAGTAAACACGTACGTTACAACTTTCACCATCATTTTCTACTCCGAACTTATTTAAAAAGTGGATTCCAAATGTGATACAAAATTGAAATATGATGTAACGAAATAGTTGCGGGCAATATATCAATAACAAGTATGACAGTAACACTGTCCCCTGCAATAAAATAATTCAGCCATCTCAATGACATTTCAATTAGGCGAGAAGCAGTCCCGTTGAGGATCAATAATGCGCATTTGCCTAATCCCCGAAAAATCTCATTGCAAGAGTAGCTTCGCCAATAACTCACCTGGTCCCGCGCGCCTCGTATCGATGAAACTCTTGATCTCCTGTCCGACCACCCCGTACTTCAGACCCTGCCCCGAGCAAACCACCCTAGTCGCATCAGCAGCACTGGATACGCTGATCTGTAGGGGACATCCCTTCAGCTGCCTGCCGTTCCACGAGACAGTCATGAGCAATGGGTCGGCCGTAAAGGGCGTGTAGCTCGCGCGGTACACGCTGTTGCCGAGATGTTGCAATACCACGTCGACTTCGCTGGTCGGCGAGAAGATTTGTACTTGTGGTGTCCCGGTGCCGGCTTGCGAACCATCGATTGTGAAGCTCACTTGCTCGCCGCATTTCGCTGCTGACAAGCCACGACCCCGAAGCATCACTCGGGTTGCGTCTTGCGCGACTGACGACTGTTCGACAGGCAACCAGAGACATTGTTGTTTAGGTATTCGTCGTGAAATCGTAGTGCCGCTAAGGAGCAATTTGCTTTCGATGGAGCGAAGCCAGTAGCAACAACATCACGCAAATGTACGCGGTGCAGTTACCTCGATTTCAGGAACGACCGCCAACTTGGGCGCGCCGGGAAAGAGAATGCCATTGAACAAAATCTCAATGTTGTGTTCGCCGGCTGGCACTTGAGGCATCGCGAGTTTTAGTCTGTTGCTGGTAGTCGCTTCAAATATTAATGGCTGATCGGCAATGTTGCCGCTCAATTCGCCCGGTCCTGCTTCTGCTGTATCGAAGCTAATTTTACTGCCAGGGCCCAGTTTCAAACGACCGAGATCGTCGCACAGCGCGTTCCAGCCACCTGGAAAGATGACGTTAATGTTAGACTGACTGCTTAAAAAGACATCCTATGATTGGCGTACATTATATAGATACAATAAAAATAATTTTTGAAATTCATAGTTCAGAGCAGTGTGATAGACGTTAATGTAATTTTTTATTATCGAAGGTTACGTTAAATTTCATTTCTAAAACGTTGTTACAAAGTATTAATTAAGATTCGTTTAGGCTTTTTAAGCGAACATAAAAAATATTTTATTTAGTGTATTTCCTGAATAAATGTTATAATTATTCGCGTAAATTAACATTTAAACGAATACAAATTTTTTACTTACCAATTACTCTCAAATTACGCGTATCAATGATCTTCGGGTGCCAAGGGCTTCCAGGGAGCTGTTGTCCAGCACAACTAACCCTTACGTCAAAAACACCGGGTTCCGTCGGCACGTAGCTAACATTCCAAGTGCCGGGATTAGCGCCAGCTTCAACATTTGGTTTAGCCACGCTATCAGGCCCATCAACTCTGACAGCCGGCGGAGTTCGACTCCCAGTCACCATGAAATACGCCGGTTTAGAAACGTGCCCATTAATCAATCCTTGACCTTTCGCTCTTGCTTGTCCAGCAGCTTCGACAACGCAAACTAGTGGACTTCCAGGCACAGGATGTCCGCCGTAACTCACGCTTATCTCGTACGATCCAGCGATATTCGGTGCGAATTCGATCATCTCAGCCCCGTCGTTCAGCGGTGTCACCTGCAAGGGTAACTCTTGGCCGAGTGGCGAGGTTGCTGTTACGTCTAGTTCCGCAATGCCTGCTTCTGATTTGATTACTGGAATGATACAAGCGAGAGAGAGGTAAGTTGCAGCCTTGAGTTCAGCCCCTCCCTTTTATGCAGCCGAGCGAACTTTCTCTTTGTACACGTCGACCCACGCGCTGTGAAATTCTGTATCTATTCTAGTTCTATCGATTTTTTCGCGATTTCCATGTTGTAAGCTCGAGTTTCAACGAATGTGCGTGTGTGTGTGTGTGCGCGCGCGACGAGACACTAGAATTCTTTGTGCCATTGCGAAAAACAGACGCTTAATGCGAGACAGGCAAATGCTTCAAGTATTTTCGAATTGATTACAAATTCAATTTTAACTAAGTGAATTATAGTTTTTTTCGTCGAATAAGAGATCCATGGTTAAAATTACAATTAATATAAATTGCTTACTTTTCAAAGCAAAATGATCGTGGACGGAAATAGTGGCAGGTCCCAGCTCTTGCAATTTTATTTTGCTCGGGTCGAATGCCTGGCAGAAGAACGGCGAACTAAGTACAGGTTTCGCGCCATGGAGAACGTCGATTTTGTACATACCTAAAAATTAAAAAGGAACATTTTACAAGTATTCCACATGCACATCTGTTTATGAATTATAAAACTTACCGATAGAATTTGTTGTGAACTCGGCCAACAGATTACCATCGCGATGCTGATAGCAACGCACAGGAACAGCATTGCCTTGTGGACTACTAATCACAACGTCAAATTCTTTGCCTGGTCGACCAAGTGTCTCTATCGAGAACGATGTGATCTTGCCGATACACGATTGGTAAAGTCCAAGACCACTAGCTGTCACTTCTCGGCCGCCTGTTGGACCTCGCACTGCGATTTCTAAGGGACTTTCTACAAAGTTCGATAATATTATCAGTATCGTTCAATAATTGAATGAAACAAGAGGAATATGCATACCTTGAATATGAACATCGTTGTATTTAATATGTACGCGATGAGGAGCTGTACGTGTAGGATGGAAGATGATTTCGTAAACACTATTGTCTTTCTCGCGAACGACACTATCAACATCAGTGCCACCGGAACGCACGTTTACGGAAAGCTTGCCTGGTCCAGCTTCTTTCGGCACAATCACTGTAAAATACCCGACAATAACATTGTGGAATATTTTCCAAGATTTTGTTCGAGAATAATAATATACTCACCGAAAATAGTACCAGGACGGTGGCAAATCGCGTCGGATATCTCCTGAACGATAACTTTGCTTGGGTCGAACACTTGCAGCGACTGCGAGCTGATGACTTTTGGACCTTGCGTGAACACGACGTTGTATACACCTACTTGTCTCGCTCGAATTTTAACGCGGTGGAGGTTCGTGTCGATTTTCGTTAAATTGGATGGAATTATAACGCCATCGGGACCTACAGAAAAAGCCATTAACGTCTATTTGTACATCCCTCGATGCGATTTCATATAGTTTGAGCAACTAAAATACAAACCTTTAACTTCAGCGGTAACTGATCCACTCAGGCCCACCATATCCAAATCCATATAAGCCGTATTACCCACTCTAACCATCGACGGCCCATCTAAAATACTTTCGATGATCGGACACTTGAACGGCGAACCAGGAACGTTGTCGTCGTTGAAACTAATATTAACGTAGTGTGCACTCGCCGTCTGTGGCACGAACGTCACGTCGTATAAGCCACGAGCGCAAGCAACTACTTCGGCCTTCACTGTGTTGTTCTCCGTGCTGACTACCAGCTCGAGCGTTCCTTCACCAGCTTGAGCTGCGTCGACTGTGAAAGTGGTCGCTTGACCGAGCAAAGCTTCTCGTAGACCGGATACGTGAACCTGCAATTCGCGATTATATTTTTAACGTAGAATTTTGCAATTACGCAGTTTTCATTCGAATTTACGTACCTTCGTAACATCGTAGACATTACAAGCAAACGGTGAACCTTTTATAGGTTCGCCATCGATTAGTATGCCGATATTATGCCTGCCAACTTCAGTGGGCGTGAAACTAATTTTGTACTTATTATCCATCGGCTCGATGGTAATGGGTAAGGCAATATTCGACGGGGGTGTCACGACGACGTCGCACTTGCACGATGGCGCCTGTGGATCGACCACAAAACTGATGGGTTGCTTAACCGCGGCCATTTTCAAATTATGACCGGAAATGAGAGTTTGGCCTATTCCGACCACTTGGCAACTGAACGGTGATCCTGGAACTGGTTCTCCATTGAAACGTACGCTTAGACTGTGCATTGCTGCCTCTTGGGGTTTGAAGTTGACGCGGAATTTGGCGTTGCCTTCGCTCTGAACGAAGTTAGGGACGTTCTTGCCGTTGACTGCGACGATTATTTCCAAATTTCCGGCGCCTGCTTGACTTGCGTTTACTGTAGAGAAACAGTTTTAATGAAAATTCCAAGACGACGGTGGTGAAGATTCGGAGGGTGAAATGACTTACTGCTGAAGAAGACGGGTTTGCCGACGACTCCGCTGTTGATATCGGTGACTTTCACTTGGTTGGCATTGTAAGCTTTCACGAGGAAAGGACTGCCTTGCACGTGAGAGCCGTTCAGCTTCACTTGAACGCTGTGATCGCCTATAAATTTCGTAAATAATTATAATAAGAAACTATACGAAAAAAACGGACGTACGGTATTTTCAGTCAATCGACTCACCAACATCCTTAGGAGTAAACTCAGCGCTGTAAGAACACGGTCCAGTCTGCTCGATCACCACGGGTAAGCTTTCACGAGTCGGTGCGAGCATATCAACGGTTGGCCGAGCGTCCGCCTCGATATTGAAACTTGCCGTTCGGTTCACAGACACTTTCTCCAGTGCCTCGCTTACGAGGACCTTTGCAGTGTCGTTCACCTGGAACAACGTTCAATGTTAGAAAAATTACGAATGAGATTGGTTTTATCTTTGTAAGCAGTCTAATTATCGAGTGGCGTCCAGTTTTTCTCTTCGTCGCCGGATAATTAAAAAAAAAAATTGACAGCATATCGTAAGAGAAGGAATAAATTGTCAAATGTCTACTTGACATTTCATAATTATTCAATTCTCAAGCTCAGACCACCAGTTAGTACATCCGCCGTGACGAAAAACAGTTATACGTTGGATGAAGAACGCTCGATATGCAATTAGTAAGCACGTAATAGACTTACCTGGCAGCTAAACGGACTTCCAGGGACGTTCTCGCCGTTGAAGCGTAGATCGACGGTGTGAACGATCGGCTCGCGCGGTGTGAAGCTGATGGCATAGGTGTGTGGCCCTTGCGCTTGTGCCGAGGTCGTCACGCGACCGCCATTCACCGTCACCTCCAGGTTACCTGGTCCGGCTTGGCTGGTTTCCACTGTGGTGAACAATCGTGAAGGATGGGTAATTTGAATGTTAATTGCGATCGACTGTTGCAGACCGAAGTACTTTTTTGGTGGAGACGATCGAAAAGCAAGTCAACGAAGCGTCAAACCGTCGCGCGCCTCGAGAACTTTCCATTGATGCCCAATCACCGCGATAGCATTCCATAATCGACCAGCGTCTTCGCAGAACAATGCGCTCCAAACGATCGACGCACTCAACCGACTATCGAAAGTCGCGCGCCATCGCTCATTTCCAATTCCACGTGAAACTTACCGAGGAAGGTGACGGGTAGACCGGTAACACCCTTCTTGGCATCTTTAACCTTGATGGCGTTCACGTCGTAGACCTTGCAGTTGAACGGACTGCCTAGTACAGGCAGATTTCGATGACTGACGGATATTCGATGTTCGCCAACGAGTCGCGGAGTAAACGACACGGTGCAGGTCGTGTCTTTGTTGTCGGTAACCTGGGCGGGCACTGGCTGCCCGTTGGGCCCTAATCATGTTCGGTCAAATGGTCTTTTTTGGATTAAGGTGTCTTTTTTCGTATTAACCCTCAGAGCACTCAACGTTATTAACAAAATACAGAGAGAGAGAGAGAGAGGGAGAGAGAGAGAGGGAGAGGGAGAGAGAGAGAGAGAGAGAAAGAGAGAGAGAAAGAGAGAGAGAAAGAGAGAGAGAGAGACAGAGAAAGAGAGAGAGGCAGAGAAAGAGAGACAGAGAGAGAGAGAGACAGAGAAAGAGAGAGAGGCAGAGAAAGAGAGAGAGGCAGAGAAAGAGAGAGAGGCAGAGAAAGAGAGAGAGACAGAGAGAGAGAGAGAGAGAGAGAGAGAGGCACAAGTACCAGCACAGAAAGGAAATGGAATTATCCCGTGCAAACCTAGTTTTTTTCACGTATGAGAATTGCAAGATTTTTCGATGCGTGCCTGGATTTTTTTCGTTTGGTTAATGTCTGGTAGTGAGTCGACTTAATTTTATATAAGCTTACTTCTACAGAGGTTTCGTTAATATGGTATTGAGTGTGTGAGAGACAATATAGTGCATTACTAAAAGTTTCGCAGGATTAATTCAAGCATAAAAATAAGTTGCTATATTGCAGATCGTTATGATACCCAAGCACCGTGTTTTGTTTATTTTACAAGAGCCAGCATTAAAAAGCTTTTGAGTTAGAGGACAGATTGTAAGGTGAGAAGAGGAAAAGAAGAAAAGGTGTCTAGTAGTGTCGAAGTCTGAGAGCTGGCCGACCTGTAACAGACAGAGAGAAAAAACTGCTCTGTAGGGGCCATCACTCCTCTACTCTACCAGTAACACACATATATGTAGAAGAGTAGTCGGTTATAGTAGTACATTATTGGTGAGCTAGATAAAAATAAAAAAGCACACACATTTGATCGAAATAGTAATAAAATACAGTTGGTTAAGGACACACAGGTGTACACATTGACATATTTTACACTGTTGTTCATTAGTGTGCAAAAGTGAGCTTTTTTAGGTGAAAGCTCTGTTTTGATTTAGGTGATTTTGTAATAACAATTCATTACATGATACAGACGTGTAGATATCAAGAAAAATAGAACAGTCACGAGATTAAAGGTATCTCGTAAGTCACCGACTTTTGTGTTACAAATCCTGACGAGCGTAGGTTCGCAAAAAAACAAACCTTCAACGTTAACTTCCAGGTCCTCCAAGCTCCCCATAACATTGCTAATAGTGAGTGCACTGGGTCTGCCCAACGGAGCAGAGCTAAGCGCCTGCCCACTGACGGTGACCGAGGCGTCGGGCGCGACCCTCGCGACGATCGGACAGCCGGGCACAGTCCTCTTGTTGAAGGCGATGTTGATGAGATGATCGCAGGCTTCGAACGGCACGAAGCCCACGCTGAATCTTGCGTTGCCTTGTGGTGTCACCTGGGTCGGTATGTTCTGACCCCTCGCCGAGATCGTGATCTCCAGATTGCCCTCACCGGCTTGCGAGGCGTCGACGCTGAAGTGCTGCGCCTGTCCGACGCTCGCTCGCGCCACCGAGCCAATGACCACGCGCTCGGCGTCAAACGCCTTCGCCAGGAACGGGGTGCCGTTCACAGGATGGCCATTGTACTCGACGCTCACCGCGTGCACGCCGACTTCGCGCGGCGTGAACTCGGCGGTGAAGCCGGTGTGAATGTCGCCGGTCACCTTGACCGGCAACTCGTTAGACGGTCCGCGAACCGACACGGCGAGCTCGGCGCTGCCGCTGCCGTCGACCGACATGTGGAAGCTCGCGGGCTCGCCGACTGGCAGCAGTTCTAGATGAGAGAGGTTCAGACTGACGCGAGACGTGTCCGACACCAAGCAGACGAATGGACAGCCTGGCACCGGTTTCCCATTGAATTTTATGTCGATGTAGTGCGGTTTGGCGGACTCCGGAGTGAAGGAGACCAAACATCTTCCGCCACCGATTACTTGAACGTGGTTTGGCACTTCGCCCTCGTTTATCGAGATTTCCAGCTGACCGTCACCTGCTGCGCTTGCGTCCACTGCGAAGAATGAGCGAGGATTTAATTTTTGGAAACGAACGGCTTACCAAAATTAACGCGACGTCACGTTTTAACTCTCCCGTCCCGAGGATCGAGTAAAAACTTGTGAATAATGCATCTTCATTTTCAAGATAGAAACTGGAAATGTAATTGTTAGCCTTTTTTTGTCGGCAAAATCACATTGTTTCATTGTGCAAGTCTCACTTGCGTCGAGAAAGATTGTTCCCTATAATTTGAAATCACGTAGGCCGAACAAAAATCGAATGCATTCGAGTGAATTTCAATCTGGAAACTTATTCTGCGCGCGAAATCGTAACATCGGAAATGTCGATGTGTAACGGAAGCTTCAACGTAGCGAAAAAGAAAAAATAGTTGAATTTATTGCATCTCCGCGCGCACGCAATCCTTATAGCACACTTGATGGGTTAGCGCATGGCTGCGGAGGCGCTCGTTACGTAAAAAAAAATCAGCCGAAATCGGAAACTCACCTCGGAACTGGCACGCGTGTCCGACGACGGCGCTAGGGACCTCGGTGACTTTGATCAGCCCGCTGTTGTAGACTTTGGCGACGAGCGGACCGGCTGGCAACTTCTGTCCGGCGATGCTGACCTCCACCAGGTGACTGCCGACCTCTTGCGGCGTGAACGATACGCGGAAGTCGCCCGGGCGGCTCGGCTCTTCCTCGATTCGCGCGCCGATCTGACGCTTCGATGGCGCTGTAGGAGAGAAAGGGAACGCTCAGGCCGAGAAATCGTCCGTCTTCGCGATGTCTTCTCGCCTCGCTCGCGCGCGCAATGGAATGTCGCGCGAGAGCGGTCACGAAAACTACATGCATCACGGCTTTATGCTCGAGGCCTTTTCATTTCGCAGCTGGCGTTGTCTATACTCATCGCGAGAGACGTACGCTCCATTCGACGACCTTGTGACGTCGTTGTTGCACTTGAGCGATTTTTTTTCCGCGCAAATCTGCACTTTTTTTCTTTTTTTATTTTTTGCCAAGAAAATATTTACGTCGAGGTCGTTTCAGTCGTTCTATCAGCAAATCTCCGACTGGATCACATTCCGAGCGACTCAACTTGTAAAAGGAAGTTCTCCAGTCGAGCTAAACCGATCGAGGAGTTCGCGCTTGTCGTGGCGGCTAAAAATAGCAGCGCGCAGTAACAATAATAATCGCTCATCGTCAATCGTATACTCACTGAGGATCTGCACTTGGATTTCTTTGCTGGTGAAGCCAAGTGCCGACAGCTCGAAGACCGCGGGACTACCGGCAGGTACGAGCCTCACCGAGTCCCCCAACACCGACATCTTGGGACTCGGCATTATGCCCACTTTCCACGGTGAACCTGCTCAACACACGCCAACGGAATTCCAATGAGAAATTGCATCTCGCGGATTCCGATACCATCGTCCATAGCCAAATTTCCATAATGGAATACAAAACTCCGCTCCAACGTATTCACCGTAATGGTAACACCTACGTGTCACGCTGAAACTCACCTCCAAGGCAACGATCTCGCAACCCCCCGTACGCGGATACCAACTCTGAAAAAACGCGAAAAAAAGCGAAGGCACGAACACGGAGACGAGCACAGAGACGAACACGGAGACGAACACGGAGACGAACACGAAGACAGACACACACACACACACACACACACACACGAGCAAGCAAGCGCGGATTTTCAACGATCGAACTCACGCATTACTAAGCCGCGGGTAAAAGACACGGAGAAACGTCAGCAAATCGCGATTTTCCCGAGAGCACTGGGCTACCGCTACGTTGCCGCGGCCCACGATCTCTCTCCCTCTCTCTCTCTCTCTCTCTCTCTCTCTCTCTCTCTCTCTCTCTCTCTCTCTCTCTCTCTGGCTTCGAGCAGCGCCACCTCAGCGCTGCTATTCGTAATTACGTCTACCGAGAGGAGCCTCGACGTGTATACGTGTGGGTGCGCTACCACTGAGCTACGGGGCCACGGGGCCTCAGCTCGTAAATCCTATGGCGCGAGATTTTTTTGGTGTTCCTTCTGTGCTCGATCGAGCGAGATTTCCCATTTTGTCTCGCGTGTATTTTCGTGGACGTTCTGTTTCTTATTTTTCTTTTATATCTCGCCAGAGGCACCAATGGACTCGATTGGATCACGCGAAATATTCTTTTGTCTCCTTAAAAAACCGTTAGACCATGGCCGCGCGGGGACGTTCGAACGGAGGAACGGGGCGCCGCGCGAGAGCGTACATATGCATACTTTTACGGCGCGTTTCGTGCCTCCACGCGCGCGCGCGCGCGACTTTCATCGGGCTTTTCGAGAGTGCCGCAAGAGATTAGGCGTACATCCGCGTGCGCGCACGACGTGGATAACGAGTTTTTCGTTTCTGCGAAGCTTCTTCCCTCTCGCCGCGGCCCCGATCGTCGCGCCGCGGTAGGCGTGCTGTTCGAAATTTCCACGATACTTGCGGCTCGCTTGCCACACACCGCGCGGCCTGCCCGTTAAACGCTCGATGCGGAGGACATTAAAGAGACATTCGACAGGAATTCTAGGCATTCTTACCGGTCAAATAGGCGTAAGCGATTTGTGCATTACGTTCCGCGTACCGTAATGTAAGAGGCGATTAGTCGAAACGGTTTTCCGGGCATTCGCGCGTTTAAGGATCGATTGAGTAACCGAAGTAACGAGAAGTATGCTCGCAGCGAGGGAATAATTAATCTTCTCGTAATTACGGAACGAAACGCTTTTTCGCATCGGAGTCTCACTGCACACTCGTGAGAGGGTAGAGGTATATAGGGCAACGCGTGCGCACTATGCGACAACACGAAAGAGTAAAAAAAGCAAAAACGAAGAGCGCTCGAGTTTTCGTCGGACAGAAGCGTGTTACTGGGCTAATTATGAGGCGTGTGAGCGGTCAAATTGGCGCGCCGTCGTAATAATCGAACAAAATTTTTCGCCTCGAACGAGGTCATTGGACGCGCGCGCGCGTCTTGTTCCGCGCGAAACGGCGATACGGGAATTGGGGTCAGTGGGTCGTGGCCGCGAAGAGATCTCGCTCGTTGCCTGCGTGCAGTGACCTTACCTGGCACAGTCTCGCCGTTGAACGTTATCTCGACGAGGTGAGCGACTGCCTCGTGCGGTACGAACGAGGCGAGAAATCGTTGACTGCCGAGCGTTTTCACGAACGACGTCACGTGACCGCCGTTCACGAGGATTTCCAGATTACCCGAGCCTGCCTTCGAGCCGTCGACTATGCAAAACAGATTTTTCTCTTTATTAGTAAAGCAGCTGACTCGACGGGCGACGAACGGTTCGGTGCAATGAAACTCACTTTCGAATTCGACGGGCTCGTTCACAACACCGTCGGGAATATCGCCTACTTGAATGGCTTTCGAGTCGTAGGCTTGCGATCTGATGGCGAACGCAACATTTAATAAAAGGCTGTTATGAAATATTCCAAATTCTTTGAGATTCTCTTTAGTACCTGAACGGCGAGCCTTGGATATGCTGTCCGTTGTAGAGTATCTGGATCTTGTGCTCGCCAACTTGGTCGGCATTTATCGTGTAAGTCTGACCCCTGAGCGTTGACTTCTGTACGGGGACAGGCCTGCCAGTCGGTCCTGCGCAAAAACGACAAATTAACAATTTCGATCACCCATATCGATCCTACAAATTTTCTACGTACCGGTCGCAATAACCGCTATTTTACTAGCATCCAGATTCGCACTGAGCGTAAACGACGTAGGTTTGTGCACGGGCAACATTTGCAGAGCACTACCGGTAACCGTGGCGTCCTGATTGTAAGGACTTCTCTTGGAATGCGAGGATTCGTTGCTAACGTATTCTTTCTTTTTTTCGATCGTCGTTGTCGTCATTGTCGTTGCACTGCTCGGTATATCCATCGTTTTCTTCGAGTCGAAGCTATTTGCCGATTTGCTACTCGTCGTTTTCAAGATGCCCCGCGAATTCACGGACGAGTCGACGACGTCGTTAATAGGAGAGTAAGTTCGTTCGGAACTTGAGAATTTTTTCAGAGACGAATAGACGTCCGAAGAGTTGTGCGTACTGCGGTAATTGTTTGTTGTTTTTTCGATGGTTTCGGTGATGTTTGAGCTCTCCGTTATGGAGGCGTTGTTGGTCAGGTTGGCCAAGGATTCAAGGCTACCGTAAGATAATAAGGATTTCGTTTTGGCGATGGCGTCCCACGAGTCGCGCCTTGCCGCGCCTCCAATCATCGATGATACTGAAAGAGAAAATTGTATTTTTCGTTACTTGGACGCAATCGAAATACGTGAGCTACGTAAAAATTGAACCGAACAATTCACCTTTGACATTACTACTGGTATCGATGATGCCATTATCCTTTGAGTCCCTCCGATGAAAGCCATTGTATTCCTCGGCATATTTCGAGCTGGAACTCTTACTAAACGAGGTTTGCGCGGTACTAGTCATATTCACCGGACTCCTACTGGACGACTTCGACTGATACACCGTTCTTGGTGTATCGTGCCATCCTGGTGACGAAGATTTATGGCTACTCATAGGCTCGTGCCAAGCTGGCGATTTAGAATTCAAAGGCGACGAAGCTTTATGATTCGAAACCTTGTGGTTCAAAGATTCGTTGTGCCAAGTTGGCGAGCGGGTTATCATAGGCGACGAAGCTTTAGGCTCGTGCCAGGTTGGAGACTTGGCGGCCATTGGCGACGAAGCTTTGTCGTGCCAAGCTGCTGGCGGTGGTGGTTTCGAGTTCAACGGCGACGAAGCTTTCGGACTGTCGTGCCACAACGGCGACTTTGGACTCATCGGCGAAGATGGTTTTTCGTGCCATCCAGGCGAGGGGGCCTTGTGACTGCCGAAATTGTAGGTGCTCTTGTACGACGGTGACTCGCTTTTCCTTTCCAAAGTCGAGCTTGCTGATCGGTCGAAGCTGTCCACGTGCGAGCGCCTCTTTTGCGAGCCAACTCTCAACGAGAATGGCGAGCCCCTAACGTCGGATCCGTTGAAGTACACGTAAACCCTGTACTTGCCGAAATCCCGTGGTACGAACGAAACTCGGTACTTCATGTGCGACAATTCGGCGACCGTTCGCGGCAGCGATTGCTTGTCGTGAACGATGTCGATGTCGATTTCGCCTAATCCACCGGTGCTCGTCGCGTCTACGGTGAAGCTAAACGGCCGGCCGGGCATCGCACCGTCGAAGTCCAACAGTTGCACGCCGTGCGGATCGAACACAAAGCAAGCGAACGGACCGCCTTGAATGTGCTGTCCCTTGTGAGTGATGGCGATGCTCCATTCGCCAGTTTCATCCGGTTGGAATGTCGCGACGTGAAGACCATCGCCGTTCTCGTGTACTGGACAGGCGAGTGATCGACCCGTCGGCGACAACGCCGTTACGCTTATGCCTTCGTGACTAGTGCCTGAAAAACCGCAAGCAATTACTACGCGCGATCACTTTGTTAGATCACTTGGAAGTGACATTGCTGGGAGCTTACCGTAACTATTGACTAGAACCTCGACTATGGAGCCAATGGCGCAAGGGTCCATGCCGGGCGATTTGATTTTGGTGAGTGGCGGGTGTACGCGAAAGTAGTAAGGGCAGCCGCTCAACAATTCGCCGTCGTTATATACCATCAGCCTGTGCATACCGAGTTCCTGGGGCACGAAGGTGCCTTTGCCATGGAGGCCGCTCCACGTCAGTCGGCAATCGATTCGACCGCTTGGCGTCATCACCTCGCTGCGCACTTCTCGGGTGTTGACCTCCTTCGACAGGAGCTCGAGCTTGAAGTGCGCCTGCCGAACGGACGACAGCCAGTGATTATCGATCGCGATCGCGCGAGCCGTTTGGTCATTTGATTCGACGACGCGCTCACCGGCTGGTAAACCCTCGCCGAGGTGCTGTCCACGTGCACCGAGACCTGCTCGTTGATCTGCGGTCGCGGCCTGACCCACTGGAAGAACGCCGCGTATGCCATCACGCCGAGATGCTCGACGTTCTGGTCGGCCATGTCCTTCGCTTTGAGCAGCGGCTCGACGCCCAGCTTCTTGCCGCCGTCGATGCCTGCTCGTCGGTCAAAAATTACGGGGAGAGTCGAGGCCTCGAGGCCGCGACGCCTTGCCGCGGACCGGCTACAGCGACACCGGAAAATTGCTCGATCGCTCACCAGTTTGCAAGTTGTACTCCCACGAAGCTTGGTTGGTCTCGATCTTATCGTACGCCGGCGACGGTCCGCCGAGGTTCCGCACGAGGCTGCACAGTGCGCGGCCGTCGTTCCAGTCCGTCTGCAAAAGACCACGCGCCCACGTTACTCCAGCGTCGAGCCGAGCCCCGCGAGGCGAGGCGAGGCGAGGCGGACGACGAGCTCACCGTGAAGTTTCGTATCGGATGGTACGGTATCTTCGAGTTGACCCACCGCAGCGTGGAGTGGAAGCCCGGCGAGTTTTCCTTCATGAAGTAGGACAGATACGTCATGCCCGACAACTCGTCCAAGTAGGCGGAGGCAAGGTACTCTGGCTGCAGCACCATCGGGATGTCGAACTCGCGCTTCGCAATCTCCATCGCCTTCCGGCAGTTGTACACGCTGCAACAGGCAGACAGGCTGGCGTTCGCGTGTGTGGATCGCGGCAGCCGTGCCGAGCCGATTGCCTCCAATAAGGCTCAATCGAACGACCAAACGCGCGTCATTCAATTACGGAATTCTTCTTCGCCGTCGCGTGAGTCATTTTCGAAAGACGGTTTTCGCTATCTCGCAACCTTAATTTTAATCGCGTTGCTCGCCGAGCTAGTTTTCCGTAGCACGGCACCGAGCGCCCATAGCGTCGGACAAATGAAAACATACTTGTCGGTATGATCGAGCTGCCTCCAGTGTGGAAAAAGTCCAGGCCTGCAATAGTCGAGTAGCGCGCTCAAGTATACACCGGAGTTCCAGTCGGTCGTGAAATTGTTGACTCTGCACTCGGGTAGGACAGCCTGCGAGAGAGAGAGAGAGATTGTATTTTCCGTGGCACAACGTGCGAGACGCGAGACACGAGACACGCGTACCGACCTTGAGCCAGGAGAGCATGAGTTTCCTCGGCGGGAATTTGGATTTGCCTATTTGGTATCTGACTATCAGCGACCAGATCAGGCCAAGGATCAGCTTCAGATTGCCGTTCACGATGTCCGTGTTACCTGCGCCAAGAAACGTTCGCCGCTGAGTCAGAGACGCCGAGCGAGCCCGACCGATCGTTATCGTTCGCATTTACACAAGCAGGCAGCCCTGTGCCGGCGCTGCAAAGGAGCTCGCGAAAATTGACGATAATTTCGAGCGTGGCTGAAAAATAAAAAAGCTCCCTTCGGAAACACCATAAAGCGCTTCCTCGAAGCCACTTGTCGCTTCTACGCAAAAAGGGAAAAAAGCGCGCGGCAACGCGGCAACGCGCCGACGCGAATTGCCCTCGGGCTACGATTTACAACCCTCTTTGGCAATTTACGAGCGACCGCGGCAACCGCGGACTCACCAATGTTCACCAGCTTAACGCCGTCGGCCTCGACCGCCTTGAGCGCAGTCGACACGTTCTCCAAGTAGTGGTGCTGGTTGACCGGGCTCGGGTTCCACTTGGTCAGCCTCCTGCCGGTGAGCAGCTCGACGAGCGCGCACAGCCGCGTGCCGTCGCGGAAATCCTCGGCCAGGTCGATCACCGGCGCACAGTTCCTCGGCGACTGCTTCAGGTGCTCGTTTACCCAGTTGCGGAAGGTGTTGGTCTGTATGTCCACCCACAGGTCCTCGTGGCCCTTGATCGGCATGCCCTTGGCGGCGGTGCCCTCGGCCGAGCGGGCGACCAGGCCCACCAGCTCGGCCGGCTCCAGCTGCTCCTGCGGACGGCGCTCCTGCATGGCTCGCGGGCTATCGCGCTCTCTCACGCACACGGACGCGCCGCAGGCCCATATATGAGTATATATCGCGCGTGCCGCGGCGAGTAGGCGCGCGCGATCGCCTACGCGACTGCTATAACCTTGCTGTGCTACCTGTTGCGTCACGAGCGGCTCGCGCGCCAGCGTCGCCGGGACGCTGCCAGCGGCAGCGACAGCTCGCCGCCAGGTGACATTTTCGCCGCGACTGCGGGACTGCGACTGGCGGCCGCTCCGCTCGCCGCTCACCGCTCGCCCCTCGCCGCTCGCGCGTCCTGTGGCGCCCCCGCGGCCACCGTCCCAGCTTGCGCTACGCGGCTCCTTATCGTTGGCGCGGACTGCGGAGGTGGGCCCGCCGCGGCTCGTTGGTATGCACGCGCGCCGGAGTCAGACCGGAGTGCGGACCGAGTGGCGTAATTTTATTGTTTTCCATGCGCAATCCCGCGAGGTGCCTCGCGCTCTCTCCTCTCTTCTCTCTCCTCTCTCCTGTCTCCTCTCTCCGCGCGCGCCCTCCGACCCAACTCTCCGATTGCACAACGTCCGACGAAACTTGGTTAGTATAGGGGCGCGCGGCCGATGCCGAGCTGCTCTCTCCGTCGTCCTGTTTTTCGTGGCGATGCGCTCGTTCGTTTCTTCCGTTTCTTTCGTTTCTTTTCCCCTTTTCGAGTTCCGCGAGATCGCACTGTGTTCCGGAACGCGTTGGAATGCGCGCGAACCAAGGGAACTGCGACGATGAATTACGCTGGTTCTGCGCGACCGCGAGGATAAAGTCCGGAAAATTATTGCCTACCCGCCGCTGAAACGGGAGTCGGAGCTTTTCAGCCGTTTGTCTCGTTTCAAAGTAACGCTTCCGTAATTTATAGCAATCATATAGTAAATCATCGACGGACGATCAATCCCGAAGACCAATTATACGTATATACTTAGCACGAGCTCGTGGAGTAACGAGAGCGCCTGCTTGCCCCGAAAACGGGATTAAGCTCAAGTGAATTGAAGACAACGGTTATTCCCTCGAGCTCCAAAAGTGCGGATGGATAACACCGATGCCAAATAAATCTCTAGTTTTCATGGTGGATTTCGTTCTCGTCTTATCGTCATTCGCTATACGCTAATGGCTCCACAAGCTTACAGTCTCCTACATTCGCGTAACTTTCGCACGACTGAGAATAAATCTCAGAAAAGTCATTGATTCTTCAGGCCTGTGAAGTTATGGTGGTATACTACTCCGAGACTCGTATAAAAAAATTCGACTTCTCAGTTTTTCTTCGTAAGAATGGTGCTTTCGTGCGTTTGCTGTGCAGCAAACGCGATTAATATGACCGACAATGAGGTCGTAAAAGCATTAGTGCTTCACAGACTCAAAGAAACGATCTATTATAAGTTGGAGTTGTTTTTATTATTCATTACACGGAAAATGCAGCCGAAATGTATTACTTTTAAGTGATCGAGAGAGAAAAGCTATCGTTTCTAACAAGATTACTTTGCTCCAAAATGTAAATCGATATTTACATTTTTCTCTTCTGTTGAATATTTTGAAGCTGGGAATCAGCAGAGATCGTAGACTACCGTATCAATTAAAAGTTCAATACTTGACGCAGCGATCTATAAACGCTGACGGCTCTAAGGCGATTTTGCGTGGATCGAGATTTAACTTAATTGAAGTATGACTAAATGGACGACGCTCGGCGCAGTCTCCCAAAAAAAGAAGAAGCGTGCTAAAATCAAGCAGTTTATCGACAGGGCTTCATTCGCGCTCGTTGTTTTCAAGCGTGAATCAGATTTTTTTATTATTAATGCGGCAAGGCCAAGTGCTCCGAAATGGCTTTGGTTCTCAGTGCTGCAAATTTCAACGTCTGAATCACACGGCCAACTTGACACTTTAGGTCTATTGAAGACAATCGTCGCCGAAAACACTCACGAGATAAGCTTGATTTTAAGTTAGCCTCCTCTTTGTTAACGTAAAACTTCTTCTTAGCGAAGTGAGTTGATCTTAGAGAGAGAAATGCTTCGCTCGTTTTAGCCTTGGACGTATGGTTTTCATCCATGTAACGTGAAACTTAATCTAATACCGAGCACTGGGAGCTTCAAGGCGGGGCAAAATTTTACGATAATAAAGGCTATTTTCAATCGACAGCGTTCAACTCTAGTTGGAAAAAGAAATGACATCGGTCATTTTATTCAATAGGTATAGGGGAAATTTAGGAAACTCTTGTGAATGATGCAAGCTGAATGTTACATCAAAATATTATACCTTTATTATTGATATAAACATTATACAATATGATACAAGCATTTTTTGTGTATACATATTTATAGATAATAATTCAATAATATAGTCAGTGTAAATTACATTTCTGTTAAAGCTTATACACTCTTTGAGCTGTAAAATCTTTAAAAGCTATCAAATAATAGATAAATCCTCTTATGAATCATTGTCGAATTGGCTAATCTATTAAACATTTATCCCAATTTCCATTTGAGAGTGTTCTATGTCAAAAACTCGCAATCATGTACAAACTCTGAGACAAAATTTTCACCAAAAAGAAGTCACCCCCTCAACGTTGGGCGAACAAAGGAAGCAGAACTATTTCTTTGTATTATGTATATTATAGTTGCAAAAGACTATCGTCTTCCTCTCAGTGTGGTCGCTTTCCGGTGTTCATCTCCAAAGGCACATTATTTTTTCTTTCTAAATAGCATTTCTGTTTACGTTATAATCGCAAACAGTCAACTTCAAACTCATCTTAATTGGTCATCTTATCAGAAAAAACTGTTCAATCTTCGATTTATCTATTGTTAGACAGGATAGTGTAATTCATTTATCTTTTATTGGAAAATCGAAACACTACAACGCACAATTAGAATTGACCAATTCATTCAAAATGAACAATTAAGCGACACATTGAGAAAGAACATGAAGCGTCGAATCCTTATCTTTTCGCTCAACGAAAAACAAAGAGTCAGTGTCAAATAGAAAAATATAAAACATTAAAAATTCCTTTAGCCAAAATCATCACAGACAAGTCTCTTACTTTCACCAACATTCCAAAAATACACGACAGACACGAGAATTAAATCCTTTGTCTCATTACACGAGTAAATTTGTTTTGATTAGTTTGTTTCCACTTTTATGTACGGTATATTTCAGCTATATAATTATCATAAATATACATTTACACTTATGTATTAGTGGCCTTAATGCTTTGTCAACGCGAGTCTATCGTCTCTCTGCTCATAGAATCATTGATCGGAGTGCTTTTTTTGTTAGAGATTTGAGAAATCCTGTTCCTCATTCTGTCTTCAATTTCTGTTACTATTCTACTTGCCATTGTCAATTCGGGTCTTACTCATAGTTTACAATTATTGCTCGGATTCGTAGACGGAAATTGAAAATTTTACAATGAGGCAAAAGTTATACATCACATTCGTCATAGTCCTTTTCTTGGTCCATTTCGTTGAAAAAAGTAGTTGACACTATATCTTTAAGCACTTGAATTATGTTTCACAGATAACTCTGATCAAAGATTCTATCATATAAAAGATTCATGACTACTTCACCTCGACGTCAGCATGCTGCATAAAAAAAGTTCTGTCAGTTGTTCATATCTCCAAATACACGAAATAAAATTCACTGAAAATTTTTTGGAAGTTACTTATATCATAGCTTATGGTACCAAACGAAATCTCTTTATACAAACAATTAAAACATAATCAAAATCCGAACAAAATAGTTTGTGAGTCAAAAAATAAATCGATTTGCAAAAAAAGATCGTGTACGCAAATTCATGAACAACCTATACGCACGCATGCACACATAGTCATACACACACACTCATATACGCGCGCGCGTGCGCGCGCCCACATCTGTACATTTTGATTCATAATTGTCGACAAATAAAAAGAAAAATTAACGAACAAAGAGAAAACGAAAAAGAGAATTAATAATACTGCACCTATTACTTGATTTGTTTATGTACACACGCAATTAAAAAACAGAGTCCCTGCTTGTTACTCGCTCAAACTTTTCATCAAACATTGAGTAAATATTAAATATATAAAAGTAATGCTATCAGAGCGCTAGCAAAAGTTTGAGAATAAAAATCGCAGCAAGAAGGATTCTTTTTCGTTCATTCGAATAAATAAAATAAATTGCAAGGGAGACGGAACAAACGATGGCCACCTTGCTGCACCAAACCTTTTTCTTTTCCTTGTCGATGCTTTTACGATTTCGTCAACTTAGCGCGGTTAGCGGCTACTGCTGCTAGGCATACTAGTGCATCAAGGTCTGATGGTGCACACCAGGCTGTAAATGAAATATAAATAAATAGTTCATAAATACTTCATACAACTGTGAATAAATAACAATATTCGTGAGTTTTACCTTTATTTGGTCCTTCCTTTTCAACATCCATAGGAGAATCAACAATCCCGGTATTTCTCGTGATGCTCTGTTTTCTTGCTTTCCTCTTCTGACTACCAACCAGTAAAGCCTTCTCTGTTTCTGTTTGTATATTTGATATTCGGTTTGGGGAGCCGTCATGATTTGTTTTCCTTGATATGCCACCGACTTTCTGAAGGATTTTTTTCTTTTTCGTGCGTTGCTGTTTTTTCATAGCTTGAAATTCTTCTAGACTCAGTGATGGCAAAGCTTCAATTTTCTTTTCTAAATTAAAATCCCTGTAGTAACAAAATTATAGATACATTTTTTCTCAATGGCCTTTGAATGATAGCAATCGTAAACTTGAACTCACTCAGCCTTGAACCTCTTCCGCGACATCCAATTCATGTGCGCTTCAGATCCTTCAGTCTCTGTATCCTCAGGTTTAGAAGCCTCCAAGTTACCTTCAGCTCTAAATATATTAGATTAAGTTAATTCAATAACCTATATTTTTCTATTTAACAATTGCAAATAAACGTTCCGTCTTACCCCTCAACAAGATGTTCTAAATCTCCACGAGAACTGGTACCTTCGCTACTCAAAGAATCTGTCTTCTCGCTAACGTTAGACGATATGGAATTTCTTCTTTCTCTAGTATGTTGATCAACACTGTTAAAAGATGAGTATTTTTTTAATAAAAATTTGTTTAAAATAAAAAAATTTTCAAATTAAAAAAACTGACTTTGGTAATCCAGTGATACGTCGTTGTTTGACTTGATTAGAAGTCAACTGCTCGGCCAAAAATTTCTGGTAACGTAAACCCTTACAAGTTCTTTCATTTCGATAAGCGGCATCAACGTCGATGTACGTCTGGTCCTCGTCTTTATCCTCCTTCATATTCTATAAAACAAAACACATATTGAATAACAGTCCAAATAATTTTCTACTGAAAAAGATAATATTTATGTAACACGCTTACCAGATGATGATTATTATTGTTAGACTCCGCTCGGCTTTTCTTATCTCCAAACAGATCAACTTTACAATCTTCCTTCAATTCAGCCGATATAGGTAACTCTATAAAACGTTTCTTGGGTGGCTTTGGTACCTGAAGAGCTACGTTATCGTCGTCTTCATCTTCAGAAATGTCAATTTTGGGGTTGACTTTTTGTGGTGTGAACAAGGAACTCAATCCACCAATCTGAGATTCATCAGCTAATTTTCCTGGTTGGATAGAGTCTTCATCCAATTTAAGATTGGTCATTTCAGAACCACTGTCAGATTGACCAGCATCTGTCTTCTTGTTTGTTGGCCTAGTATTAAGTGTACGAAGTGGGGGAGCTGGTAATTTGTACCATTTGAAGTCTGGATTGGCATTTAAAAATGCATCTTTGTACTACAAACAGAGAAAAATTATTGGTCGTTGAACTGTCTAAAAATGTATTCAATATTACACAGTATTTCATAACACTTTAAAATAGGTCTCGACCAGCATATAATTAGTTGGAAAAAAATGTGATTGCTATTATCTACAAAGATAAAATAATCTACACCCATGTATGCATGAGTAACATTTTGACAAAACAAAAAAAAAAAAAGAATAAAAGAATCTTACCTCCTGAGCCAAATTTGTGTAAGCTTCCTTTTGATCATTGGATAGCATAGCCCACCATTCTCCAAGGACTCTGGTGACAGCACGATTTTCTAAATGTGGAAAACCAGATCGAACAGCTGCTCGATGCCTTTTGCAAAAAATCAGAAAGGCATTCATTGGTCTTCTGGCATGGTGGGCTGGTTCATGCCCATCCTCCTCCTCCTGTGCAAACAAAACTTTCTCATTAAGATGATAATTATTGATACAAAAATATGCCTTGTAATGATATAATGGATATTTCAATTGATAAAGTATCTGAAGAAAATTTCATTGTTAATTCATTGTTGATTCTCAAATGATGACATATGGATGAAGTTAAGCTAATTTGCTTTTTAGATACCAGTATTTATCTATGCATTGCTACACTGGTAATATCCCATTTTATATGATAGTAGAAATAAAAAGAAGAGAGAGAAGAAATGTGTGTTTGTGCAGAGTTTGAATAAATAATCTAGAATGATTATTCTTTCAATGAAAATTGCTAAATGTTCATTTAATAAATTGTGGAGGAAAATTGCTTAAAAAAACACTCTGAAGTAGCCATATGTTTACCATTTTGAAGAGAAAATTGATTCAGCTATAAATGAAAACTCATGAAAAAAGTGACTTGCATAAAAAAGCAACCAACAATGACGTTACTGGTTCAGAAACATGGACCTAGCATCGCAAAAGTTTGGTAAACCAAAAACAAATCGAAAAAAGAAAAACCGATGAGAGTACAGTCTAATCGGCCTTTATTGATTTCTCAAAAAGTCAGTTGGAGCACTTTTATCTGCATTTGATACGCGTGTGCAATTCGTGCAAAACAATAAAACTTATCGCTTTCGCATGAGCAACCGACGAAGGTGCATATCCGTCTTTTTTTGCGACAAAGAAATATGAAAGAGGTACGAGTTTGTTGTGCACGTATGTGTATCACCGACCATTTTGACGTTTGACAGCTGGTTGTTGTCATATGTAAACACACGACGTTGTTCATTGTGTATCTCTCTCTTGTTCATCGTGAAAAGCGAAAGTCTCCGAACAAAGCCCGTTTCACGGGCGACCTTGCTTCATACACACTCACTCACAAGAAAAAGAACTCACTCTCTCTCTCTCTCTCTCTCTCTCTCTCTCTCTCTCTCCATAATAATAACAGCTCGAAATCGAACGACAGTTCTTTCATAATATTGAGATGAAACGAGCTTTGAATCACATCGCATTGACGACAAAAGAATTAATCGTGTCATTAAGATGTCAAAAATGGAACGTCGATGCAAATGATTATTAGTTAAGTCGCAAAAAGTAGTGGATACTCACTTTCTGCTGATGCTCGTTGGCAGCCATATTCCGTGCGCACTGTTATGTTTTGTGTGCAACCAAGAGACTCTCTTGTATTGTGTATAAGGCCGCTATGCTTTGACAGTCTCGGCGCGAGCGAGCAAGCACGATATAGGCAGAGATTCTCGACTCTTTACGAGATAACGAAAACGCGTTTCACGGACTTTCCAGCTGTTTCGCTCGTTACAACTGCGACGCACACTCTCGTACAAGAACGTCACTTCTTTTCTCGACTATTTTCATAATCGCCGAGCTCGGATTCCTCTTTAGATCGTCGATGTTTTTCAACACTGCGGACTGTGGAGGCAAATGATCCGTAAAGAGGGGGATTTGATTTTTTTTGCGATGTGGTATGGAGAGATCGACGTTCCGTTTTGGGCGCATTTTGAAATTCCCGCCTTATAAGATCTTTGACAATTGTCGGTATGGTCGGATTTTTTATTATCGAGACTCGATTTGTTTATTTTTTAATTATAAATGAGCGATTATTTTTATCTTGACTTTTCAAAATAGCTTTTGCTCTGTATTTAATTAATAATAGTGTGATTGAAGAAGTAAAATATGAATATTTTCACAAGTTTTATTGTACGATTTTGAAATTGTCCAACTTGCACAGTACATATTTACATTAATAATACAATACTGAACATTTCTCATTCATTAATGACAAGTGTCGGTCGATATTAGCCGACGCAAATTCATTTTTTATACAGACGTCCTAAATTTTGCAATAAAGTAAAACATTGATTATATATATTTATCATTTCTTTAAAATGTACATTCTAATTTGCATAAGTTTATAGTTAGCTTGAGAAAGAAGACTTAAAACAGATACCTAATAGTTTCCTTCGTCTCAAACATTGAACACCAGAGCTTGCAAGCTCTTGCATTGCTCTTGTAAATTATAGTATATATAAGTAACAATTGTTTTTTAATAATACCATCGCGTAAACCTCAAAGACAGAAAAAAATTTTTTATTAACAAGGAAGGAAGAAAATAACGATATTCTTTAAAAAAAAACAAAAAAAAACGGGATAGAAGGAACGAGTCTGTGATCGAGACTAGGGAGCTTTATATTAACCTCCGCCAGATTTGTGTTTTTGTAGCATTTTTCAAATAAAATTCACGGCGATTCCTTCATTGAACGATATTACAGATTTAAAACAGTATGTCGTCATCACCCTCATCTAACATATTGGCAACGTCTCTTGTGTCACGTCCAGCTGCAATCATTTGCGCTCTCAGAGCTTCCACCTGTAATACAATCACGATTAGCAACCACAATCACGCGCATTCAATAGATGAAAGAAATTATTATTATAATAATAATAATAATAATTATTATTATTGTTGTTGTTGTTGTTGTTGTTGTTATTGTTATTATTGTTATTTAAAGGACTACGTTCATGAAAGAATTAATGCATACTTTAGCTTTAGCTGCCTTCTTTTTGTCTTGAATCTTCTTTAAGCGGTAGAACTCTTCTCTTTCAAGCTCATCAAGCTCGGAGATAATGTAGGCAAGGGTCCTCTCAATTCTTGGAATGATGACGTGCTCGATGGCATTGACACGGCGATTCGTGATTTTAATAACCTCATCTAGAGTGACGAAGCTGGTCTGCAATGAAGCTAGTTCCACTAGCAGTGTCACAGCTTTTTGGTAATTTTTCTTCAACTTTGCCAACTGTTGACCACCTCGAGCTAAACCAGCCAGCTCATAAGTGTCCGTACCATCTTGGTAGGACTCAAACACTGGCAGATTGACACCAGCAACATTATCCTTCTTTGAGCGTATCTTGATTTGTGCCTTTGTAACATTCTGCAGTACCACTTGGTTAAAATCACCTGTGGCAAATTTTGCTTCTGCAAGAGAAAAGGCAGCTTCCTTCATCACTTCACCCATCAATGTTTTTGTCTAGATAAAAAGTTTATTATTCAATAATAAATTTGCACACCTTAAACCATCAACATGATAAGTGTAAAAGTCATGTGACTTACCTCAATGATCTTTCCCAAAATCATCCTAAAACGCATTTGCAGAGCATCAGCCTTCTTCTTGAGCAGGCCATGGCCCTTTTGTGCACCAGCCAATCGAGACTTCATTAGCATTTGAGCTCTGACAACAGAAAACATCAATCGTCATATTGTTTACTTATTAAAATGCCTTGAATATTTTAATTGGTCATCGCGACAGAAAAACTCTTCACTGCACTGCGTAGTGTATCTTAATCATCATTTTCATCAAATCAAAGTAAAAATATTCAATTCACGAGAATAAGGTAGCTTTATTTCAGCGATCTAAAAGTCACGAGACCAAGTTAAACTTTGCGCAAATTGATGGATTTAGACGAAGTGGGGTTACACCCATTTGTTTAAGGCGCAGAAACACAGCGGAAAATGATGAATTTATGAATGATAATGTTTCAGAAACGTAAAAGAAGATTACTACAGTGTCTCACTTTTTATTTCGAATGATTGTCAATAAATACTTACCCCCGAGAGGGGAAAATAGGAAGTTTATCCTTTCCCGACATGTTTTCTGGTAATGTAAGTAGACAGGAATAAGATTGATCAGCTGACTCTTGACGGACCGGAATATCGACTTAACGCGCGGAATGAGTTGAACCGCACTGATGAGGCGCGCATTTCAAAAGTAGAAGTGATTTTTATTGTTGTATTGATATACTTCGATTTGGACGTATAAAATTGAACCATCCATAATTTTATATCTTAAATATTTTATAAATTGTAACTATAAAAAAGTAACAAATATATCTTCAATTCATTAAAAAAAATTAAATTAATTAAAAAGATATTATTTATATTTATTAGCTACAAAGCTAATACTTTATCAATGTCTTTTGTCCCGGTTTTAACACCTGCCTCACATTCAAATTAATCCTTGCTTCTGCAATATAAGATTCAGCTATCCGCCAATCTTCACTATTTAATAAATGTTCATCCATTGTATCCCATGGCATTAATTTGTCTGATAAAATTTTTGGTACTCCATGGTACCTTAGTCTTGATGTGCCTGACATTATAACTACATCACCTGTGCGCAAAAATAATGCTTTTGCTGGATCTTCTTGTTTCAATCCACCAATCAGAAATATTGCAGTTTGACCAAAACTAATAGAAAACAAAGGGGCTTCAAGAAATACTTCTGAGTGATCTGTGTGTCCAGCTAATGTAGAATTCATTCTGTAATAGTTGACAATAGCAGCTTCTGCATGAAAATCATCAAATTCCAAGATACTTGCAAAATGATTTGTTAAATCCTTCAAATCAGCTGGCATTTCTGATTTGAAATCTTCTGTATAATGTTTCGTGTCCCAGTTATGATGGTATCCTAGTGTTGCCCATCTTAGTTTGGATAGCAAATCATTATTTGTGTTTGATCTATGAAAATAACATACTCAATGAATTATTGCAGACATTGAACAGAAGCAAATAAAATGTACTATGCTGTCTTTTACCGAAAACAAGTATCCCACCAAGTCTGTCCATCGTTCAAGCAACCATGCGCATCAATATTGAGAATATTAGGTTTCTTGGAATATTCTTTCAAACATTTAATAATCCAATGTTGCTGCCCTTTTGGAGTAAATGGATTTTCTATAAAAATCAAATCTAGAACAGAGTTATTTAAGTTTTTAAAACAACTGCTAACTTAGTACTTTGCAAACTACATAAAATTATCAATTTTATACCGGGTACATCAACGATTTTATAAATATTCCAACTCTTAACATCTCGCAGCCCTAGCCTCTCATTCAAATCATCGCCGCTTTTCCGTTCCACGTGAATACGTCTAACCTAAAAGAAACAATTAAAACAACATCATACTTCGTTTAAAATTTCCTAAATCTATAGCATTCACTCGCACTTACCAATTGATCATCAGTCTTCGTAACATCAATCACATCTCTTAAATCTGGCGGCGGCTTTCTCGCTTTGTAGTACTTGAACGCGTCTCGGAACATTTGAGATAGTGGCAGACTGAAAACTAAAATTAACCTCACAGTAGCCAAACGCGCGAACCACGTCGTCTGCAAGCAGTGAGGTATATATGGGATGGGTATGGCAGAGCGCCAGTGTTTTGATAATTTACGAATGTCCGTCGCCTGCAGCTGCCGTCTTACTCCGTGCGATACCAGGAGACAGAGCGACGCGCTTTACGAGAGCTGCTTTATTTTGACGATCTAGTTCTCGAGAAGATTGATGGGGTTGGGCTCTCGCGAGCTCTCTTGATTTGTGGTTTACGGATGTTTACGATTTCTCAAAATCAGTAGAACGAGAGCGCCTCTTTGCGTTTCGCGAAAGTCAAGTCGGGGCAGCAGTTCGCTCGTGTTGTCAATTTGCACGCGCGAGCTTCGTAGGCGTAGATACGTATCGCTCGAGCAATCAAACGCGCGCGCACACAACGACGATTCACGAACGTAATTAACCCATCAGCAGTGCCGCCCGAGTTTCGCCTATAAATTAATTGATTTGCGTGCAGCTGCCCCTCGTTAACCCCTGGAGGAGGAACTCGCGAGCCGTCGATGAATTTCGCAAAGAGCCGCTTGCTCGTCGCGACGCCTAAGTGCGTACGCGTGGATTGCGCCCGCTCAATTGGATTCGATCTCGCGAGCTTTAGCGTGTCTGGTCGCACCCCGTCGAGGCTGCTCTGCACCGCGCCCGCGACCACGCGACAGCTGCCTCGCCCCAGGCCAAAAGAACAAAAAGAAAGAAAAATAAAAAGCAAATAAAAATCTAAATATATACCCTCGCTTATGTCAAAATTGAAACTCTACACGCACGCGCGCGCCGATTTTAAAGGAGCGCCGGTGCACATTGGAAAGGCGCGCGCGTTGCATAGCGCGTGCGACGCACGCCGCCGCGGCGCAGCAATTATTCACGATGGCAATCTCTCCCGCGCCCGAAAGCTAGCTTTCGAAGAGCCTCGAGGCTGGTGGGTTTGTGTGTGCTGATGCTAATCGCTCTCAGATAAGGAACTGTACGCGAGTTCATTGGGTGAAAGCGAGTGTCACCGTTATTTTCTTTTTTCCATCTGATTTGTGCTAGTATTGTCGACAATTTATCAATAAATATTTTTTCATTTTCATTGATCAATAATATGCACAACATTTCATATAGTCGTACGTTACCAATGCAAAAAGTACAAAAAATGTGTAAAATAACTTTCGTTGGGATTTAACTGCTTTTTATCTCAACGTGTAAAGGCGATTGTATATCGTGAAAATTGTGCAACGCGGCCAGCAGTTTTTCTTTCCTTGTTTGATTGCAACAGTCTGTACCGTTCATTTTCGTCGTGTATCCATGGAACGTCAAATTTTTTTAAAATAATATCCATAATTTAATTTTATGGATCCACAAGTAGTCAGTTCTAGATTTGGAATGATACGATTGGGAGTTGGTTAAACCTAAATACTTCATAATTATTTACTGATCGAATGTTATGTACAATGATAGTTGTATATGCATTTTTTAATAGCCATGTATCACATTTGACCATGAATCTCCATGATAATTTATCAATAATTATTTCTGATTCACTCTTATTTAAGCTTTTTTATCATTTGTCTCGAGAGTCCCTGAGTTCATATCGAATATATGTCTACAACATTTTGATAACGACTACGTAAATACTATTTCTAAAAAATAACTTGAAGTTTTGGGCGGCCGGGACGCCTATTCCTCTCTCTTTCCGCTCCATAATGTTACCTGTTTGGTTTTTTTTTAAAGTGGCCGTTTATTACAATGCATAAAATATACCAGCATCAATCAAAATCAATCGCCAACTGTTAATCACCTCCCATCGGAGAAGAAAAAAGAACAAGTCGGTCGCTCTCGAGCCTCTGAGGCAAGGCTGCAGGCATCCTTTCGATTCGCAGACGTTGCCGATTTATGCAAAGCGTCGATTGTTCTTGCGCGCACGTTCATCATAATTCCCTTAAGGCGCATGCCAGTCGCATGATTCGCGCGCGTCTTTCCTCGGTGGGAGAGGCATGTAATTGTAAATCCGTCGCGCTCGTCGTGAATCAGGCCTGAAGGGGTTGGCAATCTGGCGCCATGTTGCTGGCGAATGTCAGCTTGCGTCGCTACCGGTCGGGATTCCCCGTGTACCTTGGATCTGGATGGGCACGGGCGCGCGGCGAGGACCCGGTGAGCCGGTCGCGCATCCGAAGCGGCCTGCGTGACGGATCGCACGCGCCCTCGTTTCGGAAATAGATCGGCGAGCTCGGGGTCGCGCGGAGCCTCCCGCGGGCGGGAGCCTTTCGAAGTGTGCGGCGCGCTCGCGATAAGCGATCTCGAGGCTTCGCGGACGCGGCCGATTTCGGCGCGCGAAGCTTGCGACGTGCGACGAGGCGGCGCGCGTCGAGCTTTCGCCGCGGCGGTCGCCTGCGCGCGCGCGCCGCACTCCCATCGGCGAGTCGCGCGCGCGCCGGCCAATGGCGCTCGCTCGCGTCGTCACCGTCGCCCAATGGCCTTACAAGCGCATGACGACAGCCGCTAAAAATAGCCGGCGCTCGCCTCGCGGACGCCGAGCAGACTTCTCGGCTCGCGATCTGGGTTGCGCCGCTCGGCGACTGGCGCTCAGTCGATACGCCGCCGGCAGCCGTGTGAAACCTGTGTGTGCGCGCGCGCGCCCCGACCTCGCGTGGCCCCTGCCTCCTGCCCTCGGCGTCACGCACACCGCTGATCCGATCGCTGCTGCTGCTGCTGCTGCTGCTGTTGCTGCTGTTGCGGAATCTCACCGGTGCGTTGCCAAGCTGCTCGGCTCGTCGCCGCCGCCGCCGCTGTCGCCGCCGCTGCTGCTCCGCCGCGGGACTTCGAGTGCGCGTGCGTGGGTGGAGCCCCACACCGAGCGTGTTATATGGGACACGCAGCGATCTGTAGCTGTTTTTTTTCTTTGTTTTCTTTGTAGTCAGTGCGCGCGCGTGTCGATTGACGGTTTATCGCTCGCGCAGGGTGGGAAAAGCGCGGATTTGCCGGCGAGTCGATGGGACTCGCTGCGTCGCTCGCGGCAGGCGAAAGGCAACAATAACAGCAGCCTTCGCGCCTCGCACGCGCGCACGATGTGGAATCCGACGTAGCACCGTCCGCGGCGCAATTAATAATTTTCGATACGCAGTCGCTCGTAACGCGGCTCGTCCTTGTGCCACTCTTGTGCGCTGATCATCAATCTCTCGTCTCGCTGCCGTAACCCGTGTCACTTCAGCTCCGAGGTGATCGTCCGCCGAAAGAAGAATTCCGAATTCGCCGAGTGGCAGATACAGGCTCGGCCGAGATGCCGCACGTGTGCTGTGCGTCGCGGTCAGCTGATTGTCTACGCCAGTGGTCGGCGATTTGTCCCACGACTTAGAGGCACCGACGTCGACGTGTCTCTGTCGCTCTCTCGCGTGCACTGCCGATTTGCTCGATCGCGAGGCTCCCGGAGGCTGCCAAAGTATCTGTGGTAACGAAGAATCCATGCGTCTGCCGCGGACGCGTTCGAAGCGCCCGCGACGAGGAAAACAACTTTACGACGTTTTTTAACGTTGCGTCGTTAAAAAGGAGGAAGGAAACGTGACCGCGGTTGAAATGAAAAAAAGGAAAAGAACGAGCGAGCAAGCCGGGAAAACGAGCGAGTGCGCGTCCACTTTCGAATGCGCGAAAGCGCAGGCCTTCGAGGAGTAAAGGAAGCGTAGGGAGACGGACGCGTTGCTCAACGCTTCGCTCCTCTCCGCGCGACCTTAAAAGCCGGTCGAGACGCGAACCAGAGAAGAAAAAAAGGAAAAGATGGACTTTCGATGCTCGCGCGCGTCGCGGCGAACGACAACGGCTTTGCTCCCCGAGAGAAAATCCGAAAAGTAGGTCTGCCGTCCTACCCGACCAGTGTGTATTAAAAGCGCGTCCGGGACACCGTCGCGCCCAAACTGCGTGGGAAACGAGCGACATCGTGCGCTGTTTTTTTTCTCGTTCGTCGTTTTTTCTTTTTTTTTCCACTCTTTCGATTTCCGGTAGACGACTCGGCTGTCCCACGTCTAGTATACGTAATTTTTTTGAGCATCCGTCGGCGCAATCAGCCGTGCCGGAGTGCATCCCGAGGATGCCAAAGAGTGCGAGTGCGAAAATGTAATCCGCCGACCGGAGAATCGCGCGTAATGCGCCGAATATAATAGACTCTCGAGGCGAGCGGCGCCTTCTGTCGGAGGAGCGGCTTAGGCCACTCCTGCCTCGGCCTTCGCAGCTCTCGGCGCACGCGAGATGCGACCTTTCCCGATTATTAATCGAAACTCGGCCCGGCCAAGGCCGCGTCGATGGATTTTCCTATCTCCCGCCGTCATTCCTGTATTTTCTCCCTCTCTCTCTTCTCTCTCTCTCTCTCTCTCTCTCTCTCTCTCTCTCTCTCTCTCTCTCTCTCTCTCTCTCTCCTTCTTCTGCTCAGCAAGCGACCACTCGGCTTTTCTCTATAATTGCGCAATTGGCGCAGGCAGCGGAGCCGCCATTGCCCTCCCTCTGCTCCCATGCGGGCGAGTCGCGTAGTCCATCAATCTCCATTAGAGCGGAATTGTCCGTCGGCGTGCGCGCCGCTGCGGACCGTGCGTCGCGTCCGAGCTGTCCGCGTCTGGCGGCGGTTGTCGACGGCCCGTCGCTGCGCCCACGCCCAGGTGCGAGGCGGGTTTCGGATCGCCGTGAATCGCTCGGCACATCCTCGCGCGCGCGCGCGTTCGGCCGCCAAAATAGACGCGAAAGTAGGCCCAGCGCCCATCGCCACACGGCCTTGCGCAACGGGCGTCGAAGCGAGCGAACCACCTGTTGATCGAACCCCGAGGGAAAAACGCGGCGCGCGAGTGGGGGACCAGTCCGCGGCCACGCGTGGAACTGGGTCACCATGTGCTACGCTTCCTTTGTCTAATTCCGATGATTCGCGTATTCGAAGGATAAGGAGGACGGAGGCGGGTGCGCAAGTCGAAAAATTCCCCAGAAAGCTTCTCTCTCCGTTTCTTTTTTCTTTTCCTCCGCGTAGTTGAATTTATGGCGGATGTAAATTGGCCGGCGGAAGAAGGGAAAAAAAGGAAAAAAAAGAAAAAAGAAAAGAAAACCGGTTATCGCCGCGCGTGTAGGAAGAGCATCTCGCTGCAAAAATCGCTACAGTCTTATTTCGCTGGTTCGCGCGCGGTCTGCCCTCGCTCGCGTCCCACGTATTCATCGAAATTCGCGGGACTCGAGTACCTACGTCGCTGCTCGCAGGTGTGCGCAGGAAAGGAGGCGGCGGCGGCGGCGGCGGCGACAAGGCCATGTACAACTTGAACATGAACGTGAACGCGAACCCGGCGGCGGCCCAAGCGTCGGCGGGCCTGCTGAGCGTGGCCACGGAGGTGACGCCCAGGACCCCGGAGATCGTCAACAGCCTGATCGCCATGACGAATCCGTTCGACGGCTTCAACGGCGCCGGCACGGCGCCCGCCCTGCCGCAGTCGGCGCGCGGCTCGGCCGGCGAGCGCCCGCGCAACAGGAGCGAGTCCAGCAGCGGCGGCGAGCCTAGTCCACCCAGCATCCAGCACACCTGCAGCCAACTCATCAAAGAAGGTCAGTGCGCGCGTCGGTCTCGAGGAGACGGAGACAGCACGCGCGCTCCTCTTCGACGCGAGATCGCAACTCGACGGGGCACTTTGACGCCGCTCGCAATTGGGCCGAGCACAGAGCGCGGAAGAACGCGAAAAATATGCAAACGAACCAAAACACGAGAAAAAAAGAAAAAAAAGAAAAACAGAAAAAAAGAAAAAGAGGCGTGCGTCGAAGGAACGCAAGGCCGCGGCTAGGCTACCACGTCCCCGATGAATATTCATTCTCTTGTGCAAACGCGAAATTTCGGCAGGACTGAAGCTGACGCTGCAGACGAAGCGGCGGGCGAACGGCAGTCTTGACGACGCGAAGAAAAAGACACGGAAGGAGGACGGCAGCGCTGATGACGAGGAGGACGATGAGTCCGCCAACAGCATAGGCAGTCAAGGGGTAAGAGCCTGCTTCTTTATCTTTCCTCTCTCACGTTGTTCGGAGGAATGTCGAGTACGTCGGCGGACCAATTCGCACATGTTTATTGTATGTTGGACGAGACTTTAGTTGAGGCCTCCGTAAGATGACAGCCAATCCGATCGATTTTACAGAAGGTACACACTGCCAACATAATGTTAAACGCTAATCTAAGAATGAGAAACTTGACGACTAATTCCTATCGGCTCTGCTCTTTCTCGTCATTTCTGTTTCCATTTGAATGTTGCCTCTCTCCTATTGTCGAGAAGAAAAAAATAAAAAATGAAAATCCGTTCGTGCACGGATCGCGCCAATCAAATGAGCTCACGTCCAAGTTGCTGATTCGCATGATCACGCCATAACCCGGCGAATCCGTGTAACGCAAACTGACGCTTCGCTTCGAAAAACCACGAACGTCATATCGATTGCTTTTCTGCCGCGAGGAGCAGCTGACGCCCGAAGACGAGGAGCGCAGACGGCGGCGACGCGAGCGCAACAAAATCGCGGCGACCAAGTGCCGGCTGAAGAAGCGCGAGAAGACGGTAAATCTGGTGCACGAGAGCGAGAGCCTGGAGACGCAGAACCACGTGCTCAAGTCGCAGATACAGGAGCTGGAGACCCAGAGGCGACGACTTGTCGACATGCTCAATTTGCACGGGCCCACGTGCATCAAGCAAACGACGCCGACGGTGAGTGCTCGCGGTGACGAAGGTGCGACGGGAAGCTAATTCGACTTCTCCTTTTCTCCCTTTCGGCTTTTTTTTTCTTTTCGTGGAAAGTAACAATACCGCGAGATCCGCTGGAGCCGTGCAAAGAGGGCGAAATCAAAATTTCATACGTTTGCAGGACACGCCGTACCAGCAGTTCGCCGAGGCCATCCCGTCGTTGCCGAGCTACCAAGAGAACTTCGTGCCCGCGCTGCCCAACCAAACCGCTGACTGCGCCTATGGACCCGTCAAACTCGAGAGCTACGACCCCGTGCAACAGCTGCCACCGTCGCAGGACCACTTCTTCCGGCAGCAGGCGACGCCCTACACGAACGCCGTCACCGCGACCACGACCAGCAGCGACTGCGCCGTCTAACCGTCGACCGGCGCTCTCTCCTCTTCTTTTCACGCGCGCGTAATACTCAAGATTTCTTTTTTTTTATTACTATTTATCGTGGCAGCTGGCGAACTTTCTCGCGCGTACGCGCGCGCTTCCTAATCACACGCATATACATACATCAAAATATATACATATATTTTTTTTATCAATTTCGCGAGAAAGATTCGCTCGCTTGTGTACAGTTGCTTGTATTTTCACTCCGCTAGGTTGTAAGCGACTCGAGCTTGCGCAAGCTCTCTAAAACAAAAGAAAGAAAAAACATTCGCATTCCATGAAGAATAACGAGAAAAATATATATACGAGGAAAGAAAGCGCGCCGAGACTCCCAGTATTCTTATACTTACGTGTATACGCATAATTATTTGTTTCTTTTTTTTTTCTTTTTCACACACATTCCCCGCGTATATACAAACTGCCGCGCAGTCACCTCGACGACGAAGATTGTCAGAGCGACGGGCGTAACTTGCTTCGCTGGGCGACGTATAGAGGATTGTTTTTTTTTTCTATTTTTTTTTTCTATTTTTATCGCAAACTTATAACAGAGCACTAACCGTATTACGAGCTTCCAAGATATGTTTTATGCGTTTAATAGAGTTTATGCGTTAATTATGTGGGCGATATGCTATAGATGATATACGCACGTTTAAAGTAACCACTATATGCCATATTGTAACTCCTAAAACACGACACCTCTGAGTTCGGAGGTGTTCACGAAGGTATGTGAGTTTCAGCTTCTCTCGGGGCGTTACGCGAGAGACATAATTGCGTGTGCCTTGAAAAAAAAACCACACCAAAGTTTGCGAAAACTTAACTTTTCTCACGGTTGTCTTTCACATTTAGAGGAAAGACAATTTTCCGCTGGGGAGATTGATTCGCGAATGTACACAGTGCTGTTCTTTTTTAACCAGTTGTGCTTAAAGATATATATATATATATATGTGTATATATATATACACACACCATATGTTGCTTATTTATAAAAGGAGATAGCAGAAAAAAGCTGTAAATCGACGATTATATACCTCAAGACAGGCAGAAAGTTACCTCGATTTACGCAAAGTGCGACTGATCGATTCTTTTTTTTTACCGTCATTGTGATTCACTCTGTTAGTTTTCATGTATTACCAGTTGAGGAAAAGGAAAAACCAGTGTCTTCTTAACGTTCAAGAATATATCAAATCAAAATAAATATCGTTGACGAGTAAAGGCGTAAAACAATACATATAGTTTTATGTAACATTTCGAAAGATAAAAAACTATTATACAGCCGTGATGCATGCGACATTTGTAAAATAATAATGAAATCTATGAAAGACACGATGCATGATTGTTACGCCTCCGCCCGAGTATTATGCGACTGGTATCTCCGTGAGAACGAGAATCGCACAGCAAAATATATTTTCATCGAAAAATCCATCGTTGCGTCTGGCGGCGAGCAAGCTCACTTTGCAGCTTCGACCTCGTATAGACCGCAGGCCCTGTTGGCCGGGACAGCCGTATCTGCGAAACGAGCGAGTTAGCGAGGACCGACGTGGACGGAGCGCTCGTGCAAGATACGCACCTATCATCTTCGGATAGGGCAGATTCAGATTGTCCATGATCTTGACGAACTCTTCCCGGCTCTTGGTTAGTCTGGGATTGAAGCGCCTCTCCTCGGCCACCGTGGTCACGGTTCGGCCGGCGTAGTCATGCGCCGGATACAGCTTGAAGTCGTCCGGCAGCTTGAAAATCACCGAGTGTATCGACTCGTACAGGGCCTCCGCGGATCCGCCCTGCGTGTGCGCAACAGTGCAACGTGCATTAGTGGTGGGGTGGGGGGGGGGGGGTCTTGTTAGAGTTGCACGCGCAGGGCTCACCTGGAAGTCCGTTCGACCGCAGCCACGTATCAGCAGCGCGTCGCCCGTGAAGGCGATGCCTTGCGCCTCGCACACGTACGTCATGCAGCCTGGAACAATCGACGAGCGTGTGCGCGCACTCTCCGGTCGCACCATCGACGCTGGGCTTCCTTCGATTGCCGACTGCCCGTCGGGCATGCACCGGTCGCGATATTCGTCAGCCCCGCGCCGTTTTGACGCTTTCTCTCGCGCGATCCGAAATCACATCGTCGTTGTGAACGACGAGTTCGATTACGGCTGCGGCCGATACCCCGTACGACACGACGGCACGCGAAGGCCTAGCCATTATTACCAGCGGTGTGCCCAGGCGTGAGGAGAGCCTTGAGGAAGTGTCGGCCGAATGTCAGCTCGTCGTGCCCGTCTATCAGCAGGTCCGCTCGAGCCCCGCTGCCTCTTGATATCACGGACTGGCAACCGGGCAGCAGGCTCTTCAGCTTGCCGCTGCCCGTCACGTGGTCCGCGTGCATGTGCGTGTTCACTTTCGGGCAATCGTTTTAGTTCACCAAGCGCCGATAGTGGAGAGGCCATTGCGACGTAAAGGCATCTTACCGGCGTACTTGAGACTGAGGCCCAGCTCTTTAATCACTGTGGAGTCTCGCTCTGCCCACTCGATCACGGGATCGATCAGCACCGATTCCCTGCTGTCCGCGTCGGCCAGAAGGTAAGTGTACGTACTCGAGGCAGGATCGAAAAACTGAAAGCACGTAAGCTCGTCATTTCCCACTCGAGAGTGCCGAGTTTCAATGCCGGCAAGAGTGCTGCTCAGAGCTGTCCGTTGTATTAGGTTCTAATACAACGTCACTAAATCAATATTTCAAAGTGTCAAAAACGTTGCGCGAATCTTGATTCTTTTCGTCATGCACTTCAATTAGACGCTCACCCGATATCGAGCTCTGCGTTGCATTTCAATTATATTGTGTTAATTTATTCTTACATTACGAACGATGCAGCGAATATTATGCTTTTCTCATTATTCGTAAGATAAATTATGTGCTTCGCAGTGATCTATTGGAACCACGTTACGAGCAATGCCTGGATTTTCTCGAATATTTATATTTGCCACCAAATATTATCGATTGTTGATAAAAAAATAATGAAAATAACCTAACCTCTCAGTTAATAAATATATGAAAGGAATTAATTTTTGTACTGAAATTCGAATCATTACGTTTCACACGCGCAGTCGTTTCACTTCTTTCGCGACTACGACACGAGCGTAAAACTTTAGCAAATTGAAGTCAGCCACAACGAAAATTAACAATCAAACAAAACAAGGGTAAAAAGTATAAATGGAAAAAATAACAAAAAAATGTATTCATTCAATAAGAGTGACCCACCTGTCGAAACAAAAAATTAGACGACTGGCTGATGCCTCTAATTTCAGTAGCATAGTGTTTGACCATCTCACACAACATTCGCGACAATACTGACGTGCGAATCATAGTGGAAGGATGTATGTTCTGTAGAGTTTACCAGGAATTATTCGTCGAATGATAAGAATTGGTCGCGCGTATCTTGTCCTACTCTTCCGTGTTATTAATTCAACATGACTAAGGATAATCACGAGCACAATGTCATGCCAGCTGACGACGGCCGAACGTTCTCTAGATTTTGCTATTCTTATCTGAAAGATGATGTTAAGAGCCATCTGCAAGGTTCTCGAAAATTATCTGATGCCCGTTCCTTTCTAAACGATCGATTCGACGATACAGTATATAAATAATTGCACACGGAATATGTAAATTGATGATTACATAACAATGTTCTCGTTGTCGAATATATGCTTATATGCTTCGATAAGAAGGAATGCAAAGTGAAGGTCATGAAAATTACAAGATTTGTAGATTTTGCAGTGTGTAATTAATTATCTATTTTTTTTAATAAAGTTCTGTTGCATTTCTCTTCTTTCTCTGTATCTATCTGTCTGTCTGTCTGTCTGTCTGTCTCTCTGTCTCTGTTTCTCTCTCTCTCTCTCTCTGTCTCTCTCTCTCGGTCTCTTCCTCTCTCCATATTAAAACTTAAAAGCTAGTCTTAAATAAAGAAAAAGTGCTTACAATTACCAATACACTAGATGAGCAAGATAGACAGAAAAAATACAACAAAAATTGTTTAAACACATATAAATTACAGAACGAACAAGTATACAATAATTTAATGCACTTGAGACATTTTTTTTATCACCTACTTAAACAATATCATTAGTTTAATTCAACAAACACCACATTTGAGTCCACAACAATAAACGCTATTGTACAGCGGAAAGAATAAGAACAATACAAACTATCTCTGTACGCGTGTCATTCGAAATTTACAAATGTTGCTTTTGGAGCAGCCTCTGGTCAAATGCCCAAGTAACTGCAAATTATAAATGCACCGCAAATGCTTAAAACTATAAAGATCAGGAACAGCCAAAACGGCAACGAGTCTGAAAATGAAAAACAATCATAGGTCAAAAAGGAACGATTATAAATTTTTTCTTAGTTCGGAGAGCTTACGTCTGAATGGAACGCTATGAATGCAGATTTTATTGTCAACGGAGCAACTAATAACAGCAGTCTCGGCGTTACTCGTAATAGCAGGTCCGTCGTGATGTATCGGAAGGAACTCGAGACTCGTAATAAACATGTTGTGCGCGTTGGGCACATGTAGAATCTTCTGCAGACTAAATCCTATGAATAAGTCGACGGTGCCAGAGGACATTGTGCCAACGGCAACGAATTTGCCGTCATCGGATACCGCGAGCTCGGACAAATTTTCGTTGTAAGTCGCCAGTCGTTCGACACTTCCAGTATCGACATTCCACAGTTGTAGGAAACCATAATGAACCTTCTTACGTTCCCTCGAGGGCAAAGAATTTGAAATGGTGAAGAGATGTTGAGGACTATCTCGTGGACTATCTTCGACGGTTTTACGGAAACGGCAACGTTTGTACACGGATTTTTCACCATCTGAACGTAACCACGTGAGATCTTTCAATTTGGAACCACTGTCAACATGCCAGATAAGCAATTTGGCATCCTTGGATACAGTGGCAAGGAGTTTATTTTTTGGGCTAAAGTCTATGTCGTCAATTTCCTTGTTGTGACCCTTTAAATCGTGTAGCTTTATCATCTCTGGGAATTTCCATAAGCGTACGTGTCCATCTGTGCCACCTGTAGCCATCAGTTTACCATTGTGATTAATCCTTACTACCCTTTGTACAGGTTGTGCGGATCTGTTGATAAACAAATAAATTCAAATGATACACTGCAAAAAGATGCTGGTCAAGAGATTGAATGAAATTTACCCAAAATCAGTTTGTATGCTATCAGAAGGTTTAATAATAAGTTGTAACTTTTTATGCTTAGACTTTGGCTCGTTCTTGATTTCCTCAATACCATCTCTTTTCTGAGATACATCGTCTTTCCTGATACTTTTTCTTCTTTGTTTAAGTTCATCTCTGATAGGAAAACCAGCAGCTCTTTTTAGAATTTCTCCATTTTCTACTGCCACCACTTTTGCTTGTATATTGTACAACTGGCAATGACTCTCTTGACCAGCAACGAGCCATATTCGCTTACCATTGTTATGCATTGCAGTGTTCATAACAACGTTAGGCCCTGTCTCGTATCGAGTTACTTCTTCTGCTACAAATTGTGTTCCATCATGCGAGAGTTCAAATATTTCCTGCATCATGGAAAAATTAATAAATCAAAAGATCTAGATTCCATCTTTTTTCGAAGTATATCAAGGAAAGTGAAACGTACGAATCCATTTGCTACTCCAGTCCTGGACGATCCACCACCACCGCCGACAAGGACGTGCCTGCTGGTAAGCATTTCTAAACTGTACGGCGGGAAATTGACCCGAGCCAAGAGGCCGTCATTCCTACGCCTCCACGACATTATGCTACTTGAATTTTACACCTCAACACTGTCACGTTGCAATGATAAGGTCGATGTAGACTCCTAGACGTAGTGCATGCCAACGACGCATGTCTGACGACTGATAAAATAGTCGTCTATGCGTCGCTCGTTTAATGGAATGTTTGCTGAAATACCAGTTACGTGAGCGAGTAAAAGGCGTCGAGCTGGAGCTGGTGCTGTTGCCACATACACGAGGCCATTGCCATATGATGATGATGTGTATACTGTAATTGACTATGCCAGTGTAACTTCGCAGAGGTTAGGTTGGCTTCCGTTCCAATGACGTTATCGTGAAATCATCTATTCGATGTTTTTCTCGCAAGCTTGAACAGCTGTTATCGTTGTTGATTGGGTGACATGTGAGGTTATCTGTAGATGGTTTTTAAAGTTTTCAATTAAACGTGATTTTCAATTTTTTTTTTATAGTAATTACTTTTCACAGTTTAAATAATCGACACAATTGTAAGTGTGTAATTGTTATTTCAGAATTCGCGCAGATAAATATATTCTGTTCTTGTCCAAATGGAACATAAAGTTTCTGACAAGTCACGTTACTTTGCAGTTTTGGACCTAGCCAAACCTTGGATTTGTTACTAACACGTAGTTTTGATTCATTCGCTCATTCATTCTAATGAAAGAATTTTTTAAATACCAAATTTGACGAAAAGTCATCGATTAATTGTTCATTAAACAATATAACAATTGACAAATTAATTATTCCGCAGTTATATTCTTCAAATTGTCAGAGAATCATCATTGGATCGGCAATCTTGACAGTGACATTTAGCAAGTGGTTTTGTTTACATATAGTGAATAGTATGAGTAAATAAAGCTAAGAAATTGAAATTGATTACTAGTGAGGTACAGAGTTTTCACAATAAATTTCACAGATTCAAATAAAATAAGAAGTCTGAAGTTTTATATAGCTACAATTGTGCAGCTTTTTAAGAAATTTTGGAATAATGGAGGCTAAGGCTGTGATAGTTTCTGGAGAAGCTCCAGAGTCAGATGATGAATCAATCACTGTAAAAACTGGAATAACTTTTCCTTCCCTGCTAGCAGGAAATCCTTGTGGTACAATAATCCAAGGAGAAGCAAAAGAATCTGACGATGACAACAGTAGTATAAACAGTGTTAGTTATATGATGGATCCAGCCAACTGTTCATATGTTGAGATACACAAAGGTCCAAAGGTTGAAAGGAGCTGTGTCAAATATAACAGCTTACTGCATAAAAAGTTACGTGAATGTAACAAAACATTGGACAGAGATATTAGAGAATTAATTAGTACAACTGTTACACATGCAGTTGAGGAGTTGAATGAAACAAATAGACAACTCTTAAAAAGTGAATTAGTGCTGCAGGAGACTGTTGGAAAATTCCAAACTTCTGCAAGTCAATTCGAAGAAATTTTAAATCAATTGTTTAGTATAGCAGATGAAGAATATTTTGATAGCATTATAGTAAAAAAATAACTGGTCAGTGTTAATTTATTTTGATAAGTTTGTTAAAATTTAAATTGTTGATGTTATACTAAACAAATCATGTTTTTACTGTTGTAAAAATATTTTTTTTATTGCTAAAAATATACATTAATTTTTATCTTGATTCAATAAATTATTCTTTCTCCCACACTAAAATGTCTTGACCATTAGCAGCTAATAAACAATTTTTGCTTGGATGAACTCCTATAGAAACAATGGGATATTTACTAGATTGTTCATCCCCTAAACGCATCACAACTTCACGACTAATGAGTTTCCAAGCCCAAATTTTGCCATTTTCAGAGCCAGATAAAATCAAAGAATCATCATGACTAACACTGGACTCCATACAAAAGTCACTTCTTTTCAATCCTTCATATTCTCCCAATAGCTCCCCAGTGTCCTTATCAATCAACTTAATTGTTCCATCAGCACAACTAACTACAACACACTTATTATCTCTTGTGAAACTAGCACAAGTAACAATTTCTCCCATACAATCAGTTACCAATCTGCCTTCACGTATATCATATCTCCTCACTTTTGAGTCGAAAGATGCAGTTAGTATTTCATGGTCAGATATTCTCACTGAAGATATAGAATCTTTAGCATCAGGTAAAACTTGTATAGGTGTTAAAGTTCTTGCTCTTGTGTCCCACAGCATCACTGAATTATCTTGTGAACCTGACACAATTATTGTTGAAATTTCATTGAAACGCACTGTATTTACAGTTCCAGTGTGTGCTCTTAATCTTCTTACAGGAGTTCCAGCAATGACGTCCCATAGTATTACTGACTTATCACTACTACAGGATGCAATTTGACTTTGATCACATGATGAACAAGCATCCATCACTTCATTTGCATGCCCAGCATAAGTTTTTAACAACACACTTCTGTAGGGATTCCATAGTTTGACCTTTTTATTGGAGCCACTGGTTATGCAGTATGCACCATCCTCACTGAATCTTACAGACCTAATTGCACCCTGATTGCAATATATTCTAGCTGTGAGTTTATACTCTGCCTCCATGATAGGTTTGTAAACACCTGATAATTTACGCTGAAAAATTAAATTAGCGCGATTGTCTAAATAAGAGAATGTTGCGTCAACGCTCATACTCAATTTGCTCTTTCAAATTGAATTTTCCATTGTTCTCGTTTCGTCAATCATTAATTAAGGACGTTTCTTTATTTAGTTGGTGTGGCAGATGTAACCTATATTACCGACGATGTATTGAAATTCCACAACGTCGTGCACACGTAATGTAAATCAGTGGTATATGTATTGTGATGGTGCATATTCATTAATTATTTATGTCACACTTACTTATCGTATACAGAGCAATGTCAAATTATCTATAACTGCCGTATAAAACGAGTATGTATCCAGATGCATTTGAAAAATGCTGTCGACTGGCGCGCGTGCGCATAAGTGCTCTCGTAACCATTCCTCGATACGACGTTGCCAAGTTTTTTTCTCAAGCTCAAGCAATGTTTTGTTATTATTTTAATTAATATCTTTACAAAAAGCCTTTCTAAAAAGGTCGAAACTTTGAGAAATACAGAGTAAAAAAACATTTTTGCTAATCTCTCTTATTAATAAAAAGTCATGGTTTGTGTTGAGTGAAGCTAGTTTATTCGTGATGTGATTGGTTGAAAGATGGTCACATGGTATGACGTAACCATACACGCATTATGGCTAGTGTCACTGATTGATTAGGCGTGTGAAATATCTTTTTAATAAAATAAGGTATTACGTTTCAGAATTATGCTAATTGTTTATCATTATTAACCAATAATTCGATTTTGTCATCTGTAAAAATCTCAAAATCATTGTCGATATATTAATAGTAATTAACAATAATGCAAAATAATCATCGGGGATAATTGTATTTGAAAAGATCGTTGAAATAACAGTTTTCAATGTGATAAATTGTGAAGTTCAAATATACGAAATATAAATGTTTTGTAAATAAACTAACTTAAATATATGTATTAACATTAAGCAAAATATCAAGTAATTAATTAAAAAATTATTTTGTACGAAAATGATAAATTAATTTGAATTTTCAACTTTAAAATCTTAGAAAACAATCAATTTTAAGTAGGTTTATTCATTTTTTCTTAACCATAGAAGGTCAACTAAAGTTTGCTGTTTATAATATTAAGTTATGAATAAAATTATACATCAATAAATATCTTAGAAAGTAATATTATTTGACTTTTTTTCTATATTTATATATTTAAAACTATGACATAATTTTCTTACTTCTCTCAAACTCTAGTTAATTATTTATTTAATACTCAAAGATGACAGTTGTGAAATTTTTGAATTATATAATCATATATGTATTTCATCGTGTATTGGAGTATTTAAGTTCGTTTGCAAAACTGCGTTGATTTATGAACAATTCGTAAGTTGACATGAAAAAATGAAAAAGGTGGCATGAACGCGCGAAGCACGCCAGGCATGTCTAGTAAAAAATAAATAATCTGTGTGTGTAATTTGTAACATCTCTGATTAAGCGTTTATAATACTGTCCCATAAAACGACATAAAACACGGTCTGATTTTTGTTAATCACTCTGCAATTTTGCCTCATAACATCTACCCAAAAAACGCATGCAAGTTCGGAATACTTTAAAGTATCATAATTCAAAGTTTCACGAAGATCTGTAATTATTTATATCAAGAAGGAAACGTCCTTAAGTAGAACACGCACTTGATGATAATAAAATATACACGCAGCGTCAATCGCTCTGGATGGAAGAGAAAAAAAAACTCGGCTGCTCCAAAATCCATGAAGCGTTTAATTAAAGATCAGCCGATGTGAGACGATTGGCTTTCTCACTCTCGCGCACACACAATACCACTCACTACATAGGTGGGGGTGTGGGGGGAAACCATAAACTAAAGAAAGATAGTCAAGTATATAACAGAATAAGAGTCAGAGAGAGAAGGACATACGCATACACACGTCGTCGCAGAACAGAAAACTCTCGTTTGTTACTCGCGCACACGACGACGATTTGATGAGGATGCGATGCCTCGGGGTGCGCGTATTTGGCTATTGGCAGTGGCTGTGAAATACACCGTGTGGAGCATCTACTATTGGCACTCACAAAACGAGAAGAGCAATCGTGGTTCTGTTGTCAACGCGAATTGAATAAAAGACACTCACTGCTTGTTTTTCTCTTGTTTCGCTGTTACTATTGCGATGCTTGTCGTGGGAAATTAATCGATCTTCGACGTTGCATTATGAGTCATGGTTCTCGCGCTATTATTCACGACGATCTTTTCCCCACGAACACAACTATGAGGTGAAAATTAGTACTAATTCGCACGAGTCAACGAGATGTACGGCGACGGGGAGCTAGAAGTCTCCGAAGGATGGAGGCAGGTACGGGATCTCAGCACGACCATGGATCCCAATGTCAGCTCCACTGCTCAAGACGACGAGCACTTTTGTAAATTAATACTTTATCAAGAAATCAAAGAATCAACGTAGGGTGACATTGTATACTTGCTGACGATCTTTTATACGTCTATAGTTTGCTGATTGTGAATTTTGTTTGTGTTGCAGAGTAAGGATATGGGACGTGATAATTCTAATACCAAACCTGCTATTCCTGCTGTTTATCATAGTAAGGTGCAACCGAGCAAGGCTCAAACTCAGAGCAACCAGCAGTCCTATATATTTAGCCTTCTATGGGCTTGTTATCTGTAGTGTTGTAATATCGGTTATTCGCTGTGTAGTGTCCATGACAGTCAATGCCACTGGAACTGTGGGTGGCATAGCGGACAAAGTGTTTTGGGTCACAGTTAGATTCTTCTTACTGTCCACTGAGATGAGTGTTGTAATTTTTTGTCTTGCATTTGGTATAACAGTCTTATTGTTTATGAATATCAAGTTTAAGTATTACTCATGAATTCAATGTTTTGTTGTTTTTTGTAGGACACTTGGATAGTCGCTCAAGCATAAGAAGAGTACTTTTGGCAACGTCTTTTATAGCTTTGATTTTTACAATCACACAGGGAACGTTAGAATTAATCCTGCCCGATGACACTTTTCACATACCTAGCAGAGACTTCTATGTGTTTGGACATGGAGGAATGATGTTCTGGTTTTGTAGCAGCATCGTTTTTACAATGGTCATTGAATCATATGAGTAGATTTATCTATATTAATAATTTTTTACTGTAATAATAACATTGATTTGTTTCTTTCAGATATACGTATTAATACTTATTTTACCTTATACAAGATTACGCGAGCGTCTCGCTTTACCCAGTAAGTTTAAACCCAAGTGAAAGTGTGTGTCCCTCCATGTGGAAACCTTTGTGTGTATTTAATTTATGTGTTTATATCGCAGGTCGCAAAAGTTTTTATGTGTACGCCGGTCTCCTTGCAACGTTGGATTTGGTGCAATCGATAGGAGCTGGCTTACTCAATTATACGCAAAATCCTGCGGGATTATGTGTCGTCGACTTGACTGCCGCTATGTACTTGACATTTTTCACGCCATTGGTCTACCACACTTTCCTTTCAGAATTCTTTGGGTACGTTACGCGTTATTTAAGAAAACGTAATTTTCATTATGTGCGTCTTTTTCTGATTGTTTAATGTCCTGTGATATTGTTTATTTAATCACGAAATTACGAAATTACTTGCCTAATTTCAAATTGAAAACTTCTACTTTCATAACATTTATTTTATTTTGTATGAGAACCGAGTTTAAGTTAGTAAGTCAGCTTACCATTGAATTTTTATTACGATCATAAATGTTCAATGCTAAATATGTTGTAAATCTGTGCCTGTAACATTATTTCAACATCTTCGTATAGTAGCACAAATAATGGTTGTTTTATTTATTTATTTTTCGTTATTGTTGAAAGTAGCAAATAAATAATTCACGTGATAAAAAATTCAAGTAAATATAATATAATTCACGAAATTAAAAGGATCATTAAAATTTTATAGGGTGTCACAACCATCAATAATGTTCTCCTACAAAGCACAAGTGGACGACGCAATGGAGGAGGACACAGTGTCATTACCACATCAACAGAGCTTTAGTTCTCTGAAAACGGACAGCGATTACATATATCAGGTCCATAGTCCGATTTTTCATGCCCCGTTGTTCCACTCGCAACGTTTACAACAGCGACCCATGGCACAAAGTCGTCGTCTCGTTGGCAGCTCGTCACACGCGACTCTCCTCTATCACGACTACACAGCTCAACGTAGATTGCTTAATACACGCTCGGGTTCAAATTTCGGACGCACCAGTGCACCAGATTTAAGATTTAGGCGGGAGGAGATGAGCGAAGACGAGCCGACGACGAGCGCGTATAAAGTATTTTCGTCCAATGAAGTTGAGAATAGCTTGCACAGGATACTTGAGAACAAATTGAGCCACAAGACTGACGTGAAGATGCTGCCAACAACGAATCGGGAATCGTCTTCGTCCTCCGACTCTTGGAGCGAAGCTTTGTGAAAAACTTTATAGAAGGCTGATTATGTTTTATATCTAGGATTAATTATTACTGACAGTTGTACCGCGTGCCTGTGATACGATGATTCGACACTGAAGCATAATAATTTTCTCTTGCCCTTTTTATAGTGAGATAAATGAAAGTTTTTTTGTTTTTTTGTCCGTTTTCGTTCTTCTTATAAGACTTGTGTGTATATATATATATATATAGATCGATTTTTGCTCGATTAAACGTGTGCTTCTGTTTTCAATGTTCGTTGTTGGTCGTTATTTATTTATATCGCGAGGCTTGTTGGTGTACTTCATGGATACTGTCGTTATAGTGAATTATTAATTCGATTCTACATTAATATTGGTGCTATCGTTTTTTATGAATTTTAGAGAATTGAAAACTATTTTATCTTTCTATGAATGGAAATATTCCAAATAATCACGATAATTACAGCTAGAAAAGTTTCCCTCGAATACCTTTTTGGCATTTATTGAACAGTTGTGAATTCCGCGAAATATATATATTTTTCGATAAAGATATCAAAGCAGGAATATTATCAAGTAGAAACCTTACTTATAAATTCATTCCTGAAACTTGTTTTCACGCACTGAAAAGTATCATTATCTGAACGAGTGACGCACATCAACAAACTGCCTCAACCACCACCGTTCTCTCTCTCTCTCTCTCTCTCTCTCTCTCTCTCTCTCTCTCTCTCTCTCTCTCTCTCTCTCTCTCCCTCATTCACTTCCACCAAGTAGAAAACAAAACTCTAGCCGATCATATATTTATTTTTATTCCACCCACCTGACCGCACTACAGTAACTCGATACATTATTTTCTTTATTTATTCTCTTTCCAAACAAAGCCATTTGCTTGCAGAATCACAGCGTGTACGACTCGACACAGTTCGATGTGAACTCGACGCCTGTCAACCCTTTGTATGCAGCATCGTTGCAGAGTCCCGACAGCATTACTGGGTACAGCATCGACAGTGAGATTCAGCATCGCGAAATGAAAGAGCAGCAACAGCAACAAATGAAGGAGCAACCCAATGGCAACTATCAACAGTGATAGCCTTGATGTCCTCCTTTTTTCCTCTGCTCGATCGAGTGTAATTGCAAGTGATTTATCGAGGTGCGCGCAAGTCGGAATTCTTGACAAAAAAACAGTTGATTAATTAATGATCGACCGGACTTTGTTAACCAATAATTCAATGATATTTAAAACGAATAACTCGGTAAAGCAAAACAAAAACTAGCTAATGCTCGTAGTTTCTAAACCAATCTAGTCATCGGATTAGGATATTTTTTGTAAGGTTTAGAGGTGCGTTATTCAATTTTTGTAAACAATTAACGTACGTGAGGTGGCTGAAAAACGTTTTCTTTTTTAATTTTAAACTCAAAACTTTTATTCGCATTCCAAAGTATACTAAGTATTGTAAGGAAATTATGGTATGATTTTTTATAGGCTTGATAATTGTGTTTAAAACTTGTTTGCTCGAACAAAGATTATACAACTTTCTTTGTACTCATCAGTTGATTTTTTTATTAATATTCATGATAACGATTTTCAAGAATACTCGCATAACATAGATATTGTACGCTGTCGTGCGTCTTTGCATTTATGAAGCGTACGCAGATTTTATAATAAGATATTGTATTTTTTATAGTATTTTTGTTATTATCATAATATATCATTTTAACTGCTAAATTATTGTATTATTGTAGAATAAGAATGTAAAATGGATTTTGGTTGGTAGAGAGATTGTAATTAACAAATAAGTACTTTGTAAATTTGATTCACAAAAATTAGAATTTTCTTGATACGAATGGTGATAACTAAATAAAATGGTGCAATTTACCCTCTTTTTCTGAATAATTGTGCATTAAAGAAAGTTGAGATTTTCTCTCGTGTTTCGCATACTGAATTTAACTCCGTCCTGTAAATTTTTCATTTCTACTTACACTTGTTCGAAAAAGAGAAATGGTGTTGTTTTACCAAACTTTGGAATCTCATATTTTCTAGATTACTGGATACCCTGTATAAGAGTGATGATTGTTCACGAGTGTCGTCATTACTATAAAAGCTTATGATATAGGTATTCAAGGTTCTTCGAAAAGCAACCTTGTTTTCATATCGATTATAAAACTACTTACCAGTTAACGGTAATAAAAACTAATGAATTCCAACAAAAAACAAGCATGTATATAAAGAAGTACTGAGGTTTATAAATAGTAATAAAAATAATACTTAAAGATAAGACGTGTTAGAAGGTTGTATTGTTGCGGTTCAATTTTTACTAAAACAATTGTACAGCTTAGCTTGCTGTTTCGTAATCAAATTTTTTTCATAAAAAAATTCTCACACAGACATAATACTACTAATCTGAGCCCTTGTTGAAACTAAAATACGTAACGTCAGCCAACCGATTGCGAAAAAAATAAATGTCCGCATTTTTATACAAGATGTCAAAATCGGTCAATTCAATAAAATTCTTCTCTCAATTAAAAAATCATGTCAATAAATCATAATCGAACACGTCACACATGATCGACTCCAATTAAAATTGCGTATTCATAACTTTTTCGCGTAGCAAGCCGAAGAAATGCCAAGTTACATAAATCATTGTGTTAATTGTAAGTATATAAACGTCTCGCTTGCTATGCGTTTTTTTTTTTCATTCATTTACTCTTGACTATAATATTAAAGTGTGGTGGAGCATATAATTTTCTATTTTTGTAGGATGGTTGTCTTTGGAGAAAAAAAAATAAAACTGAAAGCTAACATTCGTCCTTTATTTTTACTTTTGAACCCCGCCTCAACCAAAGTTATTAGACAATATTCCCATTTAAAAAAATAACTTGCAAAAAAAGAATGAATAAATATGCAACGACCGTATTATCATAATCACGCTCGTTGCATGTTGAACCTCATTTACGTCATAGTGTACGTTTTTTCTCTCCTAATCTCACTTACGCGCGCATTGGAAAAAAACGCAGCTTTTTATATCTTCGATCGTGGCGTCAAGTTGTAACTCCACGTCTCGTGAACCGACGGATCGTCGCTGGACAAGCTCTCCAAGCAGCTGACATCTGCAAACGAGTGATGCGAGTCGTTAGAAAAGCAAATCGCGTCGCATTCACGCTGTTTTATCGAGCGGCAATTCATCGTCACGATCAATTGAATTTCAATGGCCAAACCGGATGACAATCTTCGCTGAGCCTCCGTGTTTATTTATTTCTTTTACCTCCAGTCCGCATGAAATCGACGATAGGCCGTCGCAGCACGCTCGACGGCACAGCCATGTTGAACCTCGGGTAAAGGACCGGCGAGGGCCCGGCGCTCTTGATGTTGGATACCACTAGCGCGAGCATCCTTCCGGTGAGGGCGTCGACGACGGGGCCACCGCTCGTGCCGCTCTGCACGCAGCAGCTGGTTTGCACGACGTGCGGCGTCACTCGACTCACGACACCGCGACTGTAGCTTGGCGGCGCGTCGCCGCCAAAGAACGGAAATCCAGCTGTCAGCACCGGCGTACCTGTGAAGGGCGACGTTTTCTTCTGTTTTTATTTATCTCCCTTTCTTTCCAATTGGCAAGAAGTGGGTCGGCGCCGACGCGGCGCTTTCATTCGATTGCGCGAATAGTGCGTCGTTCGGGCCAATCGAAAAGCACTCGTGGCTGGCGTCGTGGGCGAGCGCGCCAAGTCAACGACGAACCTTTGTGGGGCAATTGCTCGGCCAACTCCAGGAACCTCCACCGCCGGCAGCGGCCGCCGCGCGGCAGCCTTAGCACGGCCACGTCGTAGGGTCGTTCGTCGGGCGTCCGGTAGACCAGCTGCGCCTCCTCAGTCCCGACCCGCACGCTCTTCGACGCCGACTGCGACAGACAGTTGAGGCTCGTCAGGCAAGGAGAGGAGCGCGAGCTGCGCCTGTCGCGCGAATGATCCCTCGACCGAGCGCCGCGGTTGTCGAGGCGCCGACGAGCGGCTGGCTAGAAAAATCGAGCTGCGTTCGGTTGTTGGCGCGCAAGTCCCCGCGGCGATCGCGCGGCTGAGTGTATCCGGTTATTGGCGCACTCTCACTAACGACGGCGACTGTTCCTCTCCTCTGTCTTTGATGTTCGCCGCCGTTATTGGCCGCAGCGGGAGATATCGTTTTCGTTTCTCTCGTTTTTTCCGGCTCGTGGAGAAACCCGCTCTCGGGCCGTCAGCGCGCTCACCTCGCGGACGACGTGCGAACAGGTGAGCACGGTCTCGTAGTCGAGCAGCACTCCGGTGCCCCAGCCGGCGCCGCACCGGACCAGCGCCAGGCTCCCGTCGAGCGAGTCCACCGGGGCGGTGCTCGGGGCGGTGCTCGGGGCGGCGCTCGGGTCGTTGGCTCGCAGCAGGCGCTGCAGGCAGGGCCGCAGACTCGCCGCGAAGCTGTGGCCAACCAGCTCGCCGCGGCACCAGCTCCGGCTCGTGAGCAGCATGCCCACCAGCCGTCTGCCGCCTCGTCTGCGCTCGGACAGGCCAACTTGAGAGGCGCCGGACAGGGAAACGACGGGGGGGGGGGGGGGGGGGGGGGGGAGGGCTGGCTACCTCAGCGCGAAGACGGGCGCGCCCTCGCAGCCGGGCAGCGCGGGCGCGTCGCTCATGAGCAGGCAGCCGTCGGCGAGCAAGTTGCTGGCGAGGCCGCGCGACACCGAGCCGAGGAAATCCGGGCACGCGAACGGCGCCGATTCCAACTCTAGCGCGGCGCCCCGGGCGGCTCCCTCGGGCAGCACGGCCAGCAGCCGGGCCAGGCTCGCTGCGGCGGCCGCCGCGTCGCCCAGCCCGTCGGGCGCCACGAGCACGAACACCGTTAACAGGCCACGTGCGTCATCGAAGCTCCACGCGGAAAGCAGCTCGGCGAAGGCCCGGCGCAGCAGCGGGCAGCGCCAGGCGAAGCTCCGCGAGCCTGCGCGCTCCAGCAGCTCCGGGCCCGACCTGCGACAACTCGAGGCGCTAGGTCAGCGGAGGCGGTGGCGTTCGGCGACGGGGGCTCTCACTGGTGGCGCACGCGCAACTCCAGCTGCAGCGCCGTCGGGCCATCGTCCAGCGCGGCCAGGTCCACGACACTGTGACGCAGCAGCGAGCCGTGGCTTAGCACCCAGTCGTCGGCCAGCAGTATGCCCGAGCAGACTGTCCGCTCGTCCAGCGACACCAGCGCGCATCTTGCCTCCTCCATCGCGCTTCTTCGGCCTGTAATGACAGAGAGGTGGAGACTGCCCGCAGCTGCCGGCCTCGTGGACGCGGCGCGTCGGCCGATCGCGAGAGAGGCTGGTTACGGAAAATTTCGCTCGCAGCGAGAAAGTCGCCGCTCCAGCAATTGGAGAGGAGCGCAGCTAATAATCGGAACGTTCGATCTCGATTGGCGCAAATTGTGTCGCGCAAGACTTCAATATCCATCAGCCGTCTCGGCTGATTACGCTGCGTCGACCTCCCGAAAGTGGTCTGCCTGGTCGAGGCCTCCGTCACGAGCTTTCGGCTCGATGAACGCTCGGCTATCTCCAAGTGCCTCGCGGAACGTCAATTTTGGAGTCCGAATTTGTTACTTCTCGAGCGCGTCGGTGAACTTTTCGAAATATTCAACGCGACGTCCGCTCGAATTTGAACGCGGCCATGTCTGGAATCAGATCTGAGTCTTGACTTCGAATGTGCGGCAGAGAAACGAGCATAGTCGCGGTGGCGACTGCAAACGAGTTGGCAGTTGAAATTTCCGCGAAACACTGTTCAAACGGTCGTTAATCGTCAAACGTCATCGCGACAAATATCGTCCTCGCTCGACTGCGCAAAAGTCCAACGTAAATTTCGATGTCGGAAATAATAGACATTCCTATGTCGTGACATCGAATTCCGTATAAAAGCAAGGCCGGCAGTCTAAAAAGAAAAGAGAAAGAGAAATAATGCAAAGATGAAAAAGAAAAATGAAACAGGATACATTTTCAGCGTATCAGCGTCCGCGCGGCCGTTGCTGCACATCGAGTTTTTCCCGAGCACGGAGCTATCGGTATTAGCCCGTCTCGAGTGAGTCACGTAATGGGCGCGCTCTTTGATCGGCGTGGACGTGCGCAAGCGAACAATGTGTCGCGGCGCGAGGCTGACCGTGAGCGGGCCGCGCGCTCCCGATATCGGTCAGCCCGCAGCCTCGCCCGCGACGACGACAGGTTGTTTACCTCGCGCGCGCCGGCGAGAAGCCAGCCGCTCGAGCGCACCGAGTGGTCGATTAGCATATCTGCCTCGCGCGCAAACCCGTCCGTCTCTCGCGAGTGCGCCATCGAGGCTCTCAAGGTCCCGCGATTCCGCGCGCGCATCCACGCGCTGATTGATCGTGCGAGCGCGGTCGTCGCCGCGAAAGACAGAGAGAGAGAGAGAGAGAGAGACCTTCGCCAGGCAGTCTACCCGGCGTGCGTGCCGCTGAGTCAGAGTCGCTCGCGGCATCAATTAAATCGCGGCCGGGCGAAAGGGCGTCGCGGAGCACGCTCCCTCGCGACCTTGTTCCGCGCCAGACTCGCTGGCGCGGCCGCGCGCGGCTTAATTGGCATGCGGCCGCGCCGCCGTCGGGGCCGGCGCAAAAATCCTCGACTAGCTGTCTCGCGCGCCGCGGGATAAGCCGACGCACGCAGGTGTGGACCAACAGCGACGGGCGAGGCCTTCTCGAGGAGCGCATTGTTAGCCGATTCCCAAGGCCCAGAGCAGCGCCAGCCCCGGTGGACCGGCCCGAGCGAGCGGGCAGACGAGTTTTTCTCTCTCCGTTCTCTTTTTCTGCTCGGCATCGCCGCGACCACGGCAGACCGCCTGGCACCTAACGCGACGCGCTCGGTGGAGCGAGCGGCCTGCCTCCAAGCGGACGAGGTTCGCCGCGATTGAGACGCCGCGCGGGAGCTTTCGCCGCCGTGCGGCATGTCTCCGGTCGCTCATTCCCACGCGAGAGCCCGATGCGCTTGCCTTTTTCTCTTCCCTCCCCTCCCCCCGAGGGCGTGAAGACTCTCTCTCCCTTGGTCGAGCGAGGTCGGGGCCGCAAGTAGTAAGACATCACGTATGGTCAGCCGCCGGCCTCTCCCCGCGCCTTGCCCCGCGCGCGTCAATTAAGGGGACGAAAAGCCGGGCGAGTCAGGGCCACGCGCTGCGCGTGCGCGCTTAACGAGCGTGCGTTAGCCTTCGAGGCGGTTCGCCTCGAATGAATTATGAATCGGATCGCGAATGCGTATCAGTATGCCGCCAGCGTCGCTGCCACGCTGTCTACTACTACTCGCGCGAATCTTCTTTTTGCCAGCCCGCCCCTTGCGCTTCCTTTTGGCATTCCGCCGCCAGAGCGAGAGAGAGCGGGACTCGTGTAATATGCATGAGGAAAACCAGTGCGGGATTAAGCGCAACCGGTTCGGCTGCGAGCGTCGCGCATTAGCGCGACGGCTACGCGCGCGCTCTCGCCTCGACTCCCGCGATACGCCGCGACTGCTGTGCGCGCTTTCCTCCGCTCCCGACGCGAGCCGCTCGCTTATCGATGTATACTCGGCATTGCCTTGACAATGAAGCTTCGCTTCTCTCGCCGAAAGGGAGATAATTGCTCCCTCACGGATTGCCGCTCCGTCGGCGGTCGTAGATAGTTTCGCGCGTTCGCTTCCCTTTTGGCACTCGCGTGGACTCTGACGTTGCCTCGCGCGCCGCTCTCCGAATCGTGACCGCGCGCTCGCAACCCCATCCGCGCGTCTAACAGTCAGCCGCTTGCGTCAGGACTATTTTCGGAAGAAAATGCTGACTTCCAAAAATAAATAAATAAATAAAAAAAAAGGGCCGAGGAGAGCTTCTGTGATCAGGAGCTTCACCGGCTCATAAATTACGATGGTGATGAGGCCAATTCAGGATCCGCTAATAATAGCGTGCCAAGGCAGGAAAAACACGTAGGAGGAAACCCACACCCTTGCCCGCGTCTACTTGTTCGCAGCCTAATTATCCCGCTTAAGCGGATGAAAGAGAGAGAGAGAGAGAGAGAGAGAGAGAGAGAGAGAGAGAGAGACGCGATGACACTCGAGTGCGAATGACGATTGAGCTGCGATAACGACGGGCTCACTTAATTTTTTTTTTTTTATTCCATTCGCGCTGTGGACTGCTTTTAGCTCGTGTCGGCGCTCGACAAACAGACGGACGGACTCGTGTCGTTGGGGGAAAAAAACGGAAAAAAAATCCTCGAGCGTCATGGCGTTGCTCGCTCGCGTATTCGGCAATCGTTGCGCGCTCACAGCGAAATCGCGAAGGCCATCGTCGCATTCTCCGTGAGGAGCTTGCGCGCGCGCGTGGCTCTCGCAAGCGCGTCCTACGGGTAGCAGAGCCACCGATGCAAGACTATCGTCGAACTCCGGTCGCAAGAACAGATCGAAGTGAATCCGGTGCGCGAGGATAAGGGTATCGAAAAATAAATAAATAAATTCAACAAAGGAAAATAGAAAAAAGAGAGGGAAGTGTTTGTTTTCCACCGCAACTGATGAAAAATACGAGGAGCCACTAACACGATCGGCCATCAGTCATCGGTCGGCACTCGGGAATATTTCCCCCCTCCCCGAACTCGAATGGAAAAGAAGCATCGCGACCGTACCCCCTCGGGCGCGTGACTCATGCATCACCGCAATATCGGCACGTATTACGCGATCGAGTCCTCCTCTCGGCAAGGAGAAGCAGCGCGTTCTGACAATAACGACGCGCGTTAATAAGCCAGCAGGTGTCCGAGCGCGTGGCGCTTATTTTCGGGGCGCACGTCAACGCTCGATGATGAGTAATGCACTCGAGACTGATTTGCATAGGGTGAATCATCGCCGGGATCGAGAGCAAGTTGATTTTTCTTTTCTTCTTCAGTTTTTTTTTCGTTTCATCGCGCGCCGCAGAGAGAAAAAGAGACTGGTTTGACGCGTGCGTTCGCAGACTAGTAGCGTTCACGGGCTTTGGTCAGACGTCTTATTTTTCCTTTTTGTCCGGAACGGGTACGGTGATGAGCTGGAAGCGAGGACTCGTCGGAATCGGCGAATTTGGAAACGCTTGGCATAGTTAGCGGGAAAGACGAAGGCTATGGTTTCGAAGCATTCCAACCTCGAGGCGATGATTTTTGGACCAGTGACAGGCCTGATTTGGAAAGGAAGGGTCGACGTCATCCGCGAAGATGCGCCATCTTGGAGGTGCAAAGCCGCGGGTGACGGGTCTGGAGGGCGACGAGACGGCTCGTTACGTATCGATGCGGCAGCCTCGATCCGCGCAATTAAGGCCGCGCCGACTCGAACGGATAAGCCCCGCAGCGGGTGAGCTACACGCGCGCGCGCTCGCGATACACATTGTCGCTCTCAACATAACGCTACGGAGCGACGATGCTGTCCCCTTACACCCCCCTCGACGCGCCGTTCGCGCGGCTCACTCGTCACCTTGGCGGCTCGGCGCATCTCGCGAGCACGCGTCGGCCGAAATGTCCAAGATGCGAACGCCAACGGCCACCCTATTTTTGGATGAACACTCCCTTGCGGAAGCGTGACGGTTTCTCCCCGATGTTCTTTGCCAATCAAAACGCACGTACGGTTCACTCGAGATCCCGAGGGAAAAGAAAAAACGGAGAAGCGATTCTTCAATTTTTGTTTTCCCACAATTTTGCAGTTTTTACATCATTGACGTAATCATCGCGCTGCTTTTTGCGTATTTTTATGTATTTTTTTTCAACGGCGTGACTTAACATCGCGTGCAACAATGTTTTTTCACTTTATTCTCAATTGCTGACGATTGTGTTCGCGCAACTCCGCGGGAACGGTGAAACAGAGGACACGCGTTCCCCCAATGCGCCGCGACATGTTGGAGATTTTGAAAACCGCGCTGGAGGCAGCGTCGGTCCAGTGAAGAAGCAAAAAATAAAATAACAACAACGCTAATAATCCGCGGATTTCGGTAGAAATGCCTCCACAATATAATCAACAGTGCGACGTCGCTGCAATTTCCGGCAAAGAGAGACAGCGAAGAAAAATGAAAAAAAAAAGGCACCCTCGCTCGGAAAAAAAATAGCACGACGGTTGTTTACTCGGTACGAGCACACGCGCGAGCATACGAGAGCAAAGCAACAGTTGCCCACTACAGGAGCACACGGCAGCGGCGCGCGGGCAGTCGGCGAAAGGGCAAGGAAGCGAGAGTCGGACGGCGGGCGGCGCTCCCCCTCCCCTCCCCCCATTCCGGCTCTGCGCGCGTGGGGTAGGTGGAAGGAGGAGGGGGCGCGGCACCTGGCCCGACAGTATATCAGGCGCCGAGCGTCGCGACGCCCCGAGCACAAGTCCGCGAGCCGCCGCCCCCGACGCACACCCAGCAGCTCGCAACTCGGATCAACAAGTGGCTGGCGCAACTGCAACTCTTTCCCTCCGCCTCTAGCTTTGTTTTATCGAGGTACGTTCGCCTAATACTCTTCCGGCCGTCGACCGGGACTCGCCTCGCGCTCGCTCGCTCGCTTTCTCTCTCTCTCTCTCTCTCTCTCTCTCTCTCTCTCTCTCTCTCTCTCTCTCTCTCTCTCTCTCTCTCTCTCTCTCTCCGTCCCTCTTACTCTCTCTCAGCGTTATGCGAGACGCGCGCTCCGCGGTCGACGGCGGTTACTTGCCAGTCTCACAGCCAAAGTCGAATTACACGGAGCAAGACGAGCTTTATGGCATTTGCTCGACTATTTATAAGTACGGGGGATCGATATCCGCAGTTTTAGTTTCACGGTGTCGAATTTTTCAAGCGCAGTCCGACGCGCGAGCGATTCCGTTCCCTTTTCGGCCAACGAAATTCGTTATCAGCTGAGCCGCATTCGCTGCATCAAAGTCGCCCCCAGGAGCGCGTTTCCAGGCGCGTTGTTCCGTAAATCGACGACGGGCGACAAATTCAGGCGCTCATTGTCGATGCCTGTCGCAAGTGAATCGAGCCCCGCGGTGATCCGAGCCCTTGCGAGGATCTTCGTCAGGACAAACTCATCGAAATAACCGTGTCGAGCGACGAAAAAAAACGACAGCTTTTCCTTTTTTATTTCTATCAGTTGTCGAGCGAAACGTTGACGAGCTTCACATTCAGAGTGCGTTGTTTTGAGTACATCAGTCGCTTTCTGAAATTTATGGAAATCCGCGATATCACTAGGCTTACAATAGTAAATTGCGGAATTTCTTCAAAAATAATACTCGCATGCGACAGAATTTCGCCTTTCTCACTCAACTATCGCTTCTAAGACCCCTTCAAAAGTATTTTTCGTAGAGTTGTGGGAAACAGCTTGGGATATACCTTGCGACTACAACGGTACGATGGCACGAGAAACTGAAAATACATTTTTTTTCCGTAAAGAAATGTGTCGTCGCGTGGATTTATCGTGGATCTTTGAGGTGTTTTAACATTACGCGATGCACTACTGGCACGAAAAGCAAAGTTACATACTTCTCGGTCGAGAATAACTTCATCTACCATCCATCTTTTCGTATTTCATAGAAATGGAAAAAAGCTTATTCTTTTTCCCGGGTGATCGATATTTTCTTCACAAACGAGATGTTTCCTTGACTTCGAGAATTTCGCATGGCACAAGTTTCGGAGAGCAGCGTCTCCTCTGGGCTCTTAGCCGTCGAGAGGCAGAGCGAGAAACGTCGTACTGCCTCGCTCCACCTACGTGGCGGACGGTCGAGAAAGGGCGCGCACCGCGAGTCTCGGCAGCGCGATCCGGCGGCCGACGACTCTAGAGGCGCTGATTCTGGCGAGCAGCCCGGAGGCCCGCGGCCGGGTCCGGGCTCGCAGCCGGCGCTCGGTGGGTGTGTCGCCGGCGGTGTCGGCGTCGAGCGACCCGAGCGCTGCGCGCGAAGCGTCGAGAGAGAATCACGCGCCGGGGATAATCGACTGAGGGAGAGAGCGAGAGAGAGAGAGGCCACCGAGGGCCAGTTGAAAGCCGTGAGAAAGAGCGAGCATGTGCCAGGCGGCGCGAGTGCGCCCAGGCCGACTGGCACGGATACGGGCATTAACTCATCAGTCGAGCGAGAGCGCGCCGCCGGTCCGCAGCGCGTTCGCCGCCACCGCCGCCGTCCCGGCCGTGGCTGAAGCAACGACTCTCGGTGCCCGACGACCGCGCCGAGGCATGCGCGCCGCCGCGAGCCGCCGCGCCAGCGCGTAGCGGCCCGAGAATGCCGCGGCGCATTGTTTCACACAGGCCGCCGAGCGACGCCAGCGTCATCAACGTCGCCGCAGCGGAAGAGGGGACCACTACGAGCATCCGGGTAACTTCTCTATCTCTCTCTCTCTCTCTCTCTCTCTCTCTCTCTCTCTCTCTCTCTCTCTCTCTCTCTCGCTCGCGCGCGCACTCGCATGCTCTCTTCGCTTTCCGGGCGCCCGTGGTCCCCCGAAATCTCCGATCTAATCGCCTGGCCATGCCTCCTCGATTGATCGCGGCAATTGGCGCAGCGATGCCAATCGCCGCGGCGAATTGGGGTAAAGCTCCAGCGAGCTTTTCGTCGGCGCGCCACCGCCGAGAGCTCGTCGATCGTCCTTGCACCCCTTTTATTATACTCCCCCTCCCCCCAACCCTTTTATTCTCGTTATCGACGCTGCCCGGGGAAAATTGCTTTTCGATCAGAGACGCTGCGGCGCGCGACCTCGCGCTCTGCGACTCGCGACGAAGGATAACTCCGTCTCGGAAACCAAGGCCTCGGAATTGATGGCTTCCGCGAGGAAGAATTAAGATTCAATGCGAACCGAGGTGCATACGTGACCCGAGCGAAATGCAATTATCGAGCCGGCCTGTGTGGGATAACGCGCAACGTATCGTATAACTCGGTTGCCGAGAATAAAACGCGCTTAATGGCGATTCGCGCCGGCTTGCTGCACGCCAGCAATGCAATTATCCTGGGCATTATTACGCGGCGCGTCGGAGGGATCGCGCTGCTTTCCTTCTCTCCTCGTCCATCCCCCATTTTTTTCGCAGCGCGCCTTGGGCAATTTTTCGGCAACTAGAGCGTTATTTCGAATATCATTGAAGTCTCGCTGGCGCTCAACAATGCGGAGCAGACGAAAGCAAGAGAGCGTCGTCGATCTCAGCGAGTTGACCAACGGCCGACTACGGCTGCCGAAGCTCGATCGTCCAAGGAACATTATCGGCAAGCTGTCGACCGATCGAGAGCAGACGGGCAACGCGAAAATCGGTCGTGGCACCGGACTTCGCATTCGACCGGACAACCAAAGAAATTCGTCGCCGATCGGCTCGCCGAGAGAACAAAAATTAATCACTCGCGTTCCCGCGCAACGATCGATACTCTGCGCTTACCAAGCGCGCGCCTCGCAGCTCGGCGTCGAAAGGGAAAAAGCCGATATAGAGAACCCAAGCGCAAAATCGGCGCGTACCGCCGTAGATCCGCGGCCCGGGGCCGCCGAGAATGCAGAGAGCTACGCGCGAACGGCTGTCGGTCGATGACGTCAGTCTCCGTCAAGACTCTTCGGAGTGTTGCGCGCGACGAGGAGACGCTACTGCCGCGGGCGTCCCGAGTGCCCGACGATCGTTCCGCTGATCACGCGAGATAACCGGCGCTCGTTCTCGGAAGCCTATCGATCGGTCTATTTCCGAGAGCCCACGCACTTTGGGCACTGCCACGTGGCCCGCAGTGGCGATTGCGCGCACTGTTTCTCCCACGTTAGAACATCCTTTTTCCATTCGTCTCAAGACGTACTTCCGCCCCCCCCCCATCGTTGATTATCGCCAGTCATCGGTCTGATTCTGACTGGGAAAAATCCGAGAACAAGTCGCACGTGCGCTCGGCGATATCGCTAAGGCGTATCTCGAAATCGTTGCTCTTTCCCGAGCAACGGTTTTTCGGACTGCTCCCGTGCACTCCCCTCCTGTTCCTTCCGCGCGCGTTCGTCGGACGGCTCTCGTCGTTAAAAGTAGGTCTCGGGCGTCGAATTTCGCGCTTTCTAAACTCGACGCGTAAGAGTTGAGCGCGCGATCGCTTTACGATCCTCCGCGGGCGTCGCAAACGCGAGCGGAGGACAAGCGCCATGCGCCGACGCGCTCCGCCGTGTGTACAAACAAACCTGCAGCGAGCACCGAGTCACCGGTTGATGCAATGCTCGAGCCGAGTTTTGTGAATGAAGCCCGCTCCCGCGCTGTACACGCGTCGGCGAGCTATTTCGGGACGCGTCTTTCCGCGAAACGCCTCGGCCACCACTACCGCCGCCGCCACGGGCATGCTCGGGAGGAGCGCGCGTCTGCCCTTTGATCTCGTCGGAAGCCTTGACTGGCGCTGGGTGTGTGCGTGACCTCGGAGATGCGAGAGAGCGAGAGAGAGAGAGAGAAAGAGAGAGAGAGAGTCGGACGCGCGCATCTTTTCGCAGCCGGCGGTCCGGTAGATCACCGCCGTCGTCGGTCGGCGAGTCCTGTCTTCGCGTCCCGGAGTGCGCGGTCCCTGACGAAGGCGCGGCCGCAACGCAAAAAAGCTCGCGCGTCGCAATGAACTTGGACAGCGTGCGGCGGAGAAAACGGAGTCGAAAAGCGCATCTCGCGGGGGGTCTCTCTCCGTCTCGCGCTCTCCGGTCGCCGCGGCTCCGCGGTCACTCTCGCGAGAAGTCGCAGTCCTCTCTCGCACACACACGCGCGTGCGCTCGCGCAAGTGGGGGGAGAGTAGCGCGGCGATTGGCCGGCGCCTTGGCCATATTATAAGCGAGTGCACTCGCGCGCGCTAGTTAATGTTAGCAGTCCGAGCTGTGTGATCGCGTCGCTCTCTCGTGTTCTCTCTCTCTCTCTCTCTCTCTCTCTCTATCTTTCTCTCGCTTACTTCTTCGCGAGACGTTGCCTTGTTTTTTCTCCGCAAAGTGCAGTGAACCGTGTCGAAAGCGACGGCGAGCGCTGGCTGCGTCCGACCGAACCGAAAGTGCGATCGAGTGACGGTGAAGCAAAAGCAGGCTCGAGCTGTTCCCGAGGGGGCTGACCCAACGCCGCCGACGCTCCTTCTCGTTGTTCCTGGGAGCGCCAGACAGCGAGAGCAGCGCAAGGGTGCGAGGTGAGACGCGCCTGCGTTCGTGCTGAGCGACGATGGGCGCGGGACGGGGACCAGGTCGCACGTGATGCAACGTCACACGGGAACCTTCCAAGTGGTTTCGTCGAGCGGCGTTGGTCGGCGAGCGCGCCGAGGACTCGCCGGAGAAAAGTCCGCGTTTCAGCGTGAATCGTGTCGGTCGCGGCGTCGCCATCTTCCTCCGTGCCAATGGAAAAACTCGCGGAAACGATGTGCGCAGGCGAACCCGAAGTCGGCTGGCTCGTAGTGGCCCGCGAGTGTCGGCGGCGTTCTCGGGCCCTTTTGGAGGAGGCACATCCGGCATGTGAGCCGTTCGCGACCGGCCGATTTTCGGTCGGCGCACTCCGGTGGATAAGCCGACCAATGGGCGCGCCGAGCGGGCGAGCTGTCGAGGTTTTCTGTCCCCTCCCGCCCCTTGAGAGGGCTGGCGGAGTGTAAGGACTCCACCCCTTCGGCGCTGAATTCCGCCAGTCGGTGAGCTGTGGCGCCTTCGAAGTCACCTCGCTGCTCGTACTGCGATCGTCGCTCGCGCCCTTCGCCAAATTGACGCGCTGCCCTCGCCACTCGTCAGTGCGCGAGTCATCGTGTGGGTTGTTCGCCTTTGCCAGCGATTTCGAGACTGTGTCATGCCGCGAAAACAAAACCTGCGCCCCCGACGTCCACGAGTACCGCGTCGACATCCCCGGCGAGCTACTCTTGGCCGTGCGAAGCGGCCGCGTAATACTCTCTTTCTCGCGAGGAAAAAAAGAGTCAGGTTATGCAATTGCGACGGGCGATAAACACGAAGAAAAACTCCATTACGTAACGGCGCGCCGCGAGAGGACTCGAGTCATCGGCGGCGTCGTCGTCGTCGACGTCGCCTTCTTCCCCTCGGCGTTTTCCGGCGTGCGTTGCGCAATGCCGACGATCCAAGCTATCAAGGACAGGCCTCGCGTTATCGATAGAGTTTTTTTTTTCCTTTTTTTATTCTTTTTACCTCGGGTTAGCCGTTTATCGCGTTGAGACAATGCTTATCTGCGCGTCGAGCGATGGAGGGGAAGGAGGGAAGTCCGAACATAGCGCGACAAAAAATCGTGAACTGAAAAAGTGAACGGGATCTCGACGCGCGCGCGAAAATTGCGTCAGCCGGACTCTTTCGAGATCCGCGTTTGCTCAACTCGACGTCGGGTAAACGTGCTCTCTCGCGCTCTCTCTCTCTCTCTCTCTTTCTCTCTCCCTCTCTCCTCCGAGACGGTGCTCTCCCCTTTGGTAGAGGATGCGGCGGGCGATCTCACGAGTCGGGCGACGCGGTGCGTCGTCGACGGGGAAACGCGGCGGCGATAAAACGACGCGCGGCGGCGGAGCGGAGCCGAGCTCGCGCCAAGCTGTCTGTGCCGGTGGCGGCGCGCTACTTCTCACCTCTCTCTCTCTCTCTCTCGCTCTCTCTCTCTCTCTCTCTCTCTCTCTCTCTCTCTCTCTCTCTGCCGCTGCTCTCGACGAGATACACACGTATATATCTAAATATATATATATACAACCGCAGCGGGGATAAACATAGCGCGGCGTGCGAAGGCAGCGAGGCTGCTCGCTTCTCAGCCTGTAATTTCGGAGTCGCCGCCTCGTTGCCTCGATCGATTTATAGGAGCGGCCTACATACAAGCGACGCACGCACGCGGGGCCCTTTTTCTTTTTCTTCCATCTCGAAGACCAGTTTTTTATTTTTAGAAGCGACTCTTCCTCTTCTTCTGTGCTCGAGAGAGAGAGAGAGAGAGAGAGAGAGAGAGAGAGAGAGAGAGAGAGAGAAAGACCGTGAACCCTTTGACGAGGCCTGCAATTTCTTTTTGTGGGTTTTGTTAACAAGATGCTCGCCGGCTGCTTAACGCGGAGTAGTCGATCGTCGCGCGAAACATATCTGGTGAAAAGAGCGAGAAGCGAGCCGCGCTGTCTCGACGTGAAAAAAAAGAGCGAGGGAACGCCTCGGCAGGTGCAGCGGCGGCGGCGGCGGCGGCGGCGAGCAGCCTTGAGCGATCTTTGCATAGCGATCGAAACTTCAGCGCGGGACGTTGACGCGCGCTGACGTAATTGCTCTTTGGCCGCTTATCAACGTGGAAATTACGGGGCAGGTGCGCTCTGCAGGCTCCGCCGTGGCGTGGACGACTGCCACCCCCCTTCTCTACCCGGGGCTCATTGGACCGCCGTAGCTCCGCGGCCGAGAACGGAGAATGTCGATGCGGTCGTCACCCTTGACTCCTTATCGTTGCGAGAGCCCGCGCGCGACCGCAAGTTCGGCTGTTTACAAAGACGCGCCGGCTTCGACGTGCAGTTTCGATCGGTCACCGCCGCGTGCAACGTCAAAGCTACATAGCTGCGCCCCGAGCGATCGCGAGCGCGAGCATCAATGGGAGCTCGGCGTTGGTACGCAGCCGGAAAGGCAGACCGTTCGTTCGCGAGAGAGCTGACGAGCTTATCTCCGATAAGGACGCGCTCCTTGCTCTCGATTGCCGCGGCAGCGCGAGCCTCGAAGGTCGCTGCTCGACTCGGTCGTGTATCTCAAGTCAAGCGGTGTCCTCGCCAGTCGGAAAGGGATCTCGTCGATTTGGGCAGCGTGAGCGGTCGCGTCGATCGAGACGTCGACGCCACCCAATCGCATGGATACTCGCGCGCTCGTTCCGCGGGGCGAGTATATCGCCGAGCGAGAAAGAGAGAGAGAGAAAAAGTAAGCGCGTGTTGCTTCCGCGGCAGTAGGCCAACGATCTTATATAATTATCCTCTCGACGCCATTGACGTCACTGCCATGTGGCACTAGGCTGTATTTAATCTCGCGCGCTTTGACGGCGTCGGAGAATCCGGTTGATCTTAGCTCGCGCGCAACGTCAACTTTTGCACGCGGGTGGGGGACATTCGCGATATCGCGTGAATTTTCCACGGCCGTGTCCGACTGGTGCGCTCTCTCTCTCTCTCTCTCTCTCTCTCGCTCGGCGATATATTCGCCCCGCACCGACTCGAGTGCGACGGCAAACATCTCAATCCCGAATCCCACGCGTTCTCGACGAGGGTTTACAGTAAAAGCTTTTTAGCGTGACTGCTCTTACGCGCAGTTAATTACGTTACGGGCTGGAAACAGTAAGAGCGATTTGATAGTCCGTGGAAAAACCGGTTTCCCATTGCGGTCGGGGAAGGAATGGCGGGGGGCGTTTATCTCTCGCGGTGATAAAAAGGAGGATTTACAACGAAAACACTTGGCCCGACACATTTCCGTTCTGATGAAAAAAAAAAGAAAATAAAAGACCTCGCGGATTCGGTGCCGATTGCGCGATTCACTAAAATTAGACGCGCAGTTCTTTTGTCCAGAGAACGAGGGGGGAGAGAGGGGGCACGTGTTCGCGGGTATATTGAATGGTAACGCTGGAGTTCGCAAAAAAGCGCGAGGCTCGTTCGTTGACTGATTTATATGGACGGCGAGCGGCGGGCGACTCTAATTAGAGGACGATATACCCTTTTAATTCTGCCGTTTCGTGCGCTCCTTTTTCTCCTACGCGGCCGACACTTTTCCGCAGCGCTCGTGTTTTCGGAGATAACGTTCAGCCTTTCCTAAAAAAAAAAAAGAAAAAGAACGAGCGAGATCCGCGCTGCGCCCACGGAGGCGGAGAAACCGGATCGATTACGGACAATCCGCCGGCCGCCTCCCGCGGCAGCGCTTCCCTCGCGATTGAGTCATCGTCGGACCACCTGGCGCGCGCGCGCAAGGGAGCGAAGGAGTTGCGTTCTATTTTTAGCGTGTGTTTCGGCGAGCGGAGAGTCGTCCGCCGACGATATGTCCCGCGCGCGCGCGCGGGCGCTTTCCTTTCTCTGCTCGATTCCCACGGCTGCGGCGAATCGATCGCCGGCGGAGAGAGAAACGTCCGCGAGATTTCGCGCGCGGTCGGCGAACCGGTCTGCCGCCCTCTCCCTCGCCGACGGCCGCCAGGCGAGAGCCTGGAGCGACAATGAGCGAGAGAGAGAGAGAGAGAGAGAGAGAGAGAGAGAGAGAGAGAGAGAGAGAGAGACAGTGAGAGAGAGGGAGAGAGACCGAGCTAAAAATACAACGAGTGCTAATGAAGTTGTCGGCACACCTGCCGCCGCGAAATCCGGCACGCGCGCCCGTTACGGGTCCGCGCGATCGGCGCGGCCGTGAAATCGATCGCCGCGTAGAAAGTACGGCGCTCAGGCGAGAGCGCGCGAGCCCGCGCCAGTCGATTCACTTTTACTGATCGGCGCCTCCGTTCCGCAGACGATGCAGCGTCGCCACCAGCGAGAGACAGCGCGGTGCAGTGCCGCCGGCCCGAGGACGCCGGCCAGCACGGCCGCGCTGCTATCGGTGCTGGCCTGCTCGCTGGCCATCCTGCTGGTGTCCACGTGCCTGGGCAGCGCCGAGGCGGGCGCCCTCATGGGCCATCCCTTCAGCAAGCGCTCCTTCATGGACATCCAGTGCAAGGGCGTCTACGACAAGAGCCTCTTCGCCCGGCTCGACCGCATCTGCGAGGACTGCTACAACCTGTTCCGTGAGCCGCAGCTGCACACTCTCTGCAGGTACGCGAGCGACGCGCGGAAGAGCCCCGCTCGACGCCCGCCGTCGCTACCGCCGTCGCCGCCGCCGCCGCCGCTCTCGCGGATCGAAACTCGCGGATTTCTCTTCTATTTATAGCATCCAGCGGCGAGCGCGAAACCAAGTGTGCACGCGCGTGTCCGTTATTATCCGGCAAGCGCACGAACGAGCCCGAGAGAGAGAGAAAGAGAGAGAGAGAACTCTGGCGCGCGCGAACGCGGATTTACGAGAGCGTAATTCAGCCTCTTTTCATCGTTGCCGCCGCCGCCGTGGAGAAACGACCGCGCTCTAAAATTACGCAGCCGAACTGCCAAGATCGCGCGAAAATTCTTCTCGCTTTGGTTCTATTTTGTTCTTCGTTTTTTCTTTTCCGCTCTCGGGGGACGAGAAGAAAATCTCGGCTTTCCTCGCGAGCTACGTTTTCAGAAAGGGAGCAAGAGAGAGAGAGAGAGAGAGAGAAAGAGTCGTAAGATTCTGGCGAACCTTCTTTTGCAGAAAAAACTGTTTCACGTCGGACTACTTTAAGGGCTGCCTAGACGTGCTGCTGCTGCAGGACGAGATGGAGTGGATACAGACGTCCATCAAGACACTCCACGGTGCTGATCCTGGGGTTTAGGTGCTTTTCCTTTTTTCGTTTGTTTATTTTGTTCTCTTCTTCTTCTTCTTCTCCTCCTTCTTTTTTATTCCCACTTCTCCTTTCCCTCCACGTCGTTACTCCAACCTGCATACCCGACAAAGAAAAAAGCTATACTTTCGCGTGCACTATCGAAAAACTTTAATTAAACGTTATCTGAGACACTCTATCGACCATTAAAATATCCTTAGAGTGTATATGCATTATATAATATTTAACGATTATCTCAGAAAAATAATTATAACGTAGCTTTTTCCTTCGCGTTCTCGATTCATTAATTCCTGCCCGTTCCACCATAATGCACTTGTTTTTTCTTTAGTTTCTTCAGTTTAAATTTACTGTGTGTGCAATGTATAGAATAGTGACAAGTTACTTCAGGACACAGAAACGTTTGTGTATGAGCTTAGGTAATTCCGTATACAATGTAATTATGTACCATCGACCAAACTGTATACTACGAATTTTTTGAAGGTATATACGGAATTCCCTATTTTTGAATTTTTCTTGTTTTGCAAGACGATCGATGTATGTTTTTTTTTCTTTTTGCTTTTACATCGTCTTTCGGAAAAATATTTTTGGAATAACGCCGAATGCGAGAGAGAGAGAGAGAGAGATAGAAAGGGTTTTTTGTGTGAATCTTGAAGGTGGAATATTTTTGGCTGGAGCGGCGAAAGACTAACGATCCGAAAATACCCAACTAATATAATCAATTTCGCAAATGACGCAGCGTTCGAGAAAAGATCATTTTTTTGGCCGGTCTTTTCTCGAAGCCTCCGAATCTCGAGCGATTTCATCTAACGCGTGCTTGTTTTTGCAATACAGGCAGAACTGCTTCGGCAGCGAATACTTCACGAGCTGCATTCAGGCGCTGCTGCTTGAGGACGAGAAGGAAAAGTTCCAGGAGATAGCCGAGTACCTCGGCCGCAAGAAGTAAAAGCTCTAGGAGACTGACGCACACTACGACATCAAAAACGCAGCAAAACAAAAAAAAACATAAATAACGTAAAAAAAGAAGAAAAAAAAGAAGGAAGAAGAAGGACGAGGAGATGCACCACACGCGGGAGAGAACTAAAGGCGAGTCGGAAGACTTTTGATCGTCCAGTGGAGAGAAAACGATCTTTCTTTCTTTTTCTGCGCCTAGAGACGGGAAAAAATCGGGCTTTCTAGTATTTCTTTCTTTCCTTTTTTTCCGTTGCTCGCCTCATATCCTGGTTTCTCACAGCTCGTTCCTTCGCGACGCGCTGATTGCTCTCTCGATTTTTTTTACGTTTACCCGCTGCTAGTAACGTTATTCCGCGCGCGTCGGGCGAAAACCGCGTTGGCGAGGTCGGCGATGGCGCACGATGTCTCTTTTCCCCAGTGGATTTTCAGTCACTCGGAATTCGCAAAACCACGTAAGAGACGCGATTTCTCGAATTTTCTTTTTTCCTTTGTTTTGTGATCGTTGGCCATTTTGTCGATGCCGTGAGCGCCATCACGGAAGTCGCCAGTCGAGAGGGTACGACGCACGTACGTAAGATGCAGCAGCGGCAACGGGATTATCACGAGCGAAAATAAAAAAAACATAAAAATAAAAGAGTACGAAGTGACGAAAAGGACATACAGTTTCGAGAGTTACATGCGTCCCATCAAATACAAATTCTAGTCGAACAACAACATACGCACACTAACGCACACAAGCGCACGCGCACGCGCACGCACACGCACACGCACACGCACATGCACGCACACACACACACACAGACGCGCGCGCGCGCGCGCGCGAGCGCGCAAATAAACGAAAAATTGAAGAACAATACAAGAACAATCAACACCGACAATAATATATCCGCGTGTTTTTGGCGCAGGCGCGCTTGATGCGAGCGTCTCGCGCGCACATCGCCGTGAACACAGGCGTGGGCGCTGTTCACCACGCGTGCGCTCGGCTAATTAATCAACCACGGTTCGATTGCTGTCCCCATCCGTCATGCCCATCGTTACAATCACTGCAATCACCACGATTGCTATATTGTTGTCGAGCGCAGCGCACACGCTCCAGGCGCATTTTGTAACAGCGTCGACGGAACGCGATCCGCGCGTGAGCGTTCCTCGACCGTTGGAAGCGTCGAAAGGCGCCAGGCCGAGCTCGCTCATTTCGGCGCGCTCTCCGCATCGTTCACGGGGGAGCGCTGCACGGCGAGTGCGCAAGGGTCTCCGAAGGAATCGAGCGGGCTGAGGAAGGTCGACGCTGGGCCGCGCGAGCTTGCGACTCGCGGCGGTCCGAACGACGCGCGACGCGGCGAGGGAAAGAAAAAAGAAGAACCGACGCCTCGGCTTTCCTCCAATTTCTTTCGGTATTTCGCACGTAGTATTTATTTATTCCTTTGGCGTGCTCTGCCTTAAGGCTTAAGCTTAAGTTTTCCAATTAGCCCGCGGCGAAGTATTATGGCACTCTTTCGTTGTAGGTCGCAGGCGTGCGCGGCGCTCCTTCGTTCTTCTGCCTCCTCGGGCGGAGGGGAGGCGAGCGGATGAGAGGAGATAGAGGGAAACACGCGTGTGTCGCTTCGCAAAAGTGCGCCGAAGAAACAGTGAAAAAGATTCTCAAGAGTGGCCGCGGACGTGCGCGCGAGAGTGAGTGCGAGAGTGCAGAGTATAACGGTCCATTCCAAAATCAGTATTGAAAAGTTGTTTCCATCCGCGAAACGCAGCCTTGCATTTGTTCATTCTCGACTTCTTCGTTAGTCCTCTTGACTTCGCAAGACTTTGTTTTCTTTTCTGCTTTCGTTCTGCGTCTATTGCAAAACGAATTCACGAGCATCGGCAGGAGAACGAAAGAGAAACAAAAGAAACGCCAGTGTGAGCGATTCGCTTGTCGCGAAGAATCGACGATTTGTATTTCGTTTCTTTTTAATTATTTTTAATATTATTATTAGTCTACTATTTGTATTTATTAAAAAAAAACAAAAAAAAAAAAAACACGGACACGCAAAAACAACAACGTTGGATTTGCCGTGCAAAGTGTGATTGCATCGCTATATTATTTTCACGACGATGTTTGCGTTTTCCGAACTTCACATCCGAGCGCCTTGAAAGTGAAACCGTGTAGGAATGATGCGTGTACATAATGGATTTTATGTAATCTATCCTTTGATTTCCCCCTGTCCCTCCCCGCTCTCCCTCGATTGCTTTGCAAAATCGACAGCTTGGATATTGCTCAATGTCTGTATATTTGGCGTCCGTTTGAGGAGTAAAGACAAAATCGGAGAGGATAACGCGAAACGAATGATTCGCAGGGACAATGTTTGCGGCGACGATGACATGTTGGAAAGATTGTAATCTTATTCGATAACGATTAAATTTAATAAATTATACCTATTCACGTGTATAAACATTATGTATTGCGCGTAACGTAACTGTCACACGGATATCTAGAACAAAAGCAAAGGTGAAATCTATTATTGTTTGCGTGAAATAAACGAATGATTCAAGAATAAAGCGACGTTGCAGTTGCATCTTGCTCAATTAATCTTTCACCCTTTTCTCCGCGCACGCAGCCTTCTCGAAAAAGCGAGCATATCGGGAGGCGTTCCGACGATAATCGATCCGCCAAACACGCATCATAGCTTAAAATGGAACGTCCGCGTGGCGATTATCTCTCGCTGTTATTTTTTCGACCGAGTGACGTTTCGCACGTAAAAAAGAGAGCGATCGCATCACACTCGAACCGCCGCGTGATAAAACCACGCAAATAAACGCACGAGGCTTGCATAAGCGTTTTGAAAGTTAATTATAATCTGTCACCAAGTTTAGTGAACTTTGTCGCGCGCGCGGATGCGGCGCTGACAAGTTAGCTAATCGAAGAATAAAAAAAAAACAAGGAAAAGAACGCTCCGACGCGATTGGCGCTTTGTGAGTATATTTTTGTAGACGTGACTGTATATTTACATGCGCGAAGATAATAAAACAACAAACTCGCCTTGCCGAACGTTCCGTCAGTGAGAGGATGACGACGATCCCACTATGTAAGACGCGATAACGCCAGTCAGTAGTACACAAATATCAAGCGTTATAAATCGTTACATTTATTTTCGGTGAAGTTTGCGCAAGTGTTTGGGCGATTTCTGCCAGACACCGGCTGTCGCTGTTTCGCTTGGTCGGTGACCCAGATGCAAAGTGCACCTGATTAATCTTCGACTATTGACGAATAGGAAGAAAAACCGGCATTAATTATATAACAAAAGCCATTTGGAGCCAAAAAACCCATATTTGTTTACATAGCTTCGATTAAAATTATGACGAAAAGCAAAAGTTGTTAAATTGCAGTCGTATAGTCACATGACTCTCGATTACGAATTGAGATATTAAAAATGAAAGTCGCACATGTGTACACACACATGTGAAAAGAAGAAGCACACTCCTACCGTTCATTGATAAAGTAGGTATCAATATTTCATATTACTGTGTGCATGCACGCGACGAGACTAGCAATTATAGGCGAATAATTTTGAATTTGGCGCGTCTTTACTTACGTTTTCGTTCCTAGTTGTGACGGGTCATTGCCTATGCCGCTAAAACCCGACATGCACGTCGCAACGTACTTGCGTGACTTCGACACTTTCGCCAAGCATTTTTATCCACTTTACAAGGTTAGAATTTCCAGACGTAATCCGCCGATAGCATTACGAGTTGGTGCTGTTTGAGTAGGAACCGTTCGAAAGTAGCGCGACGGTACACGCATTGATGTTCGCGCGCGAGATGCACCCGCACTTTCGTCGATGGCTGTTCTTATCACACACACCTAGCCGCGACGGCGACTCACGATGCAACGAGCTCGCGGTTGGTTATCAAAACAACAGCGCGAGTGGTGCTATCTCGTCTCCGAGCTACGAATTAAGGATCAAATCACGCAATCGAGTGCGCCAATATAATGGATATCCTCGACTTGTCATCGCAATTAAACTGCAACTTACTACTCGTGGAATAGCTGGAATTTCGAAATGAAAAATAATAAATCTGGCGGGAAAAATGAGCTTCAAGGTGACGAAGAAATTAAAATACCAAATCGACGATTTTCACAAGCAAAGCAAAGAGCGACCTGCGGCGCGACTTGCATGACATCTTCGTGTTATAAAAATACGCAGGCAGTGATCGATCTTTGAAAATAGCAAAGCAGAGTCATGCATATGAGAGTGTATGTCTCATATAGAATTACGATGCGGGAAACCCGCAACTGCGATCAACTGAACTTTGTCCGTTTCAACACAGGGTACTTCAACATACTCGTCAAGTGGAATTGGTCACAGAATGCGAGCGAGAACGATTTCGATTACGCGATATGTTAAATAATTGCGAGAATCGGTATTCCAAGCGCTTGCCAAAATACATAAAGTCGGTTTTTTTTCGTCAAACTCACGATGTGATGCGTAACGACATAATACAAAAAATCCGCGTACGTCATCAGATGTTGAAATTAACGCTTTCATATAATCTCTTGCTGTAATTGCTCAGCATTGATGCTACTCAAATTTAATTCGCATTTGGCATCGTAGCACGCTAAAAAATTTTCCAATTAGCCATTACTTGGTTGAGCTTAATCATCCTTGTAATATAAACGATGGTAGATATGATTCAGCTTTTGCCAACTACACGCTCGGATCGTTCGAGCGATATATTTACATCAAGGCATAAGTGAATTTAGACTGGTTTAATTTGAAAACAGGCCCTGATCAATTTTATTGATTTGTCGTGGACTTCTGACTCCCTGAGTTAGGCGCGTAACTTTGGCGGGCGGCGATTGAAAATCAGCAGGTGCTGCCACCAACAGGAACGAGCGAAAGCGCAAACAGCGCCTGCAACTCAAACGTTGAGCTTATGGGCAAGTGCTTAGGGATATGGGCTAAGATCATCTGACCTCCCTCATTACGTTATGCTCCTCAAGAATTCCATAAGCCTAACGAACAGAGAGTGACGGCGACAGCAACCAGCTCTTAGAAAGAATATAATAAAGACACAACCCCCGCACGATCAGAAGAAAAAGTGTCCTATTGCCTTCTTTAAACGAGCTTATGCCTATTATTTGCTGTATTGAACTCAACAATAACGTTTATTGAGCTACACCGGTGTGTTTAAACGCTCCCTTTCTCTTTTTCTTCTCTCCCTTTCCTCGGAATTATTGTGCCAGGCTACACACTTACGAAGCTAAAACTAGCTTGATCAAGCCTGGACCAACGGTCTGAATTTTAAATAGAACGCTATGCTGTATGAGATGATCCGTATGGCAGTTATGTGATGACATAAAGTTGTTCCAAAATAAAGTAAAGATCCCAGGTATTATTTCAATGGATTATTTATTAAACTTGCAGTTTCTTTCCCATTGATAAAACAATTTTTACGTTTACTTAACTGATTCGTTAACCTCCCAAGAAATTTAAACTTAACTACAGCAAGATCAGAGCAAACTATTTTGTCAACTCATCTGTGTTGACGAAGTTAGTTGACAAAATTGTTTGCTCCGACTAACAGCATAGTTTGCTGTAATTGAATTTACATTTTTAAGCAAACGAACGACTTAACGAAACGTTAATAATTGTTTTATCATTTCTTTACCTACACCGATCGAGCCAAATTTTCCTTCATTCATTTATTGTATAAATGATAAAAATTGTCGTAGAAAGAGATTTTTCAGTAGATTAAGATCTCAAAGATTTTGTTGTGCAAATTCTATTGGTGATTCAGATGAAAGTGAACATGTGAAAGTATATACCAGTAAATACAAAATCATTTTCGTTAGATAACAATAGTTCTGATTGTGGTACCTTGCAAATAAATATTCAACAAAATAAAAATCATAGAAATATTTTGGAGAAAGAAAACTTTTTATTGATCCCTTACAATGCAAATGTACTCTATGTTATTTATTTAAAGTATAACTTACTTATTAACTTTTAACTAATTCGTTAACTTCCTCAGAAATTTAAATTTAACTACAGCAAAGTCGAAACAAAATACTTTGTCAACTCATCTATGTTGACAAAGTTAGTTATACTCATACTTGTCTACTTTTATAAACGCTACTCACATAAAGTATTTATAATTTAGCAAGTCAAACCGTCGTAAATATCATAGCGACACACAAACACAATAATCTCAAGAACCCCTGTTGCGATGCAACCATAACGTCGTAATTAATTCCGATCGACAGGTCTCCACAGTGACATTAATAATAGTAGTGTATCAGACCATTTTGGCATATTCTATGTACATGTATATCTTTATACTCCGTTCAATGTTGCCACATACTTTGAACAAAGCGAACCAGCAGATGTCAATCAAATATTTATAAAACTTTGTTGAAAAACTTAAGGGGATGTCGAACTTCTGTTTTATTGACTTCTTCTTTAGGGCATACTCTCCCTTAAACTGCGCATCGAAGGACGTTCATTCGGCTAATAATTGATTATTAGATAAGCGACATTCGATCAATTCATTGATGAAATCGATAAAAATTATATTTCTGAAAGACAACTGGATCAATAATTTTATCTGAGATAAATAAACAGTCGCCGTATAATATTACTGTGGAAATAAACGATATTTGTCGATTTCATAAACGAGTCGACTGTAATTTACTTTATTATCTAATAATCAATTATTAGCTGAAGTCTAAACGAACTCCGATGAGTATTTTAGGAGTAAATATGCCTCAAAGACAGTTGGTAAAACAAAAAAATGGCACCCGATTAAAAATTTATTGAAAACTGTAGTGTTTCAAATAAAATGCATATGCTTTATAGAGCTTTTATCAAACAAATCAGAGGTCATTTTTGATAAATACCAGTATAAACGATGCGTAACTTGAGGAGAATACTATTGCAATAGACTAATATTTTCTGAAATAGAAGAAGAAAGCAGCGATGAAGGTTTCACAAAATTTGACGTCGTAGAGTATTACAATGATGTTTCACTGTTAGTTCCTATGCAGTCAAATATTGACATTATTGAAGACTTACCTTTGGAGACAATCTATTTGAGATGCTTAGGAGTTTTTGATTGCTTTTTACAACGTTGGATTAGTAATATATTAAGATCATCTATATTAAATAGCGTTTTAAGCGAAAGTTACTCAAACATTGTTTAATATTACATATGGCAGTTAGGATTGTTAAGTAATAAAAAATGTATTTGCTTATACAACAAAAATGTAGGTTAGTATTTGGAAATTTTTTTCTTCGGAAAAAAATCTTTGTGAGTTAAAATTTACATTTTTAAATTTGCATTCTACGTGGCATTTGTGTGATGACATTAAACGATTAATAGCCAGCAACTTTTGATATTTCCAGCCCCTGTGCAAATAACTTCTTTGCTAATGCTAAAAGGAGTAGTTCGTTATATACGAATAAACAAATGGTGAGTTTAGAAAAGATACCACTCGAAACAATTCATCTTCGTTTATATCTAAATCTGAAAACAACTAAGAATGTTAACCAGAGCATTCAAATATCTCATAAGGATTTCATTACGCTTTTCATATTTGTATTTATAATACACTGCATGTATTCATCGATCTCCATTAATGAAAACTTTTTTTATAGTTCATAATTCAATAGATGAAAATTTGCATAGTCTTTTAATAAACACAAAATTATTGACAAAGAGACTAAATAGCGTGAATAAGTGAATGAAATTTGGTTGATTTAGTAACAGCTGTAGACGAATTTTAAACGTTTTTAATGGATCAGCAGAGATTGAGAGAAAACATTTAAATTGTCAATTTTAGCAAACTGACAAAGATTCATAATTTAAACTTACTTTTGGTAATATAATTTAATGAAACATTATCTGATGATAATTAGTATTGAGACCATCTGGTTAAATGCTGAATCTGGTTGATTGCTTGTCACATAATATTTTTAAAGCAGAATATATGGTTATAATTTCTTATTATGCCAGTCATATTCCAAATGACCTTAACATACATATCACTAACGAACCTCTAAGTAAAGTAACGATTTTATAAATATTTAGGGTATTGTTAGATTCACATCGTAAAATATGCTGCCAACTGCATTGGATACAGAATACTTTCTTGAAGAGCAAAAATAATATGAATGTGCCATAGATGACAACGTCATGTGGATGAATATTTAACCTTTATAATTTTTTCTGTAACACGTACAACTATGTAATTACATAGCTACTATCACAGAAATCTAGCGATTTTATGAACCAATTTTTATTCGCGTATCGAAATAATTTCGAAATTACTAGATTCAACGCCGTTGGAAAAAATATAAATAAATTATATTATTCTGCCATTCGGAGAAAATCTGTAAATTTTTTTCTTTTTTTACAACTCTGACAACTACGCAGCTGCCATTATCAAATAAATATAACCATTGCGTAGTCGATTTTTAATGAGTATATCTGAAAAACTAGGGAAAACCGACAACGGACACCAGACTTTTTAATTTTGAAAAGCTTCTCTGAAAATAGTATAAGAAACTTCAATAAAAATATGATTATAATTATTAAACACAATTCATTGAGATGTACGAGTGTGAAGAAAAAGATTAGCAAAAAACATGAAAACTACAAAGTTACAGTAGAAAAACGTAAAAAATGCAAAATCATCGTTTCAAGATTTCGTCTGCAAAGTTTATGTAAAATTAATGATATTTTTTGAATATGAAAACTTTAATGACGCTCTACAGTGCCCTCTTTCAAAGCATTGTCATTTACCGCATAATTGCCTGGGGAAAAGCAGTAATATGATGAACAATACCCAAAAAAATGTCTAAATTTTGCTTAAAAATTTTAATAATCTATCACTCTCGC